TGGAACTTGGCTATGTTGAAGAGGTGTTAAAATGAGACAGGCCATTTTGGAGTACTTTACATGCTGGATGGTAGAAGTGAAAATCCCATAAAGTGGAAACATAAGAGCCCTGTTGGATCATACCAAGAATTTTTTAGTATTGCTTATCTAGTATTGTTTTCAGCTATGTCCAATTAGATGGTTCTAGTAAACTCACAAGTGGAGCATGAAAGCAAGAATCCTTACCCTGCACTTTTGTTTGTCCCTGGCATCTGGTATGTCTCTGGACTTAGAAGTCCTAGATATCAGAAATAATAGCTAGTAATCAACCCATCCTCCAGAACTTGTGTAGTTCAGAATTATTTAAAGTTAGTGTGGAGTATACCTAAACTCCTAAAAAAACATGCATGCATTTTTAATATTTGTTTAATTTTAACTTTTGTTAACCACCCGGAGAGCCTCAGCCATTGGGCAGTATACAAATGAAATAAGTAAATGAATAGATTTGTGGCTGAAATTTCATAAGGTTGGAAGAAGGTCACTTACCGGTACCTGTTGCTCTTCAAGTGGTCATCTGTGCATTCACACACATGGATGCTGTGCCTCTGTTTGGGAAGATTCTCCCAGCCAAGCCTAGAATTTTTGAAGGGAGCCCCACCTCTCTCCTCTTTAGTATAAACAGGCAGGACTCCTGTTTAGCCTCAGCAATGTTTGGCCTCAGCACCTGACTGCTCTATAGCTAGAAGGAAGACAGGTACTGTATGTGAATGCCAACACCAAAGTGGGGCCGGCAGATCACTACTCGAAGAAAGGCAGTTTCAGGTAAGCAATCTTACTTTCTTCTTCATGGTCTCTGTGCCATCACACAGATGAGTGACTAGCAAGCATACCGTGGAGGTGGGAAGTGTTGTCAATGAAGAATGGAAGACAGTACAGCATGACCAAAGGAGCAGTCCTTTCTTGCCTTAACATTGAGCTGATAATGTTTTATGAATGTTGATGGTGTAGACCAAGTAGCTGCTTTACATAGTTCTTGTAGTGGTGAGCCTGCATCAAGAGCAGTGAAAGTAGATACAACTGTGGTGGAGCAGGCTTTGGGTTAGTGCGGTAATGTTAAGTGCAGCAGTTGGTAAGCTAGTTTAATCATTTCCATGATCCAGTGGGCTAAATGCTATGGACCAAATGATTTGCCTTTGGAACGGTCAGGTTATTTTATGATCAGTCTTTTGGTCTGCTGTATCAGCTCCATATGGGATCTGTAGAGGCCAATGCTCTTCGTAATGTTCTTTCAACCAGTGTAGATAGGGCTGGGGAAAAGGCTGTAAGTACCATATCTTGATTAAGGTGGAAGGCTGAGCAGACTTTTGGAAGAAAGGCAGGGTGCAGTCGGGATTACCTTTTCTTTGTGGAAAATCAGGTATGGTCTATTCGCAGAGCATACAGCTGACTCACTCTCTGGGCTAAAGTGATGGCCACCAGGAATGAGACCTTTCATGAGAGCAGTCACAGATCAGCAGTTACAAGAGGTTCAAATGCGGGTTTTGTCAGAGCTTGTAACACCAACGATAGACTCGAAATGGGGATTACTGTTCAAATGGGAGGGTTTAGCCCCTTCATGAATCTCCATGAAAGGGACTGAGAGAAAACTGAGAATTGGGTCCCTTAGAGATGAAATAGCAGAGAAGTAGACATTGATGGAGGAAAGTTTCAAACCTCTGAGATGTAAGGAATGAAGGAAGTCCAATATTCTATGTACTAGTGCCTTCATCGGATTGAAAGTATGTTCCCTCACATAATTCTTGAACTTGTTCCACTTGATAGAACGGAAGCATCTAGTGTTTGGTCATAAAACTGCCTGTAGAATGTGCTGAATTTGTGGGTCTAAATTGGTTGTTGTTACCATGAAACGAATGACCATGCCAGATTTCCGGGTGAATGGCAACCTGAAGAAGCAGCAGTGAATGTTGCTGCTCTGTGCCTTATCTTGTTTAGATGATTAAAATGGTCTTTTAGGGGTTGTTTACCTCTCTAAATGACAGGTGGGCATGAAGGCTCTTGGTCTACAGCTCTGATTACAGTGAGATGGCAAGATAAGGTAAACTGGAACAAGTTATAAAGTTGACCCCACCACACACATTTACTCCTTTTCTCTTTGTCTTTCTTTTTTAAAAATCTCTTACTATTTCTTTTTACATCGTAAGATTTTTTTTTTTTTTTTTGGTCAAGGGAATAATATTCTAACTTGCTGCAACTTAGAGTCTTAAGGCATTCTTGTTTGCATATTTTGTAAGGTCTCTGAATGGATAATCTTTTGTTTATGAACAGTGTAAACTGAACTTGGCAAGAGATTATTAGCTGGGGGAATGTTTGTGTTCATTTTCTGGTTTTTGAATTGAGATGAAGGACAATGGTGCTTTCTGGACAGCTCAGACTGGAGGCTGAGATTTTGGATTCAGATTTCAAGGCATTTCAAGCAAAATTTCATTAAACAAGAGAGAACAAAAAAGTGTTCAGCACAAGGTACACACAAAGTATTGTTACATTTAGTTCAGCCCTGAATAAACTGTTGCTGTGGTAACAGTTTTTCTATGTCTGGGGAAAACTTGAAGGAAAACTCTACAGCTTCATATCCAGTATGTCTGCAGACAATGCACCTGTAGGGGCCCCACTTGAGGTCTCCTAGGCTACCAGCATCTCCTTATTTTTAATTTAAGAGTTTAACTTTTTTTTTAAACTGGGAAGTTGGCAAACTTCAAAGTGAAGGGTTGTCCTCTAGTGCCATTTTTATTTGCATACAAAATAGGAGTTTTGTGTTTTGGAGCACAAGGCAGTATCCAACTGTATCTTTTCACTAACATAAATGACTAGCAGAAAGGGCTAGCAGAAACTAGGTTCTGTGCAAGAGGAGATTTTTACTAAAGTTACCCTTCCGCAAGCATGACTGCACAAATGACTACAAAGCCTGTTGCACTATGCACAACAGGTTGTAAAATGGGTTAGCACATGCAATGCATGACTGCTTGAGAACAGAAAGATTCAGTGGAGCTCCATTAGTGCTATATGAGTTTGCAGAATGGCACTACGGAATACAACTCGGATCCCACTTTATTTTCTTGTGGAAATTACTTTTCTTGCAATTTCATATTTTTGTCTTCTAAGATAAGTATTTCATGGCCAGCCATGACCACCACAGCAGACATTTTGTGAATAGGCAAGCCTCCCACCAGGTCAGTCATTTTGTAAAAACACTTGTGACACCCTTTTAAAAATCCAAATACAGCCAGTGATCTAAAGCAGGTATTACCATTTCTTTCCCAGTTGACAAGAACATCAGAATCTTGGATTCCTAATGACAATGGATTCCAAATGGATGGTAGTTGGCAGAATGGAACAGATAATATCAGAAATGTAACTGGCCTGTACTCCATTGCATGCAGCAGTAGAGAAGGTAGAGAAAAAACTACATACCTGTTTGAGTGTGTAGGAACAATTTCCTGGTTGCTAACTTCAATGGTTGGCAAACACTTTTCATCAGTAGATTGGGTTTATTAATGAATAGTTTATAGTACAATCCTAGGCATAACTACTCAGAATGAAGATCCACTGAAATCAATTGGCCTTATTCCCAAATAACTGTTTATAGAAGCGCAGCCTAACAGAGTAAACCTATACATGTTTACTCAGAATTAAGTCCCACTGTGTCCAATAAAATTTATTCTCTCAGGTGTGGAAAGGATTGCAGCCTTAATCTGAAAGTTGTGTTCTCCTTTAATTATTATTTATTATTTATTAATTTATTTAGAGCATTTGTATGCCATCCCATCACATAGCCTCGGGACAGCTTACATAAATAAAATTAAACATAGTACAGATAAAATCCAGATCCACCCTGGCTGCATATTAAAACCTATAAACTGATATTAAAAGTTATTAAAATATCGTTGAAATAAAATGGTCTTAGCCTGGTGCCGAAAAACAAATAACGACGGTGCCAGGCTAAGACCTTTTTATTAGGTTCCATAGGCGTGGCTCCTCCGCAGAGAAAGCCCTCCTCCAGGTACTTTGCCTCCTAATGTCTTTCACGGAGGGTTCCCGGAGGAGGGCCTCTGCTGCCGATCTCAGGGGGTGGGAGGGCAAATATGGAAGAAGGCGTTCCTTCAGGTACCCAGGTCCCAAGCTGGGTCCTTTAGCCCCAGTTTTGTGCTCATTGCCTTATAGATAAGAGTAAATCGCTCTGCAAAAACTCCTGGCTGCTTAATACTGTGCCAGCCTTAAGAATCCAGGATCACATTAGCAGTCCTTAGGACAGAGCTCAAAATTCATGTGGACAGTGGTTATTTCCCCTTTCTTTTTTTCTCTTGCTACCTCACTTCTGTTTTGGAGTAGCCAGTTACATTGCACTTCTCCGCTGCAACAAGATGCCCACAGCACTGGATCATTAGGGCCAAACTGGAACCATAGCAAGGCTGCACTGCTCATACCGTGGGCATTTTTAATATGCAACTTCCACTCAAAATTAGCATGTTGTGTGAACCTTTGCATAATTTGTAATGTTTTTGGGCTATGAAAGGTTCAGCCCACTCTTGCAACCAAGGAGGTGCATATTCAGGTGCTGTGACTTGTTCCAGGTGGTGATAATTTTTTGGAAAATAAGTGGCTGTGGGGAAGGTTTATACTTCACGTAACTGCATATACTGGTCCTAGACAGTTACTTTAGAGATGTAAGAAAATGCTGGGCACTATGTATGTAACTTATCATTCCCTTAGTGTCAGTGACTGCCACTATTCAAGTTCATGATGCAGAATCAGCTCTTAAGCCTGAAATCAAAGGATACCTCCTCTCCCCTCCCACAAAAGAATCAATGTAAAACTGGGCACAGAAAATGCTTTAAAATGTAGATAAATTTAAGCACCAGAAAAAATGAAAGAAAAACTAATATTTTAATTAAAATGTTCCAAGAACATGCAACACTAAAACAGGAAAGGGGAAAACAACTAGAATTCAGTCCTCATATTCTCACCTTCCTTGGCAGGCAAGATTAGGATTTCATTTACTTGCTTCACAGAGCTGTGAAGTAGAAGATGGAGAAAGCTCAACTGGCATACTACTTAATCGCCTTTTTTTATCTTCTATTATCGAAGCCACACTCTAAAAGAAAGAGAGAGAGAGAGAGAGAGAGAGAGAAGAAAACAAGGAATCTAGTTAAGTGGTAGGGATGGTGAATGCTAATAAACTAAAAATCAAAACATAGATTTAAGCAAAACAGATCCATACCTGTCTGTTCAAACCTCTAGCCATTTCCAGGGCACCTTTGCCAAACTAAAAAAAAAAAGCACACCCACAAAAATGTTCAATTTGCTCTTTAAATATTCTGTTGCTGCTTTTTGTAAAAAAAAAGTTATCTAAAAATTACCTCATTTTTAATATCAGGATCTGCTCCTCTCTCTAGCAACAATGTGACCAATTCTTCTTGGTTATTTAACGCTGCCACCTGGAAATAGAAGGGGATATGTTATGTGTAATTTCATATTCTATACCTTCCAATGTTTGCAGAATCTAAATGCTCCTTGTCACAAGACTGAACTTCCTACTAAAAGTCACTTACACATAAGAGATTGAATGACCCTTGCATACAGTTTATCTTTTTCATGTTATGCTGAATGCATGTGCAGTGGGCAGATGCTTCAGTGTAAACCTGCTATAAAAGTACACATTCATCTCATATGATGATTGAATTATTCAAGTTCCTATACAGACATTTATTCTATATAGGAACTGCTTTCAGATAGAGTTTACATAATCAAAGTCTTGTGTGTAGTCACCTGTATTCTGAAATAATCTTTGATCATTTTAATCAAAACAACAGGCAAGAACTGGAGCACTGGGCAGGAGGCTGAATTTATCACATGCTTTTTTCATCCTATAATTGATTGATTGGATAACATAGGCTTGTTCCTCCAAAGAAAATTAATGATGGGAGTAATGGGAGTAAAACTGTTCTACAGAATAAATTGACATTGCAGAAATAGAGCCAACAGTTGCATTATGACTTAACACAGTTATTGTGCAATATTAGAACATAAAGGAGATTTTGTTTAAATTACCAATATGTTCCTATTCTGAAAGTTCCTGCTTAAGAAACCTCCAACTGATGAGAAACAAATCTCCATCTTGTTACCATTTCTACCGAAGCTGACTTCTTAATCACTTTTAGTAGAAACAAATGAATGTGCCCAAAAGTGGACAGTATTTTCTTCTAAATTGGTTTAAGGAACCACTGATGTAAGGAAAGGGGGAAATGGGAGGTGGGAGACAAATTAAGTAACACAATTATGTAGCTATTTCATGAATAATTTTCTATAGCATGAATTTATTTATTTATTGTTTATACTCCCAATACTTCTAGCAACTTCTTCAACATTTATTTTAGTTGACTATATTACTAAATTGTTCAATTGACTGTATCAGTCAGAGACAAGCAAACAGAAATACAACAGCGTAAGCCTGCCAAGCTTTCTGGATAGCTGAAGAAAAAAATGGTTAAAAGTGCCCTATAACAGAAGCTAAGGGCTATTCTAAGAACTTTGAGATGGTAAATTGCTGCACTAACAAGAAGCTGCATCTACTTGTGCTTTCCTGAACTAAGTTATCTTCCATGAACCACACATTTGCAAACTGTCATATTCGCACTCTGCATTTGCAGTATATATTCAAAGCATCCTATCCTTCCTCCACCCAATGTTATGTGTAAGGTGGGTCATCTATCCCAAGAAAAGGTTTTATAGGAACTAGACTAGTTTGACATGTAGGATCAGAGACAGTTGAGGCAATCGCTCTCTCTCTCTCCTGACTGGAATGAAAACATGACAGAAAGCATCTTGATCTTTATAGAATCTACAAATGCAGTACTTCAGAAAGATGAATTTCCAAGTATGAAGGAATAAGAAGACTCATCCTATTAAAGAAACGTTTGAATCTGCTCAGATTATGTACTCGACTTCATGCACCAAACTACAAGAGATATCTGATATAAAATGCCTTAAAAAGGAAATCAAAGAGAAAATGAAGTATTACTTTGCAAATCCTCTTGTCATGACAACAGGGGAAAAAGGTGTTCTGATGTTGCAAACCAGTAAAGAAAGGGTTCTTTGAGCAAGCATTGCATGCTGTTTGGGTGAGAAACATTAAGAGTACATGCAGAAAAACACTGATCCCAGAAAGATTGACCACGTTGTGTAAGAGAGAGTATTCAAAACAGTAGAAGTCTTCCATTGGGGGACTTCTAGTATGGTGTGCTACTATCTAATCTCCTTTTACAGAGGTCTTTCTCCCTCTCAAGAAGCAGAATAGTTAAACCAGAGTTCGTTATAAATTCTGCACTTCAGGTTAAAGACATTAAACTTGCTGTCAAACTCCTTTACTGTTTTGAAATAAATGAAATATGTTTATACCTTTTGCTTATAAATGAGTATTTTCTACATCAAGAGAAGACAGAAGGTAAATCTTCAGATGTTTTGGATTTCTCATCTCCCAAGGCTTAATCAGGACCGTACACCAGTTTTTCTGTATCCATTGCAGTATACATTGTTATTTGACAAGGGTGTCATACCTAATAATGTATTGCATCCCAACAAAGCATTGGGTTGACCACAAGGCTGTGGTATCCTGTACAGGCCATTCCTTGTGAAATTCAGGGATATGATTGTGGGTAGCCCAAAACTTGCACACTCTTAAGTGCCTTATCACTGCCATGATGACAATACATTTCACATAGTCTGGAACCCAAATAAAACACTGAGATAGAAGCAATGTTGTAGCAACTCAGACAACACTATACCAAGAGCATGACAACTACAGAAAATGGGGCCTTCTGTTACCTTCTGCTAATGATGCTTGAAACAGGGCAGTTCACCTTGCTGCGCCAGCCTGAGAGACATTTTATAAAAATTGGGATTATACACAAAATATATGCTAACTTCAGTTCTGCACCTATTTTCCATATCTAAGGGTACAGAACTTGCTAAAAGTCATATTTATCATTATTCATTACATATGGTAAGAATTTTTATTCTGGCTCATGGACTTAAAAATTGAGCAACATATTTTGAGAGTCTCCTGCTTCTCAGGGTGGGGCTGGCATTGCTTACTGGAATCCGTATTTTTTAAAAAACGCTTAGAATGGGGCAATGCATAATTGTGCCAAGTTACATGCTTTCAACCGAAAGTACACAAATATAGGCTTAAATGCTCCACCAAGGCCTATGAAGGCAAAGCATCTCGCCGGCTGAATCCATAGAACATAAACACTAAAGGTTTTCGAAGTATAGACAAAAGCTTGGATTTATGTGATCATTAAGAAATGAATGTTGATTGTCATTCTGTGGACTTTTGTGCAGGTACTGGCAAAGGTCTCACAATACACTGCCACAATGCATTTATGATAGTGCTATAGCAAGGATGGTGAACCTTTAGAGACCAAGTGCCCAAACTGCAACCAAGAACCCACTTATTTATCACAGAGGGCCAACACTACAATAGAAACTGAAAACTGAGGTTTCAGTTTAGGAAAAAAAAAAAACATCCAGTCCAAGCAAATATATATATATATCCAAGGCAGCGCACTGATCGGCTATGCGAAAGCTCACATGAGTGAAGGCTAATGAGTCGTTGCTCGTGACATCATCACCTGGCACAGCTACTCCTTTCTCAGCATGTGCATGGCCCCTATGTGCGCTGTTATCCAATGCTCGGCTGCTCATCATTTCTGCCCATTCTAAATACATTCCAACCATCAAAATCATGCCGGGAGACCTTGTTTTTCTAACCCTAAACCTACCCTGCTGCATACCCCTAACCCTAATAGGGGGTGAAGTTCCACTGAAAAGAGGGCAATTTTGAAAATGTCTTCCTTGAGTAGCTGTTTCTGTACAGCTCATCATTTCTGCCCATTCTAAACACATTCCAACCATCAAAATCATGCCAGGACACTGCGTTTTTCCAACCCTAACCCTACCCTGGTGCACACCCCTAACCCTAGTAGGAAGTGAAAGCTCCATTAAAAAGAGGGTGATTTTGAAAAAGCCTTCCTTCAGTAGCTGTTTCTGCACAGCTCATCATTTCTGCCCATTCCAAACACATTCCAACAATCAAAAACATGCAAGGACACCGCGTTTTTCTAACCCCAATACAGTGATGGTGAACCTTTTAGAGACCTAGTGCCCAAACTGCAACCCAAAACACACTCATTTATTGCGAAGTGCCCACACTGCAATCAAACCTGAAAACTGAGGTTTCAGTTTAGAAAAAACAACTCACAGCCAGTCCAAGCAATATATATACAGGGTGTCCCATAAAATTTGACATTATTTGAAATATAAATATCTGAGTAACTACATGTCCTAGCCCAACGAAATTAAATAGGCATCACGTTCAACAATAAAAGATTTATCAAAATTCAAACAAGATCTTCAAAGGGATTTAGATTGTATACCTGATTTCACAAAGGTTCACAAATGTTCAATATGCGCACCGCCTGTGACACGACCCATGTCAAGTCGGTAGTCTACCTTCTGCCAAACACTCTGTAGCATGTCTTGCATAACATTTCATTTCATCAAAATTTCATAACAAATTTTGTTAAAATTTGAGATCATTTGAGCAAGAATTGGCTATGTCATTAGACTACGGAATGATGTCCATTTTTTTGGGACATTCTGTATATCCTTGACAGCACGCTGACCAGCCTTATGAAAGCTCAGACAAGTTGCGGCTAATGAGTCGTGGCTTGTGACATCATCACCTGGTGCCGCTACTCCTTTCCGAGCATGCACATTGCCCCTATGTGCGCTGTTATTCGATACTCAGCTGCTAGAGTGATGCTGGGGCGACTTGGCTCGTGTGCCGACAGAGAGGGCTCTGCATGCCATAGGTTCACCACCATTGTGCTATAGTATGGGAAACATGATAGGCTATAGACTATGAACTCTGGAAGGTTACAGGGAAGTAGATAAAGTGATGAAGTAGATAAAGACTTTATACAAATGGAAGAACTTATTTGGATTAAGAATAATTTCTCATGCAGTATTCTTCCCTGAGGTCAGATACAATAATGAGGTTCATGCATCATGGCCAATTCCTAGGTTGTTAAATTCAGGAACTGAGAGGGGCACATAGGAGTGAGCAAGCTCGCTACTTCAGCTTCTTCTGGGTTAGCTCTGGGCTTTTTAAACCATGATGGTTCAGGTTTGGACATCATAAAACAACTCAGAAACAGGGAACTCCTTGATTCAACTGAAAACAGAAACAGGCAAGTAGGTAGAAACCAGTACAGATGCTGATTGTTGCAGGCTCAAACAGCCATATACAAACTGGACTGTGATTGTTCAAACTGGATATTTCCTTTCATGAGGAGCTTTCTGTGAAAGGAAAAAAATTTTTTAGATCCAAGCCACTCTTGCTCCCCTTATTGGAAATGATGCTAATACATGGTACAGACAGTGTGGTATGGTGGTTAAAGTGTTGGATTGGGGGCCCAAGAGATCCAGGTTCTAGTCCCCATGCGGCCATGAGCCTCACTGGATGCTCTGAGCCAGTTACTCTTAGTTAACCCACCTCACAGGGTTATGACATTAAACTGGAGTTGAGGAATATTTAAGCCACCTGAGGTTTCACACAAGAGGTAAAAAGCTAGAATGTAAATGTGTTATTGTTGACAGAGCATACCATTAAAGGTGTTTTGCCATCTTTATCTTTAGTATTCACATCAGCTCCAGCATCTATTAAAAGTACAGCCACATCTGCTTTTCCTGTTATTGCACATAGTCTCATCAGAGGAGTCCATTCCAGGCCTGTGTCTTTAGGATCAACCTGTTTTCAAAAGGAAGTTCCTCTGTGAAACATGCATTCAATTAAATGGAAATTCTATCTGTTCTTTCAAATACTTGCTGAGCTATTACCCACCTCAGTGTTTGTTCCATTAGAGTACTTCTAATTTTGCTTTGTACTGTGCTTTGTACTGTTGTTATAATGAGCTTCACTATTATAATGAGCTTCACTATTCTTTACACAAAATCTACATGTCATACTACATGACATTCTCAGTGTCCTATTCTATGGTAAGTTGTTTCATTTACAACTTCACTATGCTTAGTACACCTTTGTTTTCCTTCTTCAACCTTTCAACTTTACTTTGACTGAATACTTTTTGGCAAGGAAGATGTCATTACTGTTTTCAGTATAATGCATTACATACTGTAGATAAATATGTAGTAGCAACAGCCGTAGTGGTAATATTGGTGGTCATAATAATGCCAACTAATGCTACTTTCTACTAATACATTTCATGTATTTTTATTCTACCTTTCCAGATGCTGCCTACATATAATTGGCATAATGATTATGCTTTTCAAATGCTATAATTACATTTAATGCTGACTTTGCCATCTTAAAATATTTTAATTTATATGTTCAGTTGTGTCTACATTTATGTATTTAGCCACCTAGAAACTTCTCTGGAATTAGTGGGTGGCATATAAATTTAAAAATGAATAAATAAAAATTAAACGCTGTGATAGAAAGCAGGAAGTGGAAATGTCCCCCTGCATAAGTAGCTTACAGACATGCACACTCTCAATTCAACTCAACATTTAGACATTATCAGAATTTACTTCAGGCTCTAGTGTCCTGTATTATTTCACCAGTACTGGCAACAATGCTGAATCAGACTAAAAATAATTATAGGATTTCTAATAAGAAAACTAACCTCATGGTACTTTGCAGATTACAAAATTAGACACAATTACAGTATTCAGTACAAACTAATGTAATATAAAAGCTTATCTAAGCAGGTAATGCATTTTTTTCTGTGCTTTGCACATTTGCAGCACACTATTCCATAGTTCTTACCAACATAAATCTATAATGCCGTATGTACACATCTGAAAAACTGCTTTAAAATGTTTCTTGTTACATAAAGGAACCTGTACCTCGCAGCCATCTTGGATCATCCACTCAATAACATTGCAGTGCCCTCCATCAGCAGCCCAATGCATAGGTGTACAACCCCCGAGGTCTCTGGATTGCCAGGAGGCTCCTTGGCTTCTGAGATGCTTAACAATGTCCAAGTGACCCGCAAAACAAGCAATCATTAAACTGTAAAATAAAAATGCTTATTAAAAAAACCAAAAACACTATTTTGTATGGCTGTTAAAAATGAAAATTAAATCATTAAGTAACCCATATTTTATTCTAAAAGTTGTTCTGGCTGAATATTTACTTCTAAGAACTTTGCATAAATGTATACTGCTATACAAAGTAATGGATGCATGTCTTTGACTTTTCCTACACAAGGCATTTATTGCACACTTATCATTTCACAGTTGTTTGCAGCTCTCTAAACAACTGTGTGACTCTTTAGTGTTGGCTCTGTTTTTAAACCACATTTTTGGTGATTTTTTTCAGAGCAGGGAAAATGTGTTGTTATTTAAGAAAAGTGAAAAGAAAATGCTATTTTCATTTATGAATTTGAGCTATTCTGCTATACTACACTGTCACGTAGAGGTTAGGTAGCTGAAAAGCAGGAAACAAGAAAGCATGAAAGGAAATGAGTTCCAATCTCAACTCTGTGATGAAATTGAGAGTAGATACAGTGGATTAACAGCATCATGTAGAAAAGTTCAATATCTCATCACGTATGACAGTACAGAGGTACCTCAGCTCACGAACGCCTTGATTCACAACCAAATTGTGTCAAGAACAAAAATTTCATGAAAATTTTGACTTGGGTCGCGAACTCGGCATTGGGTGGCGACCAAGATTGCAGCCATCTCCACAACCCACCGAGCAGGGCACCCTGAAGTTACAAACTTGTCAAGCCTATCCTTGAACACCCTCACCGATGGGGCCTCAACCACCTCACGTGGAAGCCCATTCCATACCCTTGAGGTCCTGTCAGGAAGTACTTCCTGGCATCTAAATTGAACCTTGGTTCCCTGAGCTTCACTCCGTTGAAGCACTTCCTGCCCTCCTCTGCAGGGGAGAACAGATCTCTACCCACCTCCGTGTGACATCCCCTCACATACCTATATGTCACCAACAGATCCCCTCAGAGTCTCCTCTTCTCCAGGCTGAAAAGACCCAGTTCCCTCAGTCTCATCACTTGTCCCCTAACCTGTACTTATGACACCCATTCCTATGCCCCAAGTGAAAGACCTCACACTTATCCACATTGAACGCCATCCTGTTGTCTCCTGCCCACTTCCATAGTCTGTCCAGATCCTTTTGGATCTGGAGTACCTGCTCTTCAGTTGTGGCCACTGGTTTTAGTATCATCTGCAAATCTGAACAGCAGACTGTTCACCCCTTCTTCCATGTCATTGATGAAAAGAGCAAACAGGATCGGCCCCAGGACAGAGCCCTGGAGGACCCCACTTGTCACTGGCAGCCATCCCAATGATTCGCCACTAATGGTTACCCTCTGCTTTTGGTCAGTCAACCATGCCCTAATCCATCAGACAGTGCATTGGTCTATCCCAAAACTACTCAGTTTTTCAACCAGGATATCATGGGGCACTTTGTCAAAGGCCTTGCTGAAATCCAGGTAAACCGCATCCACTGCATCCCCTCCATCTAGCCACCTCGAAACCTTGTTGTTGAATTCGTCTGGCAGGACCTGGTTTTGCAGAAACCATGTTGTGTGGTCGCCAGCTTCCCTTCCCTATCTAGCATCACTAGATCTCTTGCTATTTTGAGCCTTTCTGTTGTTTTTCCTACAATGGATGTAAGGCTAACTGGTCTGTAATTCCCCATGTCCCTTCTACTACTCTTTTTGAAAATTGGGACCACTGACGCCACCCTCCAGTCCTCTGGAACTTCACCCATTCTCCACGAGACCTCAAAAATGGAGGCCAGCAGGTGTGAGAGAACCCCTGCCAACTCTCGAAGTACTCTTGGGTGTAACGCGTCAGGGCCTGGCGCCTTTGTTATGTCAAATGCCCTGAGGAGCCCCTTGGCTTCTCGGGGGGTGACTCTAATCTGTACCCCTAAGTCCCCGGCCTCATCTAATCTGCCATGGGTATCTCTCTGTGCCTGTTCCCTCACATCAGTCACTGGATCCCCTTCCTCCTTATTAAGTGGTTCCACTACCTGTCTCCCTCTTGCTATTTACATGCTGATAGAAGCCCTTTTTGTTGCTCTTGATATTCTTTGCAGAGTCTCAGCTTGTAATCTCAGCTTGTAATCAGCCTTAGCCATGCAAAGAATCCTTCTGCAACAGGCCTCCTCCTCCTGGTATACCCTTTTGTCTATTTGCCCCAGTACCCATTTCCTACGGAGGTTTCTCTTGTGTCAAATCCCTCTTACCACCTCCTTTCACATCCATGGCAGCACTCTCCTTCATCTCCCTGCCTTACTGACTAGAGGTATCTTCAAGGCTTGTGCCTCCAAAACCTCCCTTTTGAGTACCATTCATCCCTCTTCAACTTCCTTCCTTCCAGTAACCTATTCCAGGAGACTTTCCCCAGTCTGGCCTTCAGTTGGCCCTTTTGAAGTCTCAGCTTCTAGTACTCAACCTGTTCCCCTGATCTCAAAGCAAAGGAGGGAGTGATCGCTCGCATCCAGAGCTTCCCTAATCTGTACTCCATCTCTCAGCTCCTGTTAGTCAAAAGCAAGTCAAGAATATTCCCTCCCTTGTTGCCTCTCAGACCCTCTGCATGAAAAAACCTCCCTGTATAGCATCTAAGAACCTGGCTGTCACCGCTGAGTTAGTCTCCCAACTAATATCCAGGAGAATGAAATCTCCTATAATTACTGTGTCCCTCTCCTGAGATATCCTTAAAATCTGATCTAAGGTTGATGGAGCTCTGGGATGGGGCTGATGAGAAGTTCCTACAGTTGCTGGGTAGGAGAGTGGGAAAAACTACTTGGTCTTGCTGTCAGGAACCAATGAATCCAGGTTGATACAGAGGCAGTAGACTGGCCTGGGTACAGAGTGGTGTGTCCTGTATTTATTTAAAACATTTCCATGCCATCCTTTGCATAGCCTCAGGATGGCTCACAACCCTGTATCTCCCCTTCAGATAAAGAGTGGGGTGCAACCAGTTCCACTCATGCTATCAAGCCTGATCGAAGAGCTGGCAGTGGAACGGTGGTGGAGTTGGTGGCAAGACTAGTTGCAGGGCTAGCATGGATGTGGAAACCAGGGCTGCTGGTAGAATTAATGACTGCATACATACCAACGGTGTCAATGGTAAGCAGTGTCAGGCCCATTTTGAGGGCTTTTCTTTACCCTTTTTGGCTGCCATCTTAGTGTCATCTGCCATTTTGTGGGACTTCTTTCTCTCGTGAAAGAAGGCAGGACCCTGTGAGGTTGAAGGGTGATCCTGAGACTTTGTGGTGACCAATTGTATCACCATAAAGGCATGGCTCCACATTTTGGTTTTGAGCTGGTCTTTTGGTATTTGCGAGTCTGCCAGGTGAAGTTCTGGCAGTGGGGCGAGCCCACTCACTAATCTTTGCTGAGGCAAATCGCTAGAAGTGGTAAGTGGAGAGGTATTTGAAAGTTAAGAAAGTTCTGGAAGTCTGGAGGAACATGGAGAGCAAGAGACCCTCAGCAAATAGCCATCAAAAAAGAACTAGGGAGAATGGCAGGGGCCCCACCTATTTATACTAGAGGGAGGAGGGTGGGGCTTCCACCAAAATTGAGCTTAGCTACGAAAAACTTCCTGACAAGAGGTACCATGCAGGCACAGAGCCCATATATGTGATGCACAGAGACCATGACAAAAAATATTTATTGCTACATATGTATTTATTCGTTTTGCCAATTTTGCTTGACATTGTTTTGATATATACTTGAAATTTTGTTCACAAGCAAATACTGATACTTCCAAAAACAATGCATGGCTAGAACTAAAACAGCAAGAATGGCAGGACAATATGCTTTCTCTGAAGAGCCATCCCAAAACAGTTTAGCCTGCCTACATTTCATTGTACAATGTTGATGTAGGTAATGCATATGTATGAATCATAGCACTACTGCATAACCCCCAAACACATACATTTATATTAAAGATACATTTGGACTCTATTATATCACCTAGCCCCCTGTATTCTGTCATGAAATAATATACTACATTTATTACCTGTCTTTTCCACTGGAATTCTTCTTGTTCACATCCGCTCCATTTTCTACCAAAATTTGTGCAAGTCTAGATACAAAATTTTTGCATCATTTCATTTTCCACAAACAAGCTTCCTTTGCACAATAAAAGAAAGCATTGATGCTAATTTTGTTGGCTACTACAGTAAAACATTATTAACTTAAAAAGAAATCACAAATCTTCCAATCATTTGTAAGCTCATACACCATCCTGAAATCATTTATAAGCTAACAACATGCTTTTTAAGCCAATGAAATCCATTGATTAGAATGCTGGATAAAATTCCTTATTCAAATCACATCTTGGTCTACACTCTTTTTCACTCTTAGTTTTCAGGATATGAAATAGGAAGAATAACTGCTTATTGTACAGTCTATAATGATGAATCAGAAAGGAGTCTGAACACTAAATATAGTCTTAGCCTCTTTAGTTGTAATATATTCAAAGAAGAAAAATTAATATGCACCAAAGTTAATACATTTGAAAGCAGAGATGTACACCCTCCACCTTGGTCAAACTGCATAATAAAACTATTGCCAACCAGTTGTTAGCATTTATAACATTATGAGTATAATACATATAGTTACCTATGTATATGTATTTACATAATCCCCAAAAGATGCATCTATAAAGCGTGTAATCTCCCTGTTGCTTACAACCTGAGAAATACAGTCACATTTTTCAGAGAGCCACTGGGAGACAGGTAAAATTGTTCTGGATCTTACACTGGGCTGGTTCACATGTCACAGTAAGCCACCCTGTGTTATTTCACTAGCAGGGCTCTGAGATACGCACAAAGTACCATTTTGAATATGCAACCTGTGGTAGAGAGCACACTTTATGATTGTCATGTAGTGTAACCCAGATGTCATGAATACTCTTCTTTCCTTGTTTGGATATTGTGCATCTTTAAATTTCTTGATATTTTCCTCTCTTTCAGTATGTAATGCTGCCACCAGGAATTTAATTCCAATCTTATTAATTAACTTCTCCCACAGTATTGGGCCAAGCTATAAGGCTCCTTCATTGGACTATGTGGTCCTGAGGATGACAACACTGATATTCAAATAGTCTATGTCTCTGGGTTAACAATAAACAAAATAAAATTTTATTTGTACAATAAGCATATTGATTTCAAGATGTTCAGTAACTTATTTCCTTAATGAATAAAACAATGTATAATAACTTCTGACTAAGATATTTCACTTTTTCCCTTCATAATCACTCTCAAATGCTCCTTTCTCTTCGGAATGTTCTTTGACCAGTCTTTATTCTATTTATCTTGTGTTCAATCTTTCCCTTTTGCACTCAGGTATATGTCACACCCATATAATACTTGATAATATTAGGTTTTGACTCTCCCTGCTCACTAATATGCCCTAAAAATATTCTACTTCCTTCCTTTATGAATCCTAAATGCCTTCCACTGTACTAAGAGTCTAACGAGAAGGCTGCCTCTTTAGATCCTGCAGACCACTGACTGATCACAACTGACTGTCAACAGCTGAGAAAATTGAAAGTATCTATTTCTCTTGCCTTACACCCTTAAAAGCTCCACCCATACACTCTCAGTCACCAACCAATCTCCTCTTTTACCGCCCCCCGCCCTTCTGAAACTTACCAACATTTAAAGGAACAGATGTTGTAGTTATTTGATTGATTGATTCATTCATTCATTGAATGATTGCACCTGTATGCCACCCCATAGCCCAAGGACACTTTGGGTGGCTCACAAAACAGAGTAACAGCATAACCATAAAACCCATAATAAAGTTAAAACTATCCAATGGAGCATAAAATACAAGTAATATAAAACACAGAAGAATCAATAAAGCAGACACTAAAATCAGCAAAAATAAGATAATAAAACCAAACATTTTTCTAAAAGCAAGTACTAAATAACACTCTGATAATAAGAGTTCATAAGCTGGGAGATGTTTATCCCTCAAATAGTCCACAACACACATGTTCACATAACACATCCCCACCACTGCATATTCAACATGGTACCCCACATGCATCTCAGAGCTTCATGGGTAATTAACCCATGGTGCCTTATCATGACATGCAAACAAGATCAGCACCTCATCAATTGTCCATCCCTGATTTTAAAGCATGGTAGTGCAAATATCATATCCCTCAAAAATAAAGAAGTTAATGGAAAACATCATTTGATCTGATCTGAACAGAAAGCACTGGTGTATAAATTCAAGGCTATAGAAGAAAAAGGTAAAAGAAATGATATGATACTACCTACCTAAAATATCCTTTTTGTGAAGTAACCATCAGAGCTGAAAATCCTAGTTTATTAAGTGTATCTACCACCACTTTCCTTTTCAAAAAAGAGAGTATATCCATTATTGTTTTGTAAATGTTTCCACCACAACTACAGTTCTTTCCTCCACATATTTATAATCTAGAGCAGGGGTCCCCTTTTTGAATAGGGGGCCAGTTAAAAGGTGCCAGGGATGGGTGCGGGCCGCCAAGGCAGTGTGGGCAGGGGGTGCAGGCCAAGGCACATGTGCGCACGCAGATAGGCATGTGTGCGCAGAGATCCTTTTCTCTGAGCGAGTCCAAAACTATCTCCTTGCGAGCAAGCTGGCACCTCGCCACATGCTTTTAGGCCCCCTTCTACCTCACCATACAGGGTGGTGGTGCTGTGGTAGCAATATGGGGCATTTTCAGAATGCCCTAACCTGACCCCAGCAAAGAATTATGCCACTGTGGCCTTGTGGGTTCTTTCAGGTCTTGTGGGTTCTTAAAGTACTGCAGTACTGTAAATGTTCCCTATCCCCCACATACTTTTCCATCTTTCTGCTGTTCCTGTGGAAGATCAACCAGACACTTACAGAGCCTTTGTGGGGGATGCTTCAATGGGTGCCTATCATACTTTTGTTCTGTTTTGACCTCTTCCTCTGCTCATCACACAGCTTCAAACCCCACTGTAGTACTTATTAAATTCTGGAGGACACAGAAATGTGGGGAGGTCCAGAGTACCCCTCTAAAATACCCAAGGCCCATGCCCTGTCAGCTAAGACTTCCCTGTGCTGACTGGCAAGCAGTATGGCTCTCTGACCAATAGTTTCTAATTCTGTCTCATAACCTGCTAACCAATTGCAGCAGCTGCACATCACTGACGTAGCAGTCCCTGCATTTCTGCTGTTATCCTGTAATGCCCACCATCAAAAGATATTGCGTCTCCCTTGGCTGCTGCTCCGTGGCAGCACTCTCTTACTTGCTAGTGCACAATCTTAGTGGCCGTTACTGCCTATCATATCTTAAAAAGATATTATGGTTTGGATGCAGAGGGGCCTTCCCCACTCTCCCATCTAATGTCAACTCACTGAAAAACCTTCCCCACAATTGGGGAGCTTCCAGAGAGACTCTTGAGGAAGAAGATGCAGCAACTATGAGGGGCAATGATTAATTATACATCATGCTGGCCTTCTGCTTGTGCACAACCGGTGGGGGAGGGGGTTGGATCCAAGACAATGTTACGAAAATATATAAAGCACTAATTGTGTTAGCAGCATGATAACTCACATTTCAAAATCTACCACACTGGGCTTATCCTAAAATATTCAGGTCACTAGGAGACTGGAAAATCTACTCCTTGTGACAGAACACACCTCATCAGATAACTTTTCATATTATCTTTTGAACATTATTACATGAATATGGACATTTTAAAACATGAATCATTTTACAGGAGGTGGCTGAGGCTCCATCAGTGAGGGTGTTCAAGGATAGGCTAGACATGTACATGGTAGGCATGTCGTGAGCAGAGCCAGCTAGAGCCGGGGGTCAGACTAGATGGCTTGGGAGGCCCCTTCTGACTCACTCTGTTTCTATGTTTCTCACCTTCCTCGAAGAATATTAAGAACTTCATCTATATCATTCCTGCTTACAGCACGGTGAAGGTGGTCCCCACTCACTGGTTCATCTCAAGACAAAGCATGCAAAATGGGTTAGACAGAGATTTCTGCTAGTATTCTTTCAACTATTTAAACAATGTAGAATTACACAGCATTTGAGTATTCCCAAGCTGCTAAACAAAACAAGATAATGCATTTATTTTTAAAACACTGAGATCACTTTTCTAAAACAGAAAATAAAAATAAGAAAACACCGCCTCGATGAATCACAACATGCTGCATGTCACTCTTTGTGATGTGTTCAAAAGCATGTGGCTAAGCTAGGAAATTCCCAGTTTAAATTGCACAAATTTATGAGGAGGCCTTGGGGCTTAGGCAATTCACTTTTTCGTCTTCCCCAACAATTGCAATATGGGAATGTAACAATATCAGGGTTGTTGCATAAATAATGCACGTGAAATGTGTTGGACACTGAAAAAGTATATACATAGATTATGTCTATGCTTTCACAGTCCTTTATTCTGTGTCTCTACGAGGGCATACAGTTCTCAGGGGCCATAAAACAATACAATTTGAAAAAAAGGAAGTTATCTTAGAAAGTCAAAGGAAACAATTAAATTGTACACTTCTTCATCTGGGAGTAGTTATATTAAAAACATTTTTACTTAATAAAATTTCCTGATGGGTAACTCAAGGAAGATTGACAAAAGTTCCTCAGGGAAATTGGGTCTATATAATAAATGGTGAACAAAAAAAGAAACCTGACAAGTGAAGGTCATGCCTTTCTCTTCTGAAATAAACCCTTCATGAAAGGTAAAGAAACCACTTGCTTGCAGATGTGTAGAGCAATGTATTCTAGTGTGCCAATAGGAATTTATTTATCAAACTGAAAACTCTATTGAAGGCTGTGAATAAATGATGAACTCATTGGTGAAGACATTCTCCAATTAACAAGCAGCAGCTGTTTGTCTTTCTATTTAGGGGGGATTGATTAAAATTGCACGCCTCATTTGAACAGGACTTTCCTGTATTTTACCAGGGGAAAAAAGAAGTATCACACCCTTTTTTAAAGTACTTGCCTCTCTGATTTATGAAGCCTCTTTCCAGCTGAATGCAAATTCTAAACCAAAAGCAATGTTTTGTTTTAATGTGAATATTCTTAACATGCACATTAGTGAAGCTAGGAAATAAGAAAGAAATCTATATTTATACTAAAGCTATAATATAATATAAAGCTATTATAAATTTATAATAAATTTATATTTATCATAAAGCTGTATGATAAATAAGAAAACCTGTGGATAAGTTTTCATATAAATCCATTACACTGTCTGGAAAACAAACATTATGTGAAGTGCAATGCCAAAATACATTATGAACATCCCAAATACATAATTTCCCTTATTTTTAGAATGATTATTTCAGCTCAGATATACTGGTTCTGGGATAATGTGAATAATATACAACGGCTTGTTTACTACCAATTGGCTGCAAGACTGAAAGGGGAAACGAAATTAGGGAAAGGCACCATAAAAGATTTGATGGATTTTGAAAAGCTGATTACACAACAAAATGATCATCCATTAGGAAGACTTTATAACTGATTACTTCAATATGACACTGACAATCAGCAAGACGAGAAATGTAGGACAATTTGGATACAGAACCTTGGAGAAGAAATCCCACCCCTCAGTGGGAAGCCTTATGGAAGAAAAATAATAAATTCACAGGTAGTCAAGAATTAATAGAAAATTGGTATAAGATTTTTTTGGTGGTATATCACTCCACAAGATATAGAAAAATAGACAAGAACTTAAATGGAAAATGTTGGAAATGTAATAAAGTAGGTGGGACTTTCTACCATATGTGGTGGACTTGTGAAATAATGAAAAGATTTTGGAGGTTGATACATGCGGAAATACAAAGAAAACTTTAAAACTAAGCTTCCTATGAGTCCTAAGAATATGCTTTTAAATATAATGCCACTCTTTTAAATAACACGTCAGAGTTATCCAAATATATGACAACTGCAGCAAGAATTAGAATTGCTTCTAAATGAAAAACACTAGAATGTCCAATAATTGAAGACTGAAAAAATAAGTTAGCAGAATATGCAGTGATGACAAAGGTAATTATGTAAACAGAAGACCAACTGAAGAATTTAATGATAAATGGAAATTTTATTATATCCAGCATAAGTAGTATGATGTAAAAGGAAGCTTGTTAAAATGTTGATGATGATTTATGATTTGAAGTGATTGGAAAATTTGTCAGTATAGCGAATTATAGTCATTCTTTTTTCAAGCTTCAACAGAGTATTGAATGAAAAAAGTATAGAAATTTTTGACCTCTTTGGAAATTTGCAGATTATGAATGCATTGGTTATATTGGTTTAAAATCCTCTGGTGATTTTATTTCACTTTTCTTATACCCTTCTCATTCTTATCTAAGAAAACAATAAAAGTGGGAGGGGAGAACAAACATGAAGTGAAATGTAATACCAAAATACATTATGAACATCCCAAATACATAACTTCCTTTATGTAATGATGATGATTTCAGCTTGGATATACTGGCCCTGGGATAATGTGAACAATTTTTTCAAGGTACTATCATTTGATGATCTGCTGATTTCCAAGGGTTACAACAGTGTTGGGCGCTCAAATTGAGTAACTAGCTCTTGTTGGAGAAGATGGTGCCTCCTTTGTTCATACAAATACAAGGTTAAAGAGGAAACTTGTGTGTATGCAAGCTCTACAAGAGCTGGTCCTAGATAAGAGAGAACAAGGAGGAACCAGGCCAAGGATGAGTGTTTGAGCTGCAGCTTGTTAGGGTCATCCATAGATAAGGTATGAATGGAGAGGGGACAATTCCCAGCCTCAGGAAGGGAGGGGGTCTATGAGAAAGCTGTCAGAGGATGCACAGTTCCAAGACATTCTGTCTTACAAATGTAATAATATGGTGAGAGCCTTGCATGCCATATTCTTAATAAATATTGCTGATTTGCTTTTCTTCAATCTATTTTGGCCAGTTTCATGCAAGATCTAACAATGTGGCAACAAAGGTGGGATCCTTGGTGCTCCTTGATTTCATTGAATCACTGCTGAATTCCCTAACCCCTAATTTAAAAAAAAACAGAGAGAGACCTTTCTCTTGATAAACTTCTCTCTAGGAAATTTCAATGATTTAATGTCAGGATGGTAAATTCCAAGGACAACCAATAGACAGCAGGGTCAGCCATGTTTATTAATAGATTCTGAGAATACCAAGGCAGCTGTGGGGATTATTTGAAGGGTTCACTGGTGGACTCCCTTCTGAGGAAAATGGATATTGGTCCTTGTAGGCCAATCTGGCACCAAATAAAAATGCTTTGCCTCCTGGGTTATCAGTAAACCTGATAGTCTTTCTCTGTGTGGGCCATGGCATGGGTTTTCTATCTTTCCCTTTAAAAAAGGGGAGGGAGGCTGATCAGGAAATGCAGGAGCCAGGATGCTGCCATCTGCCTCTTTAAGAAGGGCTGTTCCTAATCCACAGATAAATCAGACTACCATTGGCTTAGATCTGAGAATTTGTGATTGGAACAAAATCAGACTTGAAAGGGCTTTTCTACCGGTCCCTCTGGGATTCAGTCTGTCTCCTAAAAGTCCATGGACATTAGCCAAAGGGTTGAAAAAAATAAGCATGTCAGGAAAAAAAAGAAATTGAAACTCTGAAAGCTGCTCTGCTTTTCTTGCCCCACATTAAAGGTTCTTCTGTCCACGATGTGATTCTTTAATTTTCCTGATTGCACCTCTAGAGACCTCTCTATTCTCAATCTCTCTCTAAAGCCTTTCACTAACCCAAAAGAGAAGCTGTGCTGGGCAAGAAGATGAGAGATTTAAAAGACGAAAGAAACTACTCATTCTTGCTTCAAGCACAGGTGAAACAACCAGCAAGAATGTGTTTATCTGGTTCATTACAACACAATGATGCCTCATAGGAAAAACACATGGCTGCCTATTTTTCTTTTTAAGAGAAACCCAACTGAAAGACCTTTGAGCCCAAAACTAAAAATTACAAAGTTGCAGTTGTAAAGTTGGTAAGATTTCTTGATGCTTCCTCTCAGAACACCAGGCATGGATTCTGCTAAAAAAATAAAATTAAAAAAAAAATTCTTTTAATCTCTGATTTGAAGAAGGGTGTTTGCCTTCCCTCCAGTTCCAAGTTGGAAAAAAATAGGATCATATGTAGTTCAGGGACTATTCTCAAGGGGGGAGGGGGAGGGGGAGGGAGCAAAATACTAGGAACGTTTCAGTATGTTCAACTCCACTTGGAGCCTCCAGGCATCCTGCTCCAGCTTCCCCTTGGAACAAGGCCTAAAATAGGCCTGGAGCAGAGGAAGAGCTGTGTGAAAAAGTCTCAGGTATGCTACTATTCCAAAAACCTAAACCACTGCAAGAATGAATGCCACAAGCTTTGGAAAAATAATCTGCCTCCAACATGCCCAGCCAGTCTATCTCTTCTTTCCTTACTATCATTCCTCCATATTTCTCCTGTGCAATTTTGTTTATTCTTAATTCTCTTCTGGTATTTATCCCAATATTTTGTAGTGCTTTTACAAATGTTAGAATTTTAGAAAATCTGGCAGAGTGCCAAATCTCTGATGGCCATCAACTTCCAAGTCAAGCATTCCTTTCTGTTTGCAAACTGAGTACTCAACCAATCTGTTGGTTAGAGATCTCCTGAGCAAATTGAACCTATGCTCAATTATGTTTATGGAGGAGTGGGGTTGCTGGAAGGGGGGTTACTACTGGAGTTGCTTTCTTGCAGTAAGCTTCAGTTGTTTGTACAGCCATTTTCTTTTTCTCATCATAAATGGCCTTGTAGTAGTGTAGGGCCTGTTACAAGGACAACTTCTAAATGGGAATTAGATCAGTATTAGCTTGCCTGTACCACAGATGGAAAAATGATGTTGCATTGACAGCAGAGAGAGAGGGAGAAAACCAGAACCTGTTTGAGTAGAACTTGGCAGGCTTGATCCCCTCTGAAGTGGCCAACAAGCCTGCAAATATTGCCCATTTCTATAAAAAGAAAGAAAGACAGTTCTGATTATTTTCTCTATTTTGTTTAAGTTTGGTTTTGTTTGGAACTGTAGCATTATATTATTCTTATGGTTTATTGTAAATTAGCAGAGCAACTCAGAAATGCATTCAGAAAATGAACAAACAAAAAGAACAAACAACATACACTATTTTAAAGTGTTCAAAATACTTCATATTGATGATCTGGATATAACCTATGCAAGAATGATGGTGACCTAGCTTAACTCTGTAAGACACTGACTTTAAAAGAATGGTCTAAACTGTTTTAAGAAATATTTTTTAATATCATTATTGCAATGCTGTATTGTATTTAGGATGTTTTAGTGAATATGGAAGTATTATACATATACTAAGATGCACATTTGGTTTACTCATGTGATGTGACTTACATACAAATGCAACTTAAGGATGTTTTCAGGAATAGCACTTGTCCATAACCCAGGGACTAGTATAGGGGGAAGGCTTCAGCTCTATTTGGCGCCCTTTGCTCTCCTTGACAGGAAGTGCAATAGTGCTTCTCCTGTCTACTGCCTCTGCTGTTCGCATGTGTTCCCAGGGAGAATAACAGTGCTAGGTTGGGGACCAATAATGGAGAAAATCTTTTTTCTAAATTGCAATCTTGAGAAATTCAAATAATAGCAGAGCTTTGTTTAAATAAAGCATAGGTGAAGTAAAGGACTTCAGTGCATCACTGAGAGAAGTGCAGATGGGGGCATCAGTGGGTGTTTACAGCTCTCCCACCACCACCTCTCTTTTTCTGTTAAAGTTGACTCTTGAGACTAGAAAAGGGACTAAAGAAGAGAATTCACTTGAAAATTTCTTGCAGTGACTTGAGACTTGACTTGCACTTGAAAGTAAAGACTTGACTTAAAACTTGGAGTAAAGAACTTGAACACATCACTGCTAATTAATGAGAAATGCTTCAGCATAGTTTTTTTCATTGAAACATTTAAGGTGGTCCTCAGCTAACTAGAAGCTAGGATAGAATTGGTGAATCAGTTGTCAGCTTTTGACTGTAAACAAGTTTGAGCCTGCTCCTAGTCTGTTAACTTCAACAGGACTTAGCCTTTATTCACAGAATGTGATTTGGATATGCAGACAACTCTGAGCCTTATCACAGATTCTTGAAGATGGGAAATATACAGCAGTCTCAGGAAAGAAATTCTTATGCTGCCTAGGAGCTTCTCAGAATGATCCTGCCCCCCTCTGATGTTGATGTTCTTACATGCACATTGGTGCTGCTCTGTTAGAGGAAGACAACCTCTGTTCTATAGATGTAGAAAATATAACCAAAGCTCTAGTTTAGAGACTAAAGAAATAGACCATTGATGTTATCATAACCTCATGTATTTTTGCTGAATTATTCTAGATAATGCAAAACTTTAACTCCATGCCTGTCATGCACCAAGTATTCTTCCCTTCACACATTCAAAACAACAGATAATTTCTTTGCAAAAAGCTCTAGAAAGGGTTGTTAGTCACATCTCTATAACTGGCAACATCCTCTGAATCCAGGCTCATCTTCTTCAAGAGGCCTGATTACCACCTCCTTCAAGGAAGAGGGGTACAGACCTTAATTCAGAGAAGCATTGATGACCTCCTGAACCCTTTTCTGGCTTTAGTGATAAGCCAGGAAGAGCAAGAGTTGAGAGCATAGGAGGTGGGATGAACTTGTCCAAAGTCTTGAGCCTCACATTTCCAAGCTTCCTCCACCTTCTCCCCTTCATTCTGTTGCAAAGTCCAGATCACCATGGCCCATGAGCACACAGCAAGAACAATTGCCACCCTCATTTCCTACAATACCTGCTTAACAGCCTAATTGAATTCAATGGAACTTACATCTGAGTAGAACTGTACTGCAAAACATTTTCACTGCTTTTCATCCAAGATCTATTCCTGAACAGTTTACAAAGCAGTTTATTTTCATTCTATCCTTTTGGCTTTTTGATGCATTTAAGTTACTGCCTATGCTCATCATGATGAAAAAGAGAAGTTTATAATCTAATAAGCACCAACCACAATGGAGTGCATGGCTAACCCACTACATATTTCATGCTTTAAATTTTTTTTCAAAAGAATCTTCCCCCTTCTATAAAGAAATACTAATTTCATTTTTAGTATCTACAAACCAAATCAGTGCAGTTAGATTTCTGGATCGGCATGACATTTCAATAATATAATTTTAAAATAGCACAAGAAGGGCTATTTATCACAAGCTGAGAGCAAACAGCTAATATCTGTCATATTATTTCTTGTATATAAAATGTAAATAAAATTGTCAGAAAACCTATTTGGAAAAAATAGCTAATATTAAACAGTTGTAAGAAAATTGGTATGGACTGATAAATACGTCCCTGTTTGTAACATGTGCCTGTTAAAAGTATTTAAAACCAATGTGAAAGCAATTTGTTTAATGAGAAATGTCTGTCTACACACTCTCTACAGTCTTAAATCTTTGATGAAATTCAAAACTCCAAGCTAAATTCTAAATCCAATCTCTCATTTCACCACCACCCCCGCTCCCGCAAGATCACTCTAGAGGATACCCTAACATCAGGAGGGTCATCTTCATGTAAAGAATGAGGTAAACAGTTGCTGCAAAATGGGGGATGGAAAATCCCCTTTAAGGAAGTTGAAATAAATATGGACTATTTATCAAAAAACCAGACATAGGTAACCCCATCAATCCATTAGATAACCTTAGATATCTAAAAGCCTCAGCATAGAAGGCTGTCTTAACCTGGTACAAAAGGATGACAAAGCTGGCACTAGGCAGGCCTCAGTAGGGAGATAATTCCACATTTGGGACTGCCACAAGGCTCTCCAACTTGTTGCAGTTTTCAAACACTTCCTTGCAGGTGGCATGCAACAGGAAGGTCTCAGATGTTGATCACAGAGTACAGATGGGGCATTGTTAAATATTGCAGTCCCAATCTTTGTAAGGCTTTATAGGTTTGCAATCCCAAGTCAGTACTCTTTATAAAGTTGCCTCCTAAGTCTCTGTTGACATGGAATGTAAGAAAAATAGGCAATATAACTTTCAAAGAGTTTCTCATGGTGAGAGACAGCTTACAGTTGCTCCATTTTTAACCTATAATAGATAATGCATAATTCTCTCATTCCTTTAGCTTGCACACCCTTCAATTTCTCATCCCAGTTGCAATGAACTTTGTAAGCTATAGATACAATTCTGAGATTATAACTTTTCATCCACATTAGCAACTCTGCTGTGCACACTCAGATATGGGTAGAATAAACTTCTTTGCCCTCTTACCTGTGCTTGTACCTCCTGCATGTTTTTTCTTTATTAGTATTTTCCTTTTTTGTCTAATCCACTAAAAATCACAATAACCTACTAGCCATTATCACCCAAATTCCGTATGTTTCACCTTTCCACAAACCTAGTGCACGACATTCTTGTGTTCAGTTATTTGCTTTTTCATAATCAACTTCTGGAAGCTAGCATCTGATTTACTTTCCAAGTCTATCTCTTATTACTGATACATACTGACAGGGTTTGCATGATGGTGTGACTCATCATCGCTTATATAACAATCACTCATCATGGCTGTTATTTAATAGCCACAGGACTGACAGGCACCATCTTGAATATTCAAGCTGCAACTGTGGCTAGTTCTGTCATCCAAAATCAGAAACTGCATTCTGAACTTGGGTAGCATGGGTTATGCTTAACCCCCATATAACTCATGCTACCCAAGTTCAGAAAACACAACAGGCCACAGTTTGAAAATTCAAAATGTCTTCCGGCAGTTGCTACAATCCATCACACCATATAAGCCATGGTAAGCTGTTTTATCATGTAAACAATCATGGGTACAATCCTCAAATGGGTTCTGTTCTTATTGTGACATTTCTCTCCTCTCCACCTTCAACCTGCACCAGTGCAGGCAAGTGATCCCTAAAGAACTACAGAAATACCTGTAGCAGAAACTTATGGCTGACTGAAGGTCATGTAGCATCTGGCTTCCATTTATGGCTCGGATGGAACTTTGTTTTCTGAGGTGACACATGAAGGAGGACAGGAAGGGTGGCAACAGCAAAAATGAACATTTTGTGGCCTGAATCCTTCGGTAACAATACTGTTTGAATGCCTAGCACAGTTTGGTAAAGAGCAAAGAAACCTGATGTGGCTTCCTGTCTTATTTTCTATTTCAGGCAGTCAGAGCTGAATAATGTGATGCTGTCATAAAAAAGCACAAATTATAAGATAAAGGTTTATCTTCCTTTAGAGAATACTGAGGAATAGCAAATGAAAAAGAAGTCTAAAATACAACCCTAACAAGGTAATGGATATATAATGCTTAGTTGGGAGCAGTGCTGCATGTTAATTGTACTGGATAAACTTTTGCTTTTCACTTAATAGCTGGTCCTATGTTTTACTTATTTATTCTGTGAATTTTTAATACTTAACGATGAATTGTGAACTTACTTGTTGTTGTTACACAAACAGGTGAACTGTAAACAGATTCTCCTGCAGGATCTGTGACTTTAAGCCGAAATCTGTAAGTTGTTCTGGGTTCAAGGCCTTCCACAACATGCTGTCGAGCATATCCTCTAAAAAGAGGGAAATTATCTTTGTTTTTTCCAAGTATTTTTCCATTTTTGACAGCATGTATATTTAAGGTTAGGGACAATGTCTAATTTAATACTAACGTAAATTAGGTTGTGCTAGTTTAAAGGACCTCTGGCACAACACCAATAATATCAGTTGGCATGACAGGTTTTCCACAAATCTCATCATACCAGGTAAAGCTGCTGTTGTTGCACTAGACATCCTTCACACTAATACAGTGTAATTTTATTTATTTATTTATTTATTTACTTAGCAAACTTATATGCTGCCCCATTCACCAAAGCCTCCAATTTGATAGCACTCTAATTTTGCAAACAACAACAAAATATTTGTGGTGTTAACAATTGACCATATATAGTACCTAGCACCTGTGAAAGTAATTGGGAAAAAGTTAGCTTAGGGGTAAGACAATTCCCAACTGCTTTTAACATGTTATTTTGGTGCTGTTATGGTTCAGAGTGAAGCCATCTGCACCTTCATGTGCCCCAACTGCACATACAGATCCAATGCTTTAATGTGATTGCTACTAAACAGATGCAGAACAGATCTCCTACTTAAGTATAGCCTTAGTTGTACACATTTGAAAGAGGAAAGTATGTAAAAGGAATGCACCCCTCCAAAAATAAGAGCAGAACATCTAAACAAGTTTCATCAAGCTATTACTTGTAACACATTTTAGGGAAAAACAGTGGTTCTGATCTAATATTTGGAATACAGACAAAAATGTCTATCAGAATCACAGAGTTACCAGGTACAAGTCCTACACACACACACACACACACACACACACACACACACACACACACAGAGAGAGAGAGAGAGAGAGCGCGAGCGAGCGAGCGAGCAAGAGAGGGAGAGAGAGTGCATGAAATATTTTCAGAGCATTTGACATTGTTAGGAGGTTGTTTCCTACAGGCCTCAAAATATTTTAAATTTTAAACTACTATAGATCATGTAAAATAGCTAGCATGACAAACAGTATTATTCAAACAGTCTAATTCTGCCACCTAGTGACAAATTCTACACAGAATCTTTCTAATTAGGAAACACATGACTCAGAGCAAAAAAATAAAAATGACAAATTATGTAGCTTCGCAGCCAATTAATTAATTAATTTTTAAAACATGTAACCAAATCCCCTAATTCTCAAGGAAATTAATAAAATAACAATGTTTGCAACCAAATGTTTCAGAGGGAGCCCAATTTTACTATGAAACATCCTGTATCTGTTCTGCAATTGAGGAAAATTTGTACAAATTAGGTCATACAGTAACAGTAGAAGGAATAGAAAAAGAACCAGGAGAACCCAGAGGGAGAGGTTCACAGGTCACACCAAGGATCCTATAGCAGCAAATGTTATTATCATGTATTAGTACCCACAAATGGGTAAGTTTTCCTTTTAAAAACAATAGAGCAGTACAAATTGCACTAAGAGCAAGGGTGATATACCCAAGTAACGTTGGCAGCCACTGATAGTCTGATTTCATAACCACCATCTAGAATATGCTCATTGTATCAGTCTCAGAATGCTCAAAGCATTTGGTATGAAAGATTACAGTAAAATTGTACTCACGTGTAAATTAGGCAGTAACAATGCAGCTTAGGATCCTCTTCTTCAATTGAAAATTTTAACCATTGCTCCTGAGGTCCCTTTCGTTGTTCGTCAAAGTCCCAACAAAGTTGAATAGTGTGGTGGCTCACCTGGCCTACAATCAGAGGCTGTGGTTTTAAGACAGAGTGTCTTCCTATGAATCAATCACATCAATGTGTTATATTTAATATTGACAATATACATAAACATATATCAAGAATTGGAAAGTCATTTTATATGCCTGATAATTATTCTGATTTGAATAAGAGATGCCTATGTATGCATCAAGGAGTAAAAAATGTAGGACTATCTTTAAATGATTTCTTTCTGTATAGAGCAACTCAATAATCAGAATTGTCAAACAATAGTGCATATTATGCATGGAATTCATTTGTTGCCACAAGTGTTTACACAGCTTATTTTATTAAATTTATACCCTGCTTTTTTAAAAAAGCAGCTTACATTACTCTCCTCCTCTTCCTCTCAATCTTATTCCTACAACAACTCTGTGGGTTAGGTTGGGCTGAGAGTCTGTGAATAGCCCAATGTCACCTAATTGGCTCCATAGCAGAGCAGGGATTAGAACACCTATGGTCATTAGACAAAGACTAGACAGCCACAGAATTATTTGCAGATTTAGCTCCAATCTCTGAAACTCTCTGAATTCAGAGTGCCTTCCCCCTACATTCACAGCAGGCACCAAAAGGAAAAAAGTGGCTTGCTGCAACTCTGCAATTACAACGGCAACCTTGGAAAAAGGCTATTACAGACATTCTGAAAGGCAGGGAAGACAGAAGTCAAGTGCCACCAGCATCAGCTGTCTAAATGTTTTGCAGGTAGGAAAAACATGGAGGCAACCTTCATTTGTAATCCTCTAAATTCAGAGGGTTATAGGTACTTGACTAGATTACACTGTTATTTAGTCAAAATACTTACATCATGCATTCTGATTAATTAAAATAACAATAATCTAAAATATAGATCAATGAATCGGCCTAAGCCAATATAAAATAGTAGAAGCAAAGCCAAGTTAAGTTTTCTCATTTAATTTTCCACCCACATAAAAGGGTTTTAAGGACATTTTGAATGGAATGCCAACAAAAAAGCAGCAAACTGTACCTTCCCAAGAAGCTAATTTTATAGTCTAATTAAAATTAATAGGGCCACTATTAAAAAGGCCCTGTCCCATATAAACACAGTGAAGAAAGAAGTTTGCAGGACTTTGCAGTAGGAGGCACTCTGGTAGCCTGAGCCAAAAAGAACTTTGGTAAGGTTGGTAAATGGGTAAAAAGCACTTCTGGCAGCTGATACTATTTGCACTTCCATAAATAGTACAGAATCCCAGAATACTCTCAAACTGAATACCTGGCCTTTCAGAGTCCACTGAGAGTCAGATCTAAACCTCTATCCATACTGATGGATTTCCCAACCCCAAATACTTCCAACTTACCCAGATTAAGTTGTTATTCCTTAGCCACAAAAATAACCCACATTTCCACATTTCATTTACCTCCCTAGAATTAGTAGAAAAAGAGGTAGAGCTGCATATCTATATGCTGATGACAAAATGCAAACTATTTTCATTCTGTCCTTTCCTATGATTTCTGAATAAAATCTACCACCACACACAGAGGAAAGAAACAGAGAGAGAGAACTTGAAAGCGGAGAAGCAGTGCCTAGATTGATCTTCAGTTCCACTAGACACAACTTAGATAATATTCACTTAAATGCCATGAGCAACCTGCAGCTTTATGACATCATAGTTACATAAAAACCTTTAGTGTTGCACCTTTAAATGTCAAGAAACCAAACCTACAACTTTAATGTTAAAAAAAATCAGACCTGGAAATCATGTATTTTGCCCAATGCAGTTTTAGAAGGCAAGGATGGATATTTTTTTGTAATCAAAGCAACTACATAACTGCTACACAGTACAGAGATACATAGCCCTGTACTATATGGACATGCCTTTCAAAAGAAAGTAATTTGACAGTGAAAGACTAACTCTATCCAGTATCCTTTTCTAGTGAACTGGGACAAATAATGTCCATCTTTCTCATACAGAAAATCCAAATCCACCAAAGTTACAAGTCAGTCAACCTTATCTCTTGCTAGGAAGTCAGTTTTGGAGTTTACCTTCTCCAAAAATTTTTGAACTTTTAAAATTTTTAAACTGACTCCTTTCTAATAATCCATTTTAATTATTGAAACAGAATTTAAGCAGAATTAATGAATTACTCAATTCAAGAGCATCTCCTCTATGTATGTATCCAGAAGAAAACCGAAGTAGAAAAATCAAATACATAACATGGCAAAAATAAGAAAAAAAAGGGGGTCATGGAATATTCAAGTGTTCAGCAACTCAACAAACAGTTTAAATCTGCACCCCTGCTCTAGATGGACACACTGAGCTAATTTGGCCAAATTGGCCCAGTTTTGAACTGTTGCCTCTTTTATGACATAGCCAGAAAAAAACAACTATACAATGAGAACATTAAAGGAAGAATGAGGTATAACCTTACACAGTGCTTTTTTTGTAAGGAAAAAGGTGTCGGAACTCTTGAAATTATTTACCTTTTGTATATAGTCAATCACTGTCCACACACCCACACATGTCAGTTGTGTAACGAAACATAACGGTTGCCACCCACAGTAAACTCAGCATGCAACCACACGACCAATCACAAGCCAAGCAGCGCTATAAGCTGAGCAGTGCCATCACAACCAGCGCCCATGAAGTACGCATGCATCAGACTCGACACACAAGCAGCCCGCATGCACCGTTTTAATGATTTTGCCACCAACCTGCTACGCTCAACAGGGAGATTCAAATCCACGTGGACCACACATCAAATTTTAAAATGTTACTTTTAAAACTTGGAAAATCTGTCGAAAAAAGGTGCCGGAACTCCATTCCGGTGCATTCTATGACAAAAAAAGCACTGGCCTTACATAGTTGCAGGGGACCTCCTGCTTAATCTTATGTGTTAAATATGTTACATGTTTAAAAAATCTAGATTTAATTGTTCATTTAAGAACAAAAACAAAATCTTTGTTGAATAAGAATGCAGTCCAATAAACACCAAACTCAGTGTGGGTCTTCCATTGGAGTAAATGCACGAAGAATTGCATTGTAATTAATTAAGGATATTTTCAATGAACAAACACCACAATGACTTTTAATTAACTGATTTAAATAGTTTTCATTATACTAATAAAATTAGTGCAGAAAATGATTAAGTAACTTGGGAAGTAATAATTAAATGTCTTGGTCACAATTCACATTTCCTTTCCTCATTAAGTCAACCAGCCATGTGTTATGTTTTCCAGGTAAATTTAAGAAATTTAACAGAAGAGGACAACTTTTTTAAGGAGAACTGAATCGCAGTAACAAGCTTGTCGGCACCCTAAAAAGTGCTACCTCGTTTATTAAAACATCCTCACTATTTCCAGCATATCTAACCATATAGATATGCACAACACAATAAAGAACAGAGCACCTAACATAGAACTTTGAGGCTGCTATTGTGTGAGACTTATGACACAGTCTCTAAATTCTGGCATGTCTCATGTCACAATCAAAAGCTGACAAAAATAGTCCATTGTTACAAAAGACTACATTCTAACATAAAAGAAAATAATACAGAGGAAGTCTTTATTTTACCTTTTTCTGATCCCCAAAACACAGGTAGTCTTTTATTTAGAAAATCCACCAAAAAACGATGGCCACATGTGGTTAATACTGCTTAGAATAATAAGTTCTTAGACAGCTGAAGGCAACTTACTTCTGTGCTTTAATATCCAAGTGGTCAGTCTCAAGTAGTTTATGAAATCTTTGTTTTCCCTATCTATTTGCAAGTGAGAACATTAAGTTTTTTTTACCAATCAGAAATACCGCATTCCAAATATATTACTTCAGAATGATTCACATTGGCATCTAGTTCAACATTTGTAGATCCCATTAATATTTCACAACCATTTTTGAGGGTCCCTCACTTCAGCTACTGTGCCTTTGGTTAGTACCCATGCAATTGAGTTAAATAAACTACTAACTCAATCTGTTGAAAAATAAATAGCCACATGATGTTCTCCATTTTGGAAGGATTCCACTAGTCTGAATTCACACCTAAATGAAGCAAAGATCAGGATTATGTATTTCTGAATTTGTAATGTTTCTGTTAGCTAAAGTATTTTTTGCTTTGGTCACTGAACAGGCACGGATTCTGACACCCATTTCAAAATGCTCCCCACTTCTGAAATGAGGTTGATGATGATTAGAGACATGTTCTTTTTGGTTGCAGTGTCACTCAGCTCTCCCCCAACCCCAGGTACTAGAGCTTTTACAGTGCAAAGAAATAGAAGAAAACAATAGAATAGGGAGGACAAGAGATCTTTTCAAGAAAATTGGAGATATGAAGGGAACATTTCATGCAGAGATGGGCATGATAAAGGACCAAAATGGCAGGGACTAAGAGATTAAGAAGAGAAAACAAGATTACACAGAGGAACTATACAAGAAAGAGCTTAACATCCCTCATAACCACGATGGGGTGGTCACTGACCTCGAGCCAGACATCCTGGAATGTGAAGTCAAATGGGCCTTAGGAAGTCTGAGCAACAACAAAGCTAGTGGAGGCAACAGTATTCCAGCTGAGCTACTCAAAATCCTAAAAGACGATACAGTAAAAGTGCTACACTCAATATGCCAGCAAATTTGGAAAACTCAACAGTGGCCACAGGATTGGAAAAGGTCAGTTTACATTCCGATCCCAAAGAAGGGCAATGCCAAATAATGTTCGAACCACTGCACCATTGCACTCATTTCACATGCTACCAAAGTTATGCTCAGAATCCTACAAGCTAGGCTCCAGCAGTATGTGGACCGATAACTCCCAGAAGTACAGGCAGGATTTCGAAGAGGGAGAGGAAGAGATCAAATTGACAATATACGCTGGATCATGGAGAAAGCTAGGGAGTTCCAGAAAAACATCTACTTCTGCTTCATTGACTATGCTAAAGCCTTTGATTGTGTGGATCACAACCAACTGTGGCAAGTTCTTAAAGAGATGAGAGTACCAGACCATCTTATTTGTCTCTTGAGAAACCTATATGTGGGTCAAGAAGCAACAGTGAGAACTGGACACGGAACCACTGATTGGTTCAAATTTGAGAAAGGAGTTCAGCAAGGCTGTATACTGTCACGTTGCCTATTTAACTTATATGCAGAGCACATCATGAGAAAGGCAGGCCTAGATGGATCATTAGTTGGAATTAAGATTGCTGGGAGAAATAACAACCTCGGATATGCAGATGATACCACTCTCATGGCAGAAAGTGAAGAGGAACTAAAGAGCCTCTTGATGCGGGTGAAGGAGGAGAGCGCAAAAGCTGGCCTGAAACTCAACATTAAGAAAACTAAGATCATGGCATCTGGTCCTCTCACTTCCTGGAATATAGATAGGGAAGAAATGGATGTAGTAACAGATTTTATTTTCTGGGCTCCAAGATCACCGCAGACAGGGACTGCAGCCAAGAAATTAAAAGATGCTTGCTCCTTGGGAGGAAAGCTATGGCAAATCTAGATAGCATACTAAAAAGCAGAGACATCACCCTGCCAACAAAAGTGCGTATAGTCAAACCAGTCAGTCCTAGAGGAGATCAATCCTGACTGCTCTTTAGAAGGCCAGATCCTGAAGATAAAACTCAAATACTTTGGCCACCTAATGAGAAGGAAGGACTCCCTGGAGAAGAGTCTAATGCTGGGAACAACAGATGGCAAAAGAAGAAGGGGACAGCAGAGAATGACGTGACTAGATGGAGTCACTGAAGCAGTTTATGTGAGCTTGAGTGAACTCCGGGGGATGGTGGAGGACAAGAAGGCATGGAGGAATGTTGTCCATGGGGTCGCAATGGGTCGGACATGACTTCGTGACTAACAACAACAACTAGAGCTTTTATACACAAAGCATTTATTGTGCAGTCATTTTTCCTTGTTCAGAGTTGTTTACGGGCTTTTTAGGTATGCAGTGTGCCAGTTTTACCACTGCTGCTATGGCTTCTTTATTTTCCGCTACAGCACTTTTCCCCTGTTTGTTTGGAATGAGGAAAATAGTTTCTGGGGAGTAAGCAACATATAATTCAGTCAAACGTACTTTTGAGTAGCCATGCAGAATGTTACACTGTGAGAAGTGCAATCCTATGTACATTTACTCATATGTAAGTACCAGCCTGTTAAATACTACTTTGTATATGTAGTTAGGATTACATCCTGGCTGGATTTCCAGGGCAGAAAAGTTCCACCACTTGGACAGGACCACAGGGAAAGTTCTCTGAGGTGTTCTTGCAAAAGGTTTATCTGAAATATATCTCCTGACAACTTTGTTTAATGATGACTTCCCAACTGAGAAGTTTTGCACAGTAAGAATATTTTATTTCAATTAATTGCTTTATAAAGGCCAAATCTAAATTTAATAAAAAGCACAGAGTTGAAGAATATAATGGATCTGACAGACTGGGAAATATAATAGATCTGACACTAGAATAGTATTCCTAATTATCTCAAAAAAAATCCAGCACAAATGTATATAATTCAGTTGCCTATAGCACTAATCAACCTATTTTTACCGTACTGTGCCAGTAAAAATATGAGAAGAAAAGAAAAACTCATGTTAGGTCATGCTCTGAAGCCTTTTAATTAAGGCTTTTTAAAAACCAAAGCTACATTTTCTCTTTAAACAGCAATGCTTAAATTGCTATTGTAGTCTATCAGAATCCATCTTTTTAATCCCATTAGAGAAGTTTGCCAAACTGAATTAAGAAAATTGTTTAAAACTCTCATTGGTAGTTTTCCAGGGACATTCTGCTCCATTTCTGATATTTTAAAGATAAATAATGAAAATGGTGTTGTCCAGAGAGAAAGATGTCCATTAGGTCAGAGCACTAGCACCTTTATTGGGTAGCAGAGGAAAATTCAACAGATTTAATTTGCCGCTTTCTTTTGCATTTGGCCTTCGTACAACATAATATAATCTCAAAAAGCCCAAGAGAATGACAAAATAATCCATGAGTCACCAGACGCACCCCCCATGTAATAGCAACCTCATTTCAGAGCCACTGCATCATTCACCTTAAGGGAATTGAATCCAGCTCCCTTGGGATTGAACAGAGAGTGCACTGGCCCCTCTGTAGAACCACTGGCATATATTACTCCCCCTTTCTTCTCCCACTGAGCTGGCAATTGCTTCTTTTTAAAAAAGGTTAGGACCCCTTTGCCCCAGGATTCTGACTTTGAAACATCCCCTGAAGCCCAGAGATCCAATTGCCTTGGTGTTGATGCTTCAGCAGTGTGGGAAAACGCACTCTTCGCATGCTCAGAGTCATTCTCGTCTCATATTATTACGATGTCCTCAAACTAACGTGGGGCTGTTCTCATTCCCCGCGAGATGTTTGCCGTTGTCTCCCCACGCCCCGCTCCACCCCAAGGTGCTCTCACCCCCGTTTTCTTCCTTTTCAGCCATCCTGCTCTCTCGCTTCTGCCACCGTTCCCTCACCTGGGTCTGCTTCCATGAGAAGCTGTCGTTGAGATTCCCGTGGCCTGCAAGGTCGTGCCCAGCGTTCCGTCGCCGCGACAACGCAACGCAACGCAACGGCCCGGCCCGGCCCGGCCCAGCCCGCCCCGCAAGCCGCGGTTGGAGCTCCGAAGTCGAAGGCAGCAGCGCGGAGGGAGGCGGGGAGGGAGCACAGGCGGAGAGGGACACCTCCCCCTTTTACGAACGAGCCACTCGTTCATCTGGAAGAGTGGCTGGTTTGCAAAAAAAACCGAACAAACAGCGCTAGTAGACAGGAGAGATATCAGGACAGCCTTTCCTCTTCATGGGGTCAGATCCGGCTCACATTGTAATCTTTCCTGTTTCCTTGAGTTGCCTTAATTTCTAATGAGAGATGTCTTTTAGAGCTGAAGTCGGCCTGGGAATGAATCAGTCATCTTTCGCTCTCACTCTTCTCCGCAGAAACCCATTTTCAGGAGATGGGAAAATCGCAGTAAGTCGAAGTCCTAGAATGTTCATGGCAATGAAAGGCTTAGAATTATGAACATCTTTCTTTCTAGATGTGCTTTTACCATTGTACAACTATTGTGTAAATTCTACAATTACAAGTGCATTAAAAATACAGAACTGAGAATTTATAACCTGGCCAACACGGTTATCTGCTAAAGATATCCTCTGCCAGAGCATAAGACTTGTGGTCCTAAATAAGACTCTCAGTGTTAACCCTGCTTAGAGGCAACTAAGTCAAGTTAGACTAACATTGGATGCAATCAGAAGCATGTAGGATGAGGGTTGATGGGTACATGATATTTCCTTCAAGTTTCTTCCAACAGTTCTCTGTCCTTTTCACTTCCACTGATTTTAATTGGGAAGGGAAGACACATGTTAAGGGACCTAATCCTGAAGCCTCACTGGGATCCAAAGCCAACCTTGGAATACTTCATTCATTCATTCATTCATTCAAAGCTTTTGTATGCTGTCCTATTATACAAGATCTCAGGACGGCTTGCAATATTTAAAAGGACAATTTCAATAATAAAACGGAACAAAACAATAAACCAAACAGAGTGACTAAACTTAAAAACTATTAGAGTTTAAAACACTGTTTAAATAAAAAGGTTTTGGCCTGGTGCCAAAAAGAATATAAACTTGGTGCCAGACATACCTCTCTGGGAAGTACATTCCAGAGTCTGGGTGCCACAGCAGAGAAGGCCCTACTCCGAGCTGATGACCTCTTTACCTCTCTTAGAGAGGGTTCCCAGAGTAGGGCTTCTCCCATAGATCTTAAGGGGCATGAGGGCATATAATTTAAGATCCTCTTGCTAGTAATCACCAGCAGGAACCTCACCAATGGTAACTCCTTCAACAAGAAGAACTCCAGGGGGTTAGGATTGTAATGTAGGATAGAATCTAAAGAATCTTGGATGGGATCAGTTAAGCATTTTAGCTCCTATGATCAAAATATGAGTTGGCAATTTCTGATGAATCCAGGAAGTTAAATAAAAACACAAAGGATATGGTTTCCTGACCTAGCAAAATCAGAATAAATTTATGCAAATAATGTAAATTATCTTAATTTGTATAAGCTGCAGAATACTGTTTTCTGAGGTGTCAAACTTGGAATTTATTGGTAGAAGGAAATACTTCTATCTAGTATGGAGTAGCCATATAGACACTACAGATTCTTCTGATTGCTCATTGGTCTCAGCTGACTTTGTGGAGCCTCAAAAATGAATGTGGGCCAAAGAACCGCACACTTTTCTATAGAAGCAGCACTCCTAATCCTTGAAATTAGAGCCAGAGGCTGAACCATGTCTGTTAAGATGACTGAACTGAAGACAGGGAAAGACAGATAAACTCATAATTTGTCTTTAGACTCTGAAATGAACAATGCACTTAAAATAAAAAGTTATTTTCTCCTTGTTTCTCAAATCCCAGACTGTTATATGAAAAGTGTTCTGAATATGTCACTTAAAATTAAAGATTTTACTAATGATACATTTATTTACTTTCTGCACAAAATTGCAAGCTTCCCCTAGTTTTACACCCTGCATCCAGACTCTATTGTAGTGGGATTAAGCTACCATGTGACCCTCTTCACAAACTACAATAATCTAACCCTGTAGCCTTCTATTCACAGTGGATCAGGACGCAGACACATGTGACAAAAGGAGAGGCTGGACAGAATCCCTAATCACTTGCTGCAGTGGCAAAGCAAAACTAGAGACTATTCTGGAAGAAAACAAACCAACTTGCTATTAATTGGCCTGATTTGAAGAAACAGTCCATTAACTTAATATGGAGTAAGTAATTGGCTTTGGCTGAACTGTGAATAAACTTTTCTCAAACATGCTGTTCCTCAAGGATCATAGAGATGGCTAAGAGAAACTAAACAAAGGAAACAGCAGCTCAAAAAAGAAACTTTGTGTAACTTTGAATGGAATGCTTGAGCTGTACTGTTGCTGAACCAGATAATTTCTGGGGGCAGGGGTGTGGTTACCACTATTTTCCAAGACTCAGCTGATTTATTAATGTAAAAGGCTTCATTATAGTTACTGAACTTGTGCTTCGGTGATAGGAATACTATATGAAGATGGATTGCTTTACCTTTGAGAAGTAGTGCTTTTTAGAATTATTTGAATCAACAGATATGGAGGAGATGAAAAAAGAAAGCATGGTGCAATATACAGAAGATTTAGAGATGAATCCTTTTGATGGGCTGCCATTCTCTTCCCGTTATTACAAACTTCTTAAAGAAAGAGAGGAACTTCCTGTTTGGCAAGTGAAATATGCTTTCATGGAAAGTCTGCAGCATCATCAGATTGTGATTGTTTCAGGGGATGCTAAAACTGGCAAGAGCTCCCAGGTGAGTGTTTGCTATTAAGGAGCTTTAGTATGATATGAATTAGATATAAAGGTTCATAAATGAATATATACTGGTATTTACTTATGAATTTTACCATCTAATTTTGAATCATTTACACTTTTTAGTATTATATTATCCAAAACCTGTGTTGGGTTGATAGCCTCATTGTTTTAGAGTTTTCATTTATATTTCATGCACATATTCCATGCTTTTTTCAAACAGTTGATGCTTGTGAATGTTTAATGTGAAAAGCCCTAGTTGCAGAGTTCATGAAAGTCATAGAATTTTGATTAAAATAATAAAATAAAATATTATTTATTTGGTAGTAATTCTCAATTTGTAATGTGTGTCAAGTCTTCTAAGATACAGCATTTTAAACTGTTTAAGCATATGATGCTGATGTTTCATTAGGTCAACTTGAAAGTCACAAAAATGTGCAAGTTTCTGATAGTCACATCTCTTTATCAAACTTGCACATTTTTGTGATCTTTGAGTTCACTCAGTAAAGGTATTGCACTAATTTTATTTATTTATTACAATATTTCTTGTTTTTTTCCTGCAAGGAATCCAAGGCAGTTTACATAATCCTTTTTCCTATTTTATCTTCACAATAACGCTGTGAGGTAGGTTAGGCTGCAAGTCAGCAACTGGTCCCAAGTTATACAGTGAATTTCTTGTCTGGGCAGGTAGTAGCACCCAGTTCTCTCAAGTCCTAGTCTACCACTGTAATCTTGGCAGCAAAGTGATTTTTTTTCTCTTACTGATAACAACACAACATTTGCTTTCAATTTGCATATTAGCATTTGTGGAACACCCTAGAATATAGACTTTTGTTGTGAAGGAATAAGATAGCTTTGTGTGTCTGAAGAGAACAACCCAATACCATTTGACAATATAAGAGCACCAGTGCACACTCTAGAGGGGATACTATTAACATTTGGATCTTAGAGGATTACTTGCATCCTATAGTGGGAAACAGAAGCATTGTGTCAAAAAGTTTCTGCAGGGAAAGCAGGCCACTTCCAATTCCACCCCCCCCCTCCGGTACTGGTTCCAGGGGCAGTCTTGCAACCTCAGCGCTGCACCTGAAATGGAAAGAACCATGCTGGCTGGGAGGGGAGGGGGAGAATGCTCCAAAACAACAGTCCTAGGACTGTTTTAAATATGTTTTTATGGTTGGAGCTGTGGCAGCAAGTTTTCCTATGGCCAGCCACCATCTGTCAGCCATAGGATTGCACCTTTAGTGAATTACCCAAATGCAGTTTCTTCAAATTTAAGCACAGTTAATTTGGAAGTGGTGACAGGATTAAATTTACAAGTGCTTGTATTCCCCATTGTGTGTACAAAGCTTCAAGATTAAGTGCCTAAAAACTAAAGGTAGACTCTAAAGAATTCCATATAGCATGCTTAAGGGTTTGTATACACCCAGGAGTATACAAACTTTTTTTCCTTTTCCTTTTTTTTCTTTTTTAACTTCACATCTGATATATCAAAGCATGTTTATTAGGGAGAAAATGTGGACTGTTAGAGGACTATTGAAACTTTATTTTCCTCTCCTATAAGCCATGCCATATGAGTTAAACCTATACCACGCCCAGACAGTGATTATAGAAATTGCACCCAGCATTTTGATTTTATAAATTCTTTGTGTGAGAGATATTTTAAAGGGCATTATGCTAGAGAAGGAAAGTTAAATATTCTCCTCACCACATACTATAATCCATGTGAAATTCAGGGGTGGGTGTATAGTTCATGTCCGTAGACCTTAAGGACACTTACTTTCATATTTCTTTTGCGGAGTCCTACAGGCACTTCCTTTGCTTTCAAGTCAGATATTAACTTTTTCAATTCACTGTCCTGCCATTTGGCCTAGCAACGGCTCCCTGTGTACCCACAAAGTGCATGGCTGTTGTTTACACCCACCTCTGTCTCAGCAGTGTCCATGTATACCCCTATTTGGAAGATTGGCACATTGTCACCCTTTCCAGAGAAGTCTCAATTCAAACTACCAATTTAACATGTGCCTTGGTTAACAAGTAGGACCAAATCTTGTCTTTCTCCAACACAGTCAATCATTGGGGCACGTCTCAACTCCATCTCGATGAAAGCCTTCCTATGAACAGGCTGTCTACCCCCACCAAGGAAATTCTCTGCCTTATCAGGAAAGACTCCACTCCTACTGTGATCCAGCAGGTCCTTGGCCTTATGGCCTCAGCAGTAGCTATTGTGCCACTGACCTGGTTACATATGAGACCTCTCCAGCTCTGGTTCCTAGCACCCTAAACACCAGAACCAAACCTCATTCTACCAGACTCATATCCCCCTTTGAATCTAGAGCTCCTTCCATTGGTGGACAGATGAAGCCTATACTCTAATTGGGGTCGCTTTCTCCTCTCAGGAACCACAACTAACTACAACTATGGATGCCTCCCTCTTCGAATGGGAAGCTCCCTGAGGTCATTCTGCAACCCAAGACAAATAGAACCCACATGAAACTTCGCAAGGCATGAACTTCCTGGAGCTTCTAGCTGTGAGAAAATCCCTCCTTGCTTTTGAGATGATAATCTCTAACCAGCACATAAGTATCACTGCAGACAATACCACAGTTGTTATGTACATCAACGAACAGGGAGCAACCAGATTGAACTTGTGTTCACTTCTTGCCACCAAGATCTGTCACTTGTGCACCGTTTAACATACCACGCCCTCTTCCATCCATATAGCCAGTACTGACAATATCCTAGCAAACACTCTCAAAAGGACTTTCATACAGTGTCACAAGTGGGAGCTTCACCACATTGTAATACAATCCCTGTGGGATTGATGGGGCATCCCCCAGATAGACTTGTTCACCACACAGGACAACACTTTGTGCATCTGCTTCTGTTCCAGACCCAGCATTGGCACCAAATCAGTGGAAGACACCTTCCTTCTACAGTGAAACAGAAACTTTTTCTATCTCTTTACCCTGTTTCCCCTGATTCTAAAAGTTGTGGCAAAAATCTGGTGAGATCGCATGGACTCCGTTCTCATAACCCCTTGGTGGCCCAGACAACCTTGGTTCCCCCACCTCTTCAACCTTTCCAACAGATCCGGCTATGTCCCCCTCACTAACAGATACTCCGCCTGAACTGCAACACACCCGCGATGCTTCTCTGAAGCCTTCTACACATAGATCATATCACTGAAAATGGTCAGCCTTCTCTACATTCGCTGGACACAGCTTCTGCTGTTCAAATTCCACTGTTTCTCAATTCCTTGTACAAAAAGGGACTCAGAATTTCTTCTGTTCATGTTTATGCAGTTGCCATCTCTGCATTTCAGAATCAAGGCTCTCCCATCTCCTCTCAAAGACTTTCTAAATCAGTAGTTCATACCATACTCGTAACGTATGACTTCTCCAGCCTTCAATTGTCAGACCTGATCAGAGCACATTCCACCAAAGCAACAGCAACCTCCACAGCCTTATATGCAGAAATGTCCTTCACTGATCTTTACATCCCTTGACCTTTATTCACTATTATCATCTTGACGTTCAGTCCAGAGAGGACTGTGCCTTTGGCAGAGCTGTCCTCTCTTCTCTACTCCACTGAGCAACACCACTCTCCTCCAAGACTTAAGCTTGCCAGTCACCCTTATCTGTGATGTACACAGACCATGAAGAATAGTGAAAAATACTAGTGCAAAAATGTTTTCCTAGGTAAAAGAATGGGATAGGTTTGAATGAGGAAAAATGAAATAGTGTACCTTTAGATGTACTGTTTTTGATGTCTGAATCTCCTCCAACAAATCTGAGCACATTTATAGCAGGAAAACGATTTTCTGGAATAATGCTGAGTTATTACTAAAATTATTTTGAGCTGCCTGGAGTCCCAATCTCTGGGAATAGGTGGGATATAAATAAATATAAATATAATAATCTAGTGATTTTTCATTGACATGGCTTAAGAAAATATGCGCTACGGTAAAGTAGGTGATGACTGTTTTATCCATTCCTGTTTAGCACCATCAATAATTTAGCAACCAAAGGCAACCTATAAATTGAATTAGTTTGGTAGAGTATTTTCCAGAATGACTTTTCAATTGCAAACCATAACAGGATGCCAATTTAACAGATGCTTTCATGCAATACAGCCTTATTTGTTCCCTCCACTGGAGCCAGGATGTGTTTACATCACAACAATAAACTATTAAGTAAAGAAACATGGTACATGGTTAGAAGGAAGTAATTCTGGAGATATTATATCAAAGTGTGGTAAGGTAGAAGTGGAACAATGATGGAAGAGTTCATTCCAGGCTGTTGGTGGGTACTGAAAAGTTTTGGGTGCCAGGAAAGTAATATGCAAATCAGCATAAGATTTGCATATCTCAATTTATATCTATATATGCAAATATAGAAATGATTACTAAGATTTATTGAAAAAAATCACAGGGGACAAAGCCAGTCAATTAATTTCCAATAAAATAATTTATTCAGTTAATTTCCACCCTGTCCCAGTTTATCACAAACCCGTGCAAAAATGTTCCCCCTTCCCCTTGGAGCTTAATTACCAGGCAGGGAAAGATTGGGAAGAAGGTGCTGTTGGCAGCATGCGTGGAGGGCAGAGTTTGAAATTGGATCCCTCATAGAAAGGACAAAAAGGGAGGTGGAGTTGCACTATATGTAAGAGACACATATATCTGCACAGAAATAAATACAAGAAGAGAAACTTAGTAGCTTCATTGAAAGCATCTGGCTTGTAATTTCTAAATGGAAATCACCAGAGCCCCCAACTATTGAGGAGTGGAGAAATAGATAGAATATACAGTGATGGCAAAGCTAACCAACTATGTAAACAGAAGACCATTAGAAGAATGTAATGATAAATGGAAATTTTATTGTGCTTAGCATAATTAATTGAAGTTCAGGGGAGTTAGGAAAAGAAAAAGGAAAGAACAATTGTTTCTTTTTGGTAAACTTTCATAAAGCGTGAAAAGATAGAGAGCCAGTTTGGTGGGGGTGGGGTGTGTGTAATATAGGCTGCAGCTATTTAAAATTCCCTTGGCAATCTTATCTATTTTGTTTATCTTGTTCACTTTAGTTTTTCTGTTTATACTAGTTATTTTTCTATTCTACATTTTTCTATGTATTTGTATATATTAAGCAAATAAAAATAGAAAAAAATTAAAAAGAAAGCATCTGGCTTAATTTAAAGGGAGCAAAAAAATAAGAAAAACATAGTCATTGGCATCTATTACTGACCATCCAGTAACAGAATTCAAAGCAGCATATATCATTCTCTTTCTCCTGCTCTCAATCTTATCCTCACAATAACAGCCTTGTGAGGTAGGTTGGGCTGAGAGTCTGTGACTGGTCAAAAGTCACCCAGTTGGCTCAGTGGTGACTAGAACCCAGATTGCCTAAGTCCCAGCCCCATGCTCTTAACCAAATAGGACGAAAAGGGAGGTGGAGTTGCAATGTATGTGAGACACATATATCCGCACAGAAATTCAACAAGAGGAACATCTGGCTAAATTTAAAGGGAGCAAAAAATAAGAAAAACATAGTTATTGACATATATTACTGTCCACCCAGTCAAAAAGAGGACAAGGATGCAACCTTCGAAAAGCAATTTGCCAGCATTTCCAAGAAAAATGATGTGGTCACCATGGGGGACTTCAGTTTCCCCGATATATGCTAGGAGACAAATTCTGCCAAACATGGCCCCTCCAAGAGATTCCTGACATGTGTTGCCAACAACTTTCTCCAGCAGAAAGTAGAGGAAGGTACGAGAGGATTGGCTATACTCTATTTAATACTAACAGGAATGGGCTGTTGGACAAAATAACAACCGTGGGACTCTGGGGGAAAGTGACCATATGATACTTGAATTCTCAATTATGAAGGAGACAAAGGTTACCTGGTACCAAACACGTATCCTGGACTTCAAGAAAGCCAACTTTAACGAACTCAGAGCAATGATAAGTGAGCTTCCATGGCAACTCACTCTTAAGCAAGAAGGATACGAAGGGAGTGCGAAATCTTGAAAAAAGATTCTCCAAGCACAACTATGAACAATTCCAACAAGAAAAATGTAGAAGACAACAGAGGAAGCCCACATGGATCCACAAAAAATTAAGTGGCAAGCTGAAAAAAAAAAAGAACATGTACAGGAAGTGGAAGCAGGGCCAGGCCACAAAGGAAGAAAATAAATAGCAAGGAATTGCAGGAACAGCATCTGGAAGGCTAAAGGAGAAAGTGAATAGCAAGGGATGCTAAAAACCACAAGAAACCCTTCTTCAAATACATCCAAAACAAAAGACATATGAAAGAGAAAGGCATTCAGCTACTTAAAGTGTATGACAGAGACAACAAGGAAAAGGTGGAGGTGCTCATTTCCTACTTCACTTCACCCTTCTCCCACAAGAAAATCTGCAACAAAGAGGAAGTATAAGCTGAAAGTAAAAGATGGCAGTCCAAGTTTGACAGGCAAATAGTCAAGGAATATTTAGATAGAATGAAAACATTCAATTCTCCTGGGCCTGATGAATTGCATCCCAGAGCCATAAAAGAGCTAACAGAGGAACTCTCAGAACCACTGACTATTATTTTCGATAAATCTTGGAAAACAGAAGTGCCAGATGACTGGAGAAGGGCTAATGTTGTCCCTATCTTCAAAAAGGGGAAAAAGATGAACCTGGAAACTATAGACCAGTTAGTCTGACATCAATCCCTGGAAAAATTATGGAGCAAATTATTTAAAAATCAGTTTCCAAGCACCTCAATGAAAATGCAGCGATTAATAGAAGCCATCACAGATTTGTCAAAAATAATTCCTGTCAAACTAATTTTATCTCATTTTTTGACTGGGTAACCTTCCAAATGAACAAAGGAAACACTGTAGACACAATCCACCTCAACTTTAGCAAAGCTTCCAACATAATGTCCCACAAAGTTCTGATAAGTAAATTAGGAAAAAGATAGAGATACTGATATTGGTTACTTAATTGGACACAAAGGTACCTTTTCAAACTGGAGGGAGGTAACCAGTGAGGTGCTGCAGGGTTCAGTTCTAGGCCCAGTACTCTTCAATATCTTAATGATTTAGATGAGGAAGTACAAGGAATGATAATCATATTTGCAGACAATAGAAAGCTGGGTGGAATAGCAAAAACACTGGAAGACGAAGTTCTACGGGGATGGGCTGAAAGTAACAAAGTGAGATTCAATAGGGACAAATGCCAAATTCTCCACCTAGGAAAAAGAGACCATATGCATCAATACAAGAAGGGGAATAGGTGGCTTAACAGAGCTGAAAAGGAAAAAGACCTTGGATTTGCAGACAATACCAAAATGGGGGTGGTGGCCACAACTGAGCAGCAGATGAGCCAGATCCAGAAGAATCTGGACAGGCTGTGGAAGTGGCCAGGGGACAACAGGATCGTATTCAATGTGGATAAGTGCAAGGTCTTGCACTTGGGACACAGGAATAAGTATCACAGGTACAGGTACAAATGGCTGGAGAGCAGCACTTGTGAAAGCAATCTCAGGGTACTTGTTGACAGCAGGCTGAACTACAAGAACGTAGTTGATGGACCAGCTCAAGCTGATGGAAAATGCTCCTTGCCACAGCAGTCACCTGAAATTCCAGAATTCCCTTAGGGGAGAGTGCATCCCCATTCCAAATACTTGCCTGGGCAGCTGAACTGCCCACAGACAGAAGCTCCATCTTACCTCTATTAAGTCTATTTATTGGTCCTCATCCAGACCATCACACTGTCCAGACACTGATTCAGCATCATTACCACCTCATCTGGATTAGATGAAAAAGAAAGGTAGAGCTGCATGTTATCAGCATACTGGTGACACCTCAGATTACTTCTCTTAGCAGTTTCATGTAGCTGTTGAATAGCATGAGGAATAGAATGGAACCCTACAGAACTCCATGGCATGTTTGCCATAGCACAGAACCATAATCCCCCAACACCACCTTTTGGAATCAGCCAGTCAAGCTGAAGCAGAGCCACCACAAAGCAGTGCTTCCAACCCCCAACTCAGCCAAATTAGCCAAAAGGATACCATGGTCAATGGTATCAAAAGCCACTGAGAGGTGCAGACAAACCAACAGAGATGCACTCCCCCTGTCCTTCTCTGTCTCAAAGGAAGGCCTGAGACTAGACTGGAATGGATCCAGATGGTCAGTTTCTTCCAAGAGTACCTGGAGTTGTCTGGCTACCACCTGCTCAAGCACTTTGCCCAAGAACAGAATGTTAGGCATTGGTCTATAATTGGTGGTAACTTCTGGGTCCAGGTTCACCTTCTTCAGAAGAGGACTGATAACCACCTCCTTCAAGGGGGCGGGGACCAACCCATTCTTCAGAGAGGCATTTATAACTTCTTGGACCCAGGTATGCATCCAGTCCTTGGCTTTGGTGATCAGCCATGAAGGGCAAGGGTTGAGTATACGGTGGTGGGTTGAACTTGTCCTAGCATTTTGTCCACATCCTCAGGCTGTAATAATTGAAATCTATCCAACAGTGATGGACTAGACTGAACTCTGGACACCTCCACTTCAGGAACATTACTAACTGTGGAGTCAAACTCGTGACAAATCTAAGTGACTTTATCCCTAAAGTGCTGTAAAATTTGTCACAGTGGGCCACTGAGTGTCAATAGGATTGATCTCAGGCCCAAATGTAAAAGGGCCAAAAGTTGCGACAACCCAGATTCAGAGTGGACATCAGGAAAAGCTTCCTCACTGTTAGAGCAATAGACAGTGGAATCAGTTGCCTAGAGAGGGTTCTCCCATACTAGAGACATTCAAAAAGAAACTGGACAGTCATCTGAGTGGGATGGTGTAAATTGGTGTCCTGCGACAGCAGGGGGTTGGACCAGATGACCTCCTTGGCCCCATACTATTCTATGATTCTACAGCAGTTGAAAATCATCCCCTGCTGCAAAGGAAAACAAATTAGCACAAATTACACTTAGGGCCCATTTACACATTCATTTACAGTTTGCAAGGATGCTTTCCTGTCATGTGTCACTGCCATTTTAAATATGCAACTGCTAATCAAAGGTCTTTTTGTGATGTGCAGACCCAGACATAAGTTAATTGGGGTTAAACAACCAACAGTTAATCTAACACCTAATCCTGGGTTAACTTTGGTTTCTTTAACCCATAATTAACCCATATGGTCTGGATTTTCACATAGCAAAATAACCTTCAATTGGGGGTGATCAGAGGTTGCATATTCAAAATGGCAGCATCATGCAACTCTAGAAATTCTTATATTAATTAAGCCAGGATTTGACGTCAAACTGGGTCTCATTTTTCTGCAGAATAGATCAGAGGCCATGAGAAGTAGATTTATGTAATTTCTCTAGAAATGCCTGTGTCCCATTGGTGAATACAAATAATCTTCCTGCTCCAAATTAACGTTAATCCTGAGTGTTGGCTTCTCATTGACAGATAGTCATTTTGTGCTGAAATGACTTAACAGGACCATTACAGGGCTACATGCAGGCCTAGTTGGAAGCATAGGCCAAAGGTATGACCCTGACCATGAATGTCCATCATACTCTTGAACTGAGTAAATAATAGAAATGCTTAAAATGATAAGGTTGGTGTCCTTTTCTCCCAGCAGCCTTCCCAACACTTCCAGTCTAATCTAGTTCAGAACAAGAAATTCCCAGACCTGTCTCAGGTCATGTTTGACCATTTAACCGATGAGAGGTCTTGGCATTTATCCTGAAAGATAATTTCCATTTATTGAACAGTTCAATTCCTAGCAGCCAGACAGCTAGCAAGCAATATAGTTGGTCACTTAAGACAGCTCTTGTAATAATCCAAGTAAAACTGTGTATTCATTTAGATGTGTTCATTATTTTTAATTTTTGTTTTAATATGAAAGGTGCCTCAGTGGTGTGCTGAATACTCTCTTTCCAATCATTTTCAACATGGAACAATTATATGTACACAAACACATAAACACACTGCCATGCAGTTGGCTTTGCAAGTAGCTGATGAAATGGATATCAGTATTGGTCATGAAGTGGGATACATGGTTCCATTTGAGAACTGTTGTAACAGTTCAACAATCCTGAGGTTTGTACATTTCTTTTCAGCTTTTATGGCTATTACCTTTAATCTATATACAAAATTAGGTTTCTGTCATAGCCTGACATTGTTTTCTAGTATATACCTGACAGAAGCCTATGAAGATTATGTGGTAGGTCTATAAAGGTAGGAACTTCCTTGATCTTCAGTAGCTTTGTTGGCAGCCTTCCCCATTCTGCTGCCTCCAGATGTAGTTGATTACAACTCCCATCATTTCCAGACAAGCTGCTCTTGGAAGCTTTTTGGCTAAAGGGCAGAATAAGAATACTATAAATAAATACATACATGCATACATACATACTAACATGGCATCTGTCTTCTAGTCATGGTACATAGAAACATAGAAAGATAGAAACAGCGAGTCAGAAGGGGTGTCCCAGGCCATCTAGTCTGACCCCCGCTCCAGCCAGCTCTACTCATGACATGCCCACCATGTGCATGTCAAGCCTATCCTTGAACACCCTCACAGGGGCCTCAACCACCTCACATGGAGGGTATCCCATACCCTCAAGGTCCTAACTGTCAGGAAGTACTTTCTGGCATCTAAATGAAACCTTGGTTCCCTAAGCTTCACTCCATTGGAGGGCGTCCTGCCCTCCTCTGCAGGGGAGAACAGAGGACAATATATTGTTTTCATATTTTGCCTTTTTTCCTCTTGTGAGGAACTCAAGGTGGCTTACTTAGTTGCATTTTATCCTTACAACAGCAGCCTTGTGAGGTAAGTTAGGCTGAGGGTCTGTGACTGACCCAAAGTCACCCGGTGAGCTTCATGGCCACTGGGAACTAGGATGCAGATCTCCCAGCCCCCACTCCAACATTCTGAGCACTGCACCAGTTCTCCATTATAGCAAGTGGAAATATGTTTTCACGTTTGTATCTGTGGCAGTAAACCTTCTAGAATAGTGACTTCACTACTTTTCTGAATATGAATCAACTCAGTGCTAACAATTTAGCATATTAAGACCAACTGTATTCAGTGGAATTTAAACTGTTCCTACACTTGCCTTTGAGTAAATCCCATTGAACACCATAGGAATTAACTGTGATGAAATTTACAAAGGATTGCACTGCTGGACACTGTATTGAACTGTGGCCAGAGGGGCCAGAGCTCTGTGGTAGAGCAGCTGCTTTGTGTACAGAAAATCCCAAATTCAATCCCTGGTATCTCCAAGTAGGAGAAGCCTGAAACCTGCCTGAAACCCTGAAGAGCTGCTGAGTCAGTAACAGCAATAGTGAGCTAGCTGAACTATAAGTTAAAGGCAGCTTCTTATGTTCCACAGCTCAGTGACCCCTTGCAGGCATGGCAATGTAGTCTTCAGTTTGCCATGATTTCCTCAACCCAGTATGCTATTACATGGAGACTTGCTCACTGGTTATTCTTGGCACATTACATGTGGTCTGAAGATTTTTTTTTTTTTTTTTTTGCTTCTTGCATCAGCCTATGCCATCACCAAAGTTTAATTTTGTATAATTGTCTTCTTTTGTTTTGCATGGTTACAGATACAGTACAGATGCCATGCTGCAAAAAGAAATGATGACCAATCCTCTTCTGAGTAATTATGGAATTATCATTGTAGATGATGTGTATGAAAGAAGTGTCACAACAGATATACTGCTTGGGCTTCTTAAGCATGTATTGTTATTAAGACCAGAGTTGAAGCTAATTGTAATTGCATCTGTTGAAATATCCAGCAAACTACAGGCATATTACAGCAGTGTGCCTCTCATAAGTGTGAAAAGCAAATACCAGATGGAGGTTGTGTATACCTGTAATGTTCAGAAAGACCATTTCCTGTCTGCTTTAAAGCTGCTTTTTGAAATTCATAATTCCAAGGAGAGTGGTGATATTGTCATCTTTCTGGCCTGTGAACAAGTAAGTTGTTTATTTAATATGGCATAGATAATGTCTGTGCACCTGTTCTTGTCTGAGCAATTTCTTTAACTGCTTCAATACTTATATCTAAAACTGAACCAATGGAAAAGTACTCTCATTTTATGAAAGCTGCTATCATATGCAAACCTAGGAGTAGGTCCAATTGAACTTGGTATGACTTGTTGCTGATTAGGCATACATATGGTTGCAGTATAAACGAACCATAAAAAGCTGATTTCTGGAGGATCTGCCTATAACTCACTTCACCAAGGGTTGCCATCTAGCTCAGAGAAAATGGCTGAGTTGACAAACTTTGTTTACCCTCTGGGAATTGTAACAATGCACTGTGGTTAAAATTCCTCTATACCTAACAGACTATCAGTTATATAACTGAGCCCTCCTCTTTCCCCTTCCTCACTACTCATCCTCCTGTAGTATCCCAAATGTCCCCCAAGTCATTTAAGCCATGGCTTGACTTTTTTTTTTTTTTTTAAGAAAAATGTCTCTGAGTTATCCACACTTGGGAAAGTGGGAGCTACTCAGGGCCATGTGAACAGCCATCAAAAGACCTGACGTTTTTCCATAAAAGGTGCTTTCGACTAATCCTACCTTTAAAAAAAGAAAAGAGTAGTTAACAGTAGGCTACAAAGTTGCAATTTGGCTTGGACAGGTGTCTGTATAGACACAGCATACATGCCAAATTACAGTTTTGTAATTTGACATGTATGCCAACTATTTTTAACTATTTCTTTAAAGGTGAGGTGTATGAAAAGCACCTTTGCAGCAGAATCATCAGAATTCTTATGGGGTGCTCATTTGGCACTGGTCTGCCCTCACTTTCCCAAGTATGGACAGCACAAGGCAAAAAACACCCCTACAAAAGACCCAAGAACCTATAAAAATGTTTCCTCCTTCTAAGCAGGATTCTCAGAGTTCTGGTGGGAGCTTGGAAGACCAATCTATACCCTCAGTTTTGCAAGAGGATAGCCCAAGAGGATAGCACTTCAGGAAGTGGCAAAACATGAAGGAAGCCTAAGCAGGAATTGCACAAGGCTTGTGTTTGAAAAGTGCAAGCCTGCCTCTCCACACAGGTTTCCCCAGATTTTGAAATATGTGTCCCTCTGCAAGCAGTTTGGTTGGGAGTCTTTTCCATTTGTCCTCTAGTTCTGCTTTGGCTCTTTAAGGTGCCTAAGAAAGGCAGGTACCTGTTAGACCCTTGGCTGGACCAGCAAGCCATTCTGCAACTCTTGACAAGGGCTCTCTGGTGCTTTAACTTGATTATGGCTTATTTTGTTGTCTGAGTCACTGTAGGTTTATTAAGTTCTACTACAAGCTATTGCAAGCTGGGATATTTTATATACCATCCTAAGGTGGCTTATAAACCATCCTGCAGGAAGAATTAGCCTTCCTGATGCACCTCACTTATCATTGCTCTGAGTTCGTTAAAGTTGGCTTTCTTGAAGTCCAGGATACGTGTTTGGTACCAGGTAACCTTTGTCTCCTTCATAATTGAGAATTCAAGTATCATATGGTCACTTTCCCCCAGAGTCCCACGGTTGTTATTTTGTCCACCAGCCCATTCCTGTTAGTATTAAATAGAGTATAGCCAATCCTCTCGTACCTTCCTCTACTTTCTGCTGGAGAAAGTTGTTGGCAACACATGTCAGGAATCTCTTGGAGGGGCCATGTTTGGCAGAATTTGTCTCCTAGCATATATCGGGGAAACTGAAGTTCCCCATGGTGACCACATCATTTTTCTTGGAAATGCTGGCAAATTGCTTTTCGAAGGTGGCATCCTTGTCCTCTTTTTGACTGGGTGGACAGTAATATATGTCAATAACTATGTTTTTCTTATTTTTTGCTCCCTTTAAATTTAGCCAGATGTTCCTCTTGTTGAATTTCTGTGCGGATATATGTGTCTCACATACATTGCAACTCCACCTCCCTTTTTGTCCTATTTGGTTAAGAGCCTTATTGTTTTGTTGTATTTATGTTTTCTCTTTGCTTATATGTTTTAAACTTTTTGTTAACCACCCAGCAAGTCTTGGGCTATTGGGGATTATAAAAATGAAGTAAATGAATAAATAAATGGGTGCCCATACCTGAGCTCAACTACCCTATTCCTATGATAATAAGCTCACCATTACACTTTTTATTTGAACTCTGCTAGCAATGCACTAGCACTGCATTAGCTTTATGTACGTATTGCCTGCATTTGCTGGCATGGAGAGAACCAAATTGTAATGGAAATTTCTAAGTTCTGCAGGTGATGTTTAATTGCCATATAAAACCCATGGTCAGGCAAGTCTACCTGGTTCAGAAATAATGTTTACAGCCCTACTGTAAATACTGTCACATCATTGACTGATATCCAAGATGTAGCAACCTTTTCTTATACCAGCCTGTTTAGCACAAGGTGACATTTGGAGAAACAGTGTTCATACCTCAGAAGAGAAAAAGGTATATTTTAAAATCACTTTGTAGTTAATTCCATTTATCATGTAAGCTGTAACTTTTACAGAAAGGAAGAAGAATAATGACATAATTTAATGAAGGCTTTGGAGTTTATTTTATGTCAATTTTTTGTACTTCTATAACTTTAAATTCTTGACCTTAATTTTCAATTAATAGTTTCTTTAGCATTTTATTGATTTTTATTACCCCCAGAGAGTTCATCTAACATTGGAAAGAATACTATAAGTAAATCTACAATTCCCCTAAAAGTTCAATTATTATAATAGCAATGAAAATTATTAGTCATTTTCATACACAGTTTATGGCACTTTTTTGATACTTTAAATTCTAACTATACATAATAGCAACTCTCAGAGTTAACTAGATAGGAATTCTTCCACATTAAATCTTACTATTTCTGGGTAGAGTGTGAAGCAGAGTGATATGGGAAATCAAGAGTCCATCATACAGTTTTTCAGCATTAGTGTTTCAGTAGCACATTAATGTATTATAATGAATATTAGAGTATCTGTCCAAGGGACTGGCTTAGTTGTGATAGACTCTCAGATGGCAGAAATCTGTTCAGACAATGGCACTTTAGAAAATGGTTCTGGGAGAGAAAGACCCCGCTTCCTGAGCTAAAATAAATTCCTCAGGAAACATAATTACCACATTACAGCATATGAGATTTCTTTGCATAGTTCCTCTATTACAGTTTTCTCAATTTAATCAGCATTATGACTGTTACATTGTTTGCTATTGGAGCTTAACATAGGAATAAAACCCATTAAAAAAGAGAGACTAGATTCAGAATTGGCACAATGAACCTGTTTTAATGCTCAAAAAATGTCTTCACCACTTATAGGAAATTGGAAAAGCCTACCAGATTATTCAAGAAAAACAGTCTAATTTGAATCCTGATGTTGGTGAATTGGTCCCACTTCCTCTCTATCCCAGTGAAAGAGAGAGAATCTTTAAACCAAATGAAGAGAAACCTTGCAAATATTACAAGAGGAAAGTGTTGCTAACTACTAGCTTTGGAGAATCTTTGGTTTGGTTCAAAACTATAGCCTTTGTTATAGATACTGGAATAGAGAAAAAAAAGGTGAGTAAAGTAATAAGAGTTAACTAATTATGAGTGGTTCAAATCATGACTAGAAGGGGAAGTTTCATGTGCCCTTATAATGGTGAGACTTAATATATACATGCTTAAAAGTTCATCACAGTCTTCTCATTATTATTATTTTCAAATTGGAAGTTAAAGTGTATTGTTAATGTAGAAGCCAAATTATATTTTCCTCAAATTTCAAGTTGAATTATTTAATTTTGTATTACCAGAGAACTGTTTATAGTTCTGTTGCAACTATTGTGTAGCCCACTTATTATTTTAGTTTTCAACTAAACACTAATTCAAACCATTAGTTTTCAAACTTTTGGGTTCTCCACTATATTGTTAAAATCCATGGGACATAAATGCTGAAATAAATAAATGGAGCTATTCTAGGTATGGGAGCTCATTGTGCACCTTGGATTCCTAACCTGGTGCACCGCAAATGTGTTAGATTGCAATTCTGGCTGTCTTGGGATGATGAGAGTTACTCGTATATTCCAATATGTCTGGTGGGCGCTAGACTAGAAATGGCTGTTTCACATTGTTGGGGACATAGCGGGGGGATTGCGGGGGTGTTAATCAGCTTCCATACAATGCCAAACTGCTTCACAGAAACCTAGTGGTACAGCCAGGTATGCTCTGTGGCCATTTTGCATATTAAGGCTAATCAGAAACAACTATATGACATTTGAACTCAGGTACACCATGTTAATTGTACACTCATGTTGAAAATGCAAGTAAATGAGGCGTGACAATTCTATAACAAACTAGTATGAAAGCAGCCCATATGTGCTGAAAAGAGTGGTAGTTTTCTATAAAGGGGAAAGCCTTCATTCATGGTGTGCAGATTAAAAATCAGTAACTTTCCATTGCTGTAATTTGATACTACTTGCTCTTGCCTACAGTTTACTATTTAGAAATATGTGCTTGCTTTTAGAAGAAAAAGCAGGGGTGGCCAGATTTGCGCAATGGAAGGGGAGAGATGTGTCCAAATTGAAAACCAATCTAATCTAGTCCACAGAGATCTTTTATAAACTCTATGATGGAGTGGCCAAACCAAGGGTGCCAAGCTGCATGTGACCCTTTGAGTTTATTTTCAGCTTGAAGAGGACTAGGAGTGCCCCTTTTCTCCTGTCAAGTCTGTATTGCAGTGATGGCACAGGCATGGTTATGGTGAGCTCTCCCAAGTCCACTAGACTGTCCTGCTCTTATCCTGAGGCTCAAGAAGAGAGCAGGTCAGGCTGGCAGCCCCATGAGAGCTTGCTCCAGCATGCCCCACCTGCTTCTGCTGATGAGCACAAAGGTACTTTAGCAGTTGCACCTCTGCCATTGCTCTATGTGGCAAATCTGGTGGTGCTTTTGGAGGCAGCAGCTGCAGCAGCAGTTATTCTGGCGGTGGCATTTCCTCACCATCTTCGGTGGCAGCCACCTCAGCTGCTGCCCTGTCTCTGGTGAGGAAGCTTAAGATGGGGCAGATAGTGTGAGGAAGGTTGTTGCTTTTGGCTCCTCTTCTCCTACCACCCAATTACCCCATGCTCTTGAAGGGCTGAAGGAAGAGCTCCTAGTCAGCCTGAATCTACTCATTCCTCGTGCTCTGAAACATGAGTCATGTATATCAAGTGACTAAGCAGTAAGCTAGATGAAGATATAGAAGGAACATACTGCTCACCCCATTCTTTCATTAGTTCTGCCTGTGTGGGGCACCTATGTATTCACATAGGCAGAGGAAGGGAACCAACAACTTAGCTGAGCCCATGGGAATATTCTGTGTGCAGGCACTGCAGCCTCCATGTACTGGATCAAGTTTTGTGTGTTTTATTGAACATAATTTCTGAAGGAGATGTCAGTATTCATTTCAACAAACCTACCATGATCCTTGCAGGAACAAGCATGATTTCAATGAATTTATCAGAGTGCTTTCACTTCTCCATTTCCATTTCAAGACAAGTGAAACAATAATAACTATTGTGAAAAGGAAATGAATTTGCAGCCAAGCATTTAAAAAACTAAATAGAAGTGTTGGAGGGGGGCGCTTTGAAGCAAAAATTCAGTGCAAATCCTTTTGCTGTTTGATCAGTCTTAGGTTTTTACTACAGTCATTCTTTTTATATTGCAAGGTATACAATCCTCGAATCAGAGCAGACACTGTTGTGGTACGGCCTATTAGCAAAAGTCAAGCTGAGATGCGTAAGCAAATTCTGGGCATGTCTTCAGGTAAAAAAGAAAAGAAAAGAAACATCAGCTTTAAACAACTACTTCTAATACAAGAGAATATGTAAAGCAAGATTGTTCTTGAATTTCCTGGCAGGCAAATGTTTCTGCCTCTACCCTGAAGAATTTACAGACAAGGAAATGAAGCTTCTACCACAGGCCAAAATACAGGAATCCAACTTGACAAAGATGGTCCTTTTTCTGAAAAGAATGGATATAGCAGGCCTAGGCCACTGTGACTTCATAGATAGGCCAGGTAATATAACTGTTATCTTTATTCTTCTCAGACTTACTATACATTTATTCATGAATTTTTAAAAGTTATTTATAGCTCTCTTTTTAAAAACAATAAAAACAAGGCCCGCAATGAAAATAAGCCAGCATAAAAAGCAAGTAAAATACATCAGCACAACAATCTGAGATGTCGCAAATAAACAAGTAGTAAATTTTTCCTTCTTATAGGAATGCTCCTTTTCTTATACACACTGCCAGTTCACCATCACACTTCAGGATAGAATACAACTTTGTAGAATAATGGTCTGTAAAGTATAGGTTGGGCCTTCCTTGTCCACTTAACGTCATAGCTGTTTTTCGGCGCCAGGCTAAGACCTTTTTATTTAAAACTTATTTTAATTGTTAATTTATTGGTTATTTATAGGATTTTAAATCTTTTAAGCCGAGATGCACCGGCTTTTAATATTTTTATTGTACAATTTGTTATATTTTGTTCTTATTGTGAGCTGCCCCGAGGCTTTGTTGCGATGGGGGCGGCATAAAAATTTATTAAATAAATGAATACATAAATAAATAAATAGCTTTAAAGCGAAATGCCACAAAAACATGCTCATGGGAGTCAGAGTCATTCTAAATCAGCACCTGAACTCAGTAATGGACTGGATGAGGGCCAATAACTGAATCCAGACAAAATGGAGGTGCTGTTGGTGGGTAGACCATTGGAAACATAGAAACAAAGTGAGTCAGAAGGGTCTGCTGGGCCATCTAGTCTGACCCGCAGCTCCAGTCAGTTCCGCTCAAGTAATCCCCAATACGTGGTTGTCCAATCTTTCCTTGAACAACCTCACTGATGGGGCCTCAACCACTTCCCTTGGAAGTCCATTCCATATCCTAGGGGTCCTAACCATCAGGTAATACTTCCTGTCATTCAACCTGAAGCCTGGTTCCTTGAGCTTTTCCCCATCTGCAAGGAAGAACAGATCGCAGCAATCCTCCATATGACATTCCCTCACATACCTATATGTTGCTAAAAGAACCCGTTGGAGTCTCTTCTTCTACAGGCTGAAAAGACCTAGTTCCCTCAATCTGTCCTCATATGTGATAGAATCTTGGTTCTGAATTTGTGAGGAGGAAATAACCACTCGGATTTGTGGGAAAGATCAAACGTTTGAACCTCTGCTGCGTAATTGTCTGGACCCCCAGTTCCTGCAGTCACTAACGATAATGCATGACCAGGCAGAGGTAAACTCAATTGCAAGTTTTCAATACATTTACAGAGCATTTTATAACCTGCTAGTCATGTACACCAATACAGAGTGTTAAGTTTCCAGATAATCTTAGTACAATAACATCCTGGTGTCTTTAGGCATGATATAATGTTCTAAACTGATCAGAAATACAGTGGTACCTTGACTCACGAACTTAATCCATCCCACGACTCTGGTCGCAACCCAAATTGGTTGCAACCCAAGTCATATTCCCCCATAAGGTTCCATGATAGAGATTCATGATAGATAAAATCATGCATGGGAGAAGTGTGTGGCGGGGGGGGGGAGAGAAAGAGCGATTTCCTCTCATAATACTTGATCATGTGCTCATACAATTAATTATGGGCATATAATAGGAAATCACTGTTACAGCAAGTGATGGCCACTAATATGCGTTTAAAAAAAAGGATTAGACATATTAATGGAGGTCTGTCAGTTATCTTCATGTTGAAAATAGTATGATCCTAAATTGAGGAGCAATAGCATGTTGGGCAGCATCCTCCTATATTATACCTTTGAGATGTTTTGAATTGCACCTCCCATCAATGGCCAATGGTCAGGGATGATAGTAATTCAAAGCAACCCTGTATTTGGGTAGTGATTAGAAAGTCAGAGCTGGAATGGGGAGAGCCAGGTTTTTATACTTTGTTGTAAACCACCCAGAAAGCTTCAGCTATGGGCAGTATAAAAATGAAATTAATAAAAACAATAATAATTCCCTCTTACCCATGAAGCTCACTACATGTCACTAGCTTTCAACATAACTTATTGGACAACAAAGTTATGAGGCTAACTTTGGAGGGTGATGAACCATCTAAACAACTATGAGCTCCTTGGAGGAAGACTGGGATATTAGTTATAAGTAAGTTAAACCACCCCCTTTTTGTTATTGATGTTTTTTCAAATAATTAAAAAATAAAACAAAAAGGGCTACTGCTGTCAAGTTCTCTTGCGATATAGCTGAAGGTATCTGGTTATCTCCTATGAAAAGCAGAATTCTGGACATGATGGAATGCTGGTCTAATTTAGCAGGGGTGGTCTTAAATATATTGCCTGAATTGTAAGTCATCAGGAATCTAGTACATTTTGCTTTGTTTTTTGGAAAATAATTGCTTCAGCTGCTGCTTCTCTGGCCAAACTCTTCTGCAGTGTCATTTTAGAAATCCATTATACTTACCATTATACCAATATTTCATCCTACCATTGCAATTATAGATTCATCTTCAGAGTTACATTGATAAATTCATAGCATTGAATCACTTAGTAGTACTGCATTACTTGATATTCCTTGTACATATAGACCTATTTTTTCCACAAAAACACATAATGCAACTACACATTTCTTGGCTTTTTGGACATGTACTTTGTACTTAACAATACGTTTTCTGGTACAAAAAAGGGCATCCTTTACATGTGAACAGTGCCCAAGATAGGGTGATTTTGGAAGCATGAGGATTTCAGAATGGGAAGGAAAGGGTAGTGGGAAGATTAGGCTTAACTAAATTGTGTCTGCCTGAAAAGAAGTAGAATAGTTGTAGATCCATCACAGCAGAAGTAGGATGGAATCTCTCCATTCCACCCCACTTCAACTCAGCTTGTTTTATTAGGCCTGAAACCTTGCACTTTTACATTCAGTGATTTCCTGCTCATTGACATAGCTTCACCATAATTTTCCTTCTGATTTCTTGATCTGGCAACATACAATGGGCAAATATGCACAATATTAAGTAATTCATTTTGGGATGCATAAAGGCAGCTTTTGACCTACTTCTTTCCAGAGGTTTTTTTTTGGGGGGGGGTGTTTTGTTTTGATCAAGAACTGGTTAGCTGAAGTCCTGGGTTTGTATATGTGAGACTCATACTCAATTTTTCACTTAGTCATGAAATTCAACAGTAACCTCAGTCAGTATTTCAGATTAAAATGTAGTTGTGATTTCTTTTGAGGTGGGGCGGAATACTACTAATTCTAAAAATTACAATGGCACAACAATGTACATATGCGTTGCAACTTATCAGTTGCTGAAGTTCCCTAACATGGAATAGAAGGTGCTATATCTTGGGGTACTAATCTTGGATGGGTGTTCGCATTCCTGCAATATTATCTTGCCATGAAGTCTACCTAAGTTAGAAAAATAATTTCCTTTGCAATCTTATACTTGTCTGTTCAGGACTAAGCCCTATTAAGTTCAATAGGGCTTAGTTCCAGGTGAGTGGGCATTAGATGGCTGCCCTGGACAATCTGTTGTTCATCAGCAGGTGGTTTGCAGAGGAAAGGTACAGGAGCCTGAAATTATTTCCAGACATATTCTATTAAAACTAAACTTTTATTTTGGCATTACTTTTGAGTAATTGACTTGTCAAAAGTTTCCCTGGCTGAACAAGAATTTTGATCATACATCTCTCAAACCAAGGACACATAACTTAGATAAATCTTTCCTCCTTTCTCCACACTTAAAAGTGAGTAATGTTGCTTTTCTGCACATAGCACTGGTACACTTCCTCCAAGACAGATTTGAGTCTAGATGATACAACCATTTCATTCTCTAAAATGTAGTACGCCTTTGCAGATTCTCAGTTTCTAAAGTTGGCTTTAAATATCTTTCTCAGTATCATCTCAGTATCATGAGGATAATTTTACTAATCTTCATTCCTTGGCTTGCTTACCACATGATGTTACTACCAAGTTTGGCTTAATAAGATGATGTGATGTTAATTCCTTGCATGTCTGTGGTATTAAATGTGAAATTTTGAGAGGCTTACATTGCAATCCTGTGCATGTCCCCTGAGAAAAAAGCACCAGTAAGTTCAATGGGACATCTGAGGATGTCTCACAATATGTAGGATTGTGCCATTTGTGAATGACACTGAAAGTGAAAGACACTGAGGACAGAACTCAGGATGCCAAGAAGCTGCCTTTCTGTCTTCCTCCCATTTTTCCATGATGTTACATCATGCTTGCCATTTCTCTGCCCCCGGCAACCAGTGTTATGAAGTGGCAGAGAAATATTAAGCATATTATTTGCATTTGTGTGGTTCCCCTTTTCACACATTTTGCCCATAAATTGATGCATTTTAATTGTTAGTGCATCACTTAATAAATGACATTATTTATGGTGCAATCCTGTGACTTCTCAAGAGCGTGTGGGAAGCTATTGGATAGGTTGGAGTTCCAGCTTTGATGTCAGGAAAATATGTACTCCTAAGGTCAGAGCTGGGGAAGGCTTCATCAGAGGGCCCTTCCTTTGTAACTCCCAGCCAGTGTGTTTCTTTCCACGCCAGCTGTGCTCTGGAGGTAGAAAACCATTTTTGGAGCAGCTGTAGAATGGCTGTAGGGGGTGTGGAAGGGAAAAACTAGGCACCACTGTCTTTTGAAGACTCTCACTTGTGCCTCTGCCTTTCCTTCTTACAAGGAGGGAAGAAACAATTGGATGACTGAAATGGGCCATCTAAACCTTTTAGAGAGTGAGGGGAACTAGAAGCAAACCTAATCTCTGTATTCCTTCCACCTTCCATTGGAAGCCCATAATCAGACAGCAACATTGGATAACATCCTCCAATATCTAACCAGTTTCTACATACATAAATACTTGAAGTAGGCATAATTTTGGTTTTATACCTAATGTTAAAAGAGAAAAATAACATCATTAATTTTTTGTGTTGGATTATTTCTTTTAGTACATAGTGGTTGTGGTAGCAGTTGATTCATACAGCCCTAAATGAAGTTTGCCTTTTGACTCCCAGCAACACTGACCTTGGCAGGCTAGACATAACAAAAATGGCACTGCATATTGTTAACACCCTCTTTTTATCAAGCGCTACATGTCTGTGTCCCTTTCAAGAAAAGCCTTTCATGGAAGTTCCTTTTGTTTCTCTTATTTATGAGGAGTTTTATTTAAATCTGAACAATACCATAAAGAATTCTCCAATGAATCTTTGTCATTTTTACAATGACTTTTTATTGGCTGCATTAGTGCTTGCAAATGCAGAATAATATCTGAAAATTCTATTCAAGGTTTTCTTTTCTTTTATTACTGTTCCTTCACCTGTATAATCTGCATTTATTAACTTGTCCTTTCTAATATAATAAAAAAACCTAAACACTTTTTTATTATAATACTGAAGCAAAAAAAAAAAAAAAAGCCTAGAGTCATTCCTGTAAAAATGCAAAGCAGCAAGCTTCCTCTGGGACTAGAACTGGCTTCAGAGCCAGATGCTTCTAAGGACAATAGTCATATATTCAGCTCACAAACAAACTGCTCTATTGATTTATAGAAATTAGTTTGCCATGATTCCCTGGTAATTACTTTGAAAACTCAGTAGCCATTCATGTCCCCCCACTTTAAATCTTGCGTCCCTATTTTCTGTCACCAGCTCTTGGTTTCTCTCATTCATCAGCTGTTACTCTTCCTTTCATGGCTCAGTGATAAAACTCTCAAATCCCCCCCTCCCTTAAACATCCAACCTGTTTTCTTCTTCAGTGCTTTGACTTTCTCAAGGACTCATCTTTTATCGCATTAAACCTTGCAGGCTGGTTAATAAATGCTTTCTCTTCTTCATGATGTGCAGGCAGGGATCAGAATTCTAATAATATTAAACTGGATCTCTAGATAAACATGTAGAATTTTTGCTGCATAGACAGTGTAAGCTAATTTACCAGGCAATGAAAGCAGGCTGGGCACAGTTCTTAAATATAACATGCAAGCCAATGTGTATTAGCAGTTAGTCTCACTGAATGTTATTTACTCCCAAGCCTTTCACAAAAATTTTGTGACCTAGCTAACAGTATGCAAAAATTTAAATTAATGGAATTAGCTGGGCCCAAACATGCTGACAGTAAGAACTGACACCACCACAATCAAAAGAAAGTCAGTGTAGTGTAGTGGTTAAGAGCACAGGATTGAGACTGAGGAGACCTGGGTTCTAGTCCCTGCTCAGCCATAGAGCCAGCTGGGTGACTTTGGGCCAGTCACAGATTCTCAGTCCAACCTACCTTGTAGGGTTGTTGTTCTTGGGATAAGAATGAGGAGGAGTATTATGTAAGATGCTTTGAGTTCTTTGTAAGAAAACAGGCAGGATTAAGATTGACTGAATAAACAAGCAAAGCAAGTAACTCAAATTAGTAGCTAGGAAAAGTCCTCAGTCAATTGTCCCTTGTGCATATGTTTGAATCCCTTGAAAAAAATCAATACATCAGCTCCATAACCAAGAGTCTGCAAGGAAGCCTGCATACAGACCCCTATGTGTTAGTTTGTTCCTACCCACCTTGAGTCATTCAAACCCTACTATGGTGCCAAGGGTTCCGCACAAGCAATGTGAAAAACAACACACAACATCAGAGGGGTGGTACAGATGTTTCGAAGGAGGCTTGTTGGTTGACACACTGGTAAGGCCAAGTGGGCCAGAAATGCCACTGCAATGAGTGGTATTCCATTATGCCCCTTTTTGTGAGATTCTCCCAGCTGCAAAATAACTCTGGCAGAAGCTGCCTTAATCTGCTAACCCAGAGGTTATCTGTTCTGCTCCTGGACTGCCCTGAATCCAGGTGGTTTACATAGGGCTTGTTCTTTATCTAGCTGCCAACTGTTGATGCACTACTGGAAGATAACACCAAAGGATACTGGTCCATTAGTATGACCCTGCATAGCAGACACCAGCAATGAGAGAGTAATGCTTCTTTTTTTCTTAAGTATAGACTCTACATTTAGAGAGCTTCCCAATTAAAAGTTTTATTTAAACACATTTGTAAGCCACTGTGAAGACAGAGTGAAGACAAGACACACATTTTAAATAAATATATATTTTACTTGGTCAAAGGAGAAGGGAGATGATGATGATGATGATGATGATGATGATGATTAGAACATTTCTATGCTGCCCCTTGCCGAAGCCTCGGGGCGGCTTACAACACAATCAAATACAATACAAAAATAACAATATAAAATTAAAATTAATAATATAAAATAAATAAAAAATATAAAAGATATAAAAGAAGTTATAAAAGTTATAAAAGAAAAGAAGTCACCCTGGCCAGATAACTGCAAGCTACCTGCAAACAACCTACTATGCTGCATGGTAGCGGAAACAAACACCACAGTGAGAAACAAACTGCTTTGTGACCACTGGTAAAAGTTTGTTTTATTAAATCATCACTATAGGAAAAAAAAAGATTTTTGTGATTTAATTATCACCTAAGATAAAGTGCATACAGTTTTTAAGCAGTGTGCTGTCTCCCTTCACAGTATCAAGTAAGATCTCTAAAGCTGGAAATCATGCAATTTGAAGGGAAAACTCACCTATGAGTAACATAGTAAAATTGTTTACGCTTCACATAATTTGCAGGGATGTATGTTGTGTGTGAGCTGCCTAACTTTATTTTTTAACAAACTATGAACAAGGTTGTTAGCATGCTGTGGAAATCTGGATATTCTGGGTTGTAAGAAGCCTGTATCTTGTTGTTAGGTTAACTCTGGGTTGTTTAATCCATAGTGTCCGGGGATGTCACATTAATAATCTGCACATGGAATTTTCATAGGTTGTTTCTGCAAACTGGAAGTAGCTATTCATACACAGCATGCATACAGAAAATCTTGGGTTAATTAATTAGTCCAAAATAGGCCACTGTTCTGTGTAAACCAGACCAGTCTCCTATTCAGTCTGAGTCTGCTTTAATGAAATAAGTTAAGAGAATTGTTACATACTTTGTTTAGCTGACTGATACTGAAGTTGAGCCATTTTATTTTGGAGATGAATCTAGCTGTTGAAATAGGTAATGCAAGATATCTGTGGCTAGCTCTGTGTATTTTATCTTTATAGTTTTAATAATAATTTTCACTAATTTAAAAGAGACAAAGCTTACATAAACAAATCCACAATTTCCTGAGAGTCTCCTAATGTGAACGTCCTTGTGAGTTGTTGATTTTGGGTATGATTGGATTCTGCATGGGAATTTCACAGGACCCTGACAGAATGTAGTGACTAATGTGATTTATTCTAAGCTTTTCTACTTGTCTCAGCTCCTGAAAATCTCATGCAGGCTTTGGAAGATTTGGATTATTTGGCTGCCCTGGACAATGATGGAAACCTTTCAGAATTTGGAATAATAATGTCAGCGTTTCCAGTAGATCCACAACTGTCAAAGGCTATTTTAGCTTCTTTAGAATTTGACTGTGTAGAGGAAATGCTCACCATTGCTGCCATGGTAACAGGTATTTTCTGAAGCCCTTGTGGCTCCCATTCAAGCTCTTATTTATGCTGGTTTAATATACAAATAACTGCTAAGGTCAACCAATTAATGAATACTTAGTTGAGTCATAGTTTGCCTTTTAACCAACAAATAAATGAAATTTAATTAAAATGTTATGCTTAGAACATATTTTATATGCTATTCCCCTTTTCAGTGACTTCTGAATCAAAATAAAATTGAAAAGGCAATAAGTATGCCTTTGATACTTCATTACTTGTATTATCCCTTATGAATTAATCAACCAAACATTTGATTATTTTGATTAAATTGGTTGAACATCTGCATAAATGAAATGTAGGTTTAGAAAGTATTTTGTACTTTTCACAAAATTTGAGGAAGGGTTATGTCACCTCTCTGATGTGATCTTTAATGATAATAAAATTATGCAGGCCTATAGAAATTTGCTCAGTAATTTGATAAATTCAAGCACTGGACCTTTCAGAGAAGGTCATAGTGGGTGCATTTTGGTGGTGGGTTGGGCCAAAGGCAAAAGAGGTAAAGTCAAAAAAATTAAAAATGCCAGCCTATTTTAGAGTAAAGCATTTATTGCCAGTAATTAAGGCTTAAAAGATGCACTTTAACATTGGGGGGGGGGGGGGGGAAGTAACAATTGGGAGGAAGGTATATGTTCATCTTCAGAGGGCCAGATTTGGCTTTTGGTTCTTCAGCCCCAAAGCAGCCAAAATCAACAGATCTGGTAGTGTTTGGTCTCATACTCCAAAGTACAAGTAAATCCAACTCAATGGATCTTATTTTCCAGAGTTAACGCACTACATTCAGTCCCCAGCTTAAAAATGAGTTTCATTCCTAAGAAAACAAATTCATATTTAAGTTGAATTTGTATGTACGTTGGATCACATATAGTCAACCCCACAATTTTGTGGTGGTTAGGGGTGCAGGACCACCATGAAAGTGGAAAATCCTTGAATATCCCTTGTCCTCCACTGTCACTAAAACTCACTAGTGGCTCCTCCTTGCAGCAAGGAAATGCCAAAGAGATTTCCCTGTTCAATTGGGCGGTGCAGACGGGCATGCTATGGAGGCCTCCCTCTTTCCCCTTTCACTCCCCCCCCACTCTACCCCCCACATGATGACAATTTGATGGGGGATGCAATATCTCTGCTTTCTTGCAGAGGTGAGGAAACTATTCCAACCCAAGGGCTGCCTTAGAAACCTTCAAGGTTTCATATGCCAAAATCTTTCATACCCAGCTTTCTCACACATCAGTTTCAAATTTCCCTCCTTTTCTCTCACTTCATGCATGTCCCCTGCCTTTGCCTCCCTGCACACATGCCCCCTTCTGTTTCACTACTCTCCCTCAATGCTCAATACTCCCAATTTTCTCTTTTTTTCTCCTGAAACTCCAATTGCTGTGTGAGAAATGGTTTTTCAAGTGGCTACACTATGTAGCCAAGGGAGGTCTAGTTCTTCCTTGCCAAGCAATACCCCTCAAATGTTGTCCACAGCAACTCAGCTTTTCCTAAAGTCTAACTGCTGCTTGGAGGTGGGCAGAGGGGAAGACAATGGCCAGATGGAGATGCCCTGACGGACAAAAGTTCTCCACCTATTTTATTGTTAGGATTGGGAACCAGCCACCCAGTCTTCTTCCTGCTGTTCTTCCCACACAGAAAGGCTTTAAAAGGCACCTGCTCCGATTTGCATTGTGTGGTGTTCAGAGGGTCATAGCAGGGAGGCAAATCACCCCCCCCACCCACACCCACACCCACACAAGGCATTGAAGGCTAATGGGCAGTATAGAAATTAAAGCTAAATAGGCTTGAAACAGTTCTCCCATTGACCTCAACTCCATACCTCATTGCAAGTGCAGGGGGCGCATCTGGGTGTGCATATGCACATTATGTCAGACCTACATGTATGTGCATGGATTTGCCCTAACCACTGCAAGAGGTTGGTCAGATGGGAACATGGCCTCAGGTTGAAATAGGTCCCTCGCCCTGCTCAATAAGATTATCATCTGGATATAACTTAAAGTGCTCATGTCACCAGAAGACTGAAAACCAACCCTCTTATTAAAGGCCTCATACATCATATTTATACCTGCCTTGAAACCAGAGCAATATTTAAAAATTAAGTAGAGAATGTTCAGATTGCTAATCATCTCACCACTAATGTATATGGCAGTTTATGGAGTCACAACAGAGGAACAGGTCTGTTCCAAGAATCTTATTTAGACATAAGGGAGGCATTAAAGGAATGGAAGAAAGAAACTACAGTAAAAAAAGAAAATTTGGTTACACATACTTAGCTGTTTCAGTCAAGGATAAGGATTAACTAAGGAGCTGGACCAAAGCCTATCTTGAAAAAGTGAATTTTAAGGAGGAATTTGATTGAAGAGGAATAGATGTTCTAAAAAGTAGTTATAGAGATAAGGGACAACAGCAGAGAGAACCTGGAATGGTTTTGGGGGCAAGGAAACCTGCAGATGGTGGACAATAGTGCAGCTTGATGATTAAGGGCACAGGATATATTGGGATCTGAGAGTGGAAAGAGGTGGAGGTCAAAGTAAGGTAAGGACCACTTTTTGTTATAGGTAAGGACTACCACTACTAAGCTACTTTTATGCTAAGGTAAGGACTACATTGTATTATATTGGAAAATCATCAGGCAGGGAGCATATATTGGTTCAAGTGAGGGTGTCATCATTTAAGGAATGAGAGAATTGTTTTTGCAGCAGAGTTCCAGATAACAGGTAAAAGAAACAAGACATATCTGCAAATGTTCCACAAGAAGATGGCAGTAGTTAAAGGAGATGAGTAAAAACCAGTTTTTGCTGAGGAACCCATTTCTGCTCAGAAATTATTACATTGCATACGTTGTGCATTCAGCACAGTTTCTTATATGCTGTCAGCTTGTTTTCATTCTCTCTTTTTCAATGCAAGCTCCTAGTTGCTTTATAAACCCACCGCAGGGAACAGAAGAGATTGCAGTTCTTTGCTGGCAAAAATTTGTACATCCTGCAGGAGACCATTTTACTCTTATCAATGTGTACAATGCTTACAAAGAAGTCACTACAAACTCCATGAGCCAGCGTAAGTGTTTGCCAAATATTTTAACTATACTTTTAAATTTTAAGTGCTTCTGAACAATTAATACAGCTACTACCTATGTAGCATCTAAAAGCAAATTGTACTTTGTGAAGAAAAAACATGCAGGTCCTTTCCTAAATTATATTGCAATCTAAAAAACAAGTGACAAAAAGAAATGAGAAAAGAATTGATATGCACAAGATTATAGTTATAGGTAATAGTGATAAGATTTATATTTAAAATGGAAAAATTAAGCTACCACTTTTCTGGTAGCAAGTCTCATGAAACTCAGTAGACATTAGTTCTGAGTAAACATAAAGGAATGCACTCTTAAACACAATATAATGTAACCAATTTAAAAATAAATTGTTGGTTAAAAGAGTAAGGTAAAAGAACTAGGGTATTTAAGAAAGCAAATTAAAGGGATCTGTGTTGGGCCATTTCTTGAAAGACAAATATGTTAAGGAAGAGGATTCGTGGCAGAGAGGAAAGCAAACAAACAAGGGCAAAGCAACAACAGCAACAACCTCAAAACAAAAAAGGGATTTTTAGAAAGGAATATGGAAAGCCAAGCTATTAAGAACTTTTAAAATGAGCAGCAAAACTTTAAAATATATTGTGAAAGAAAACTGAGCCAATGAAGGCACCAAGGAAGCAGTAATGCAATTACAGTTGTGTTCTAGATAGCTAACACAAGCACCATACTTTTGGACAAAGGTTTAAAATTAGAGGTAGATAAACAAATTAAATCCAAATCAACCCACACAGGGAAAGAAGCTCATTGTATTTTATCTTTGCTACCCTGTTACCAAAAATCCATTGCTAACAGTATATGATCACTGGTTGTGCTAGTCTCTACAAGTTTAAAAACAATTACAGTGCAATCCTATATATTCTAAGGGAAGTCCACCTGAGTTCAGTGGGACTTGGCCACAGTATTTATAGAATTGCAGACTTAAGCCCAGAAAGGGTTCTTTTGCTGATATTGTACATCTCCATAATTACACAGTGGAATCACCTAGTAATATAGCATTTTTTCTCCCAGACTATGAAATTGAAAAGTGGTGTCAGAATTACTTTCTGAACTGCTATGCACTAAGGATGGCAGAAGCTATCAGAGCTGAATTGCACGACATTATGAGACAAATTGAACTCCCAGTTTCAGCATCTGCTCTTGGACTGAAAGAGAACGTACCAAAGATAAAGAAAGCACTGCTATCTGGTTATTTTATGCAAGTAAGAAAAGCAATTGGATATTTTCATTTAAGTATCTTAACAATGTAGACAATCTTAATTTAATCCAAACATGTAGGTTTGCCTTTGCACTGAACTATGGAGTTGTTTTGATTCCTGTTTTTCCCATTTGTTATAATGCTATAGCTTAGACTACAGCCTTGTAATTCAGTTAGGCTGCTGTCCTATTCCAACCTACTGGAAATAAGGCCATCAACTTATCTTTGAATAGACAAGGACTGTATTATTAAAGCTATAAATGTACTAATAATAAAGGATGACTTTTTAACCATATCAAAACCATCATTTCTGTTATTCACTAGATATTGAATGTCTGCTTGTGAAGGCATTGCCATACGTTTGAGTCAATGGCATATAATTTAAACACAGATCTTTTTATATTCTAGACTGCTCGTGATGTGGATGGCTGTGGAAACTATTTAATGTTGTCACATAGGCACGTAGCTCAGCTTCACCCTTTGTCAGTATACTTCAACACGAAGAGCATTCCAGAATGGGTTATATTCCACAAATTTAGTATAGCTGAAAACAACTCTATAAAAATCGTCTCAGAAATATCACCTGACCTGTGAGTAACAGAAAACAAGGATTTCTTTTCTGTTCATTTTTCTATCATACAATTTCAATTTAAGAGCACAATCAACACAAAAAAGAAATATATAAAATGTATACAATAAATATTTGTTGAAAATACTACTGATCTAGACAACTTCCCACAGGGGTGACAAGTCATCCTGACATCTCAACAATACTAGGGGTTGTTGTACTCACAATGGATTGTCATATCATGCAAGCAGGGATGGACTATTTAATCAAGGATTCTGTGTCTGACATTTCCAAATGAAGCATCTTGGTGACAAGGCTGGGGAAGACGTCTCCCTAGTACTTTGTTGGGCTAGATGGGTCATTTTGAGTTGCAGGAATCTGCTGGAGAGTCGCATGACAAGGGCTATGAGAAACCCTGACAGTCATGTTGTTGCCCTTGCTGCTGCCACTAACATCCCCACTGCTATCCAAGCAGCACACATCACTGGTTCCCCACCCCTAAAAAAAAGCTTTGGTCCCAGGAAACTCTGCTCTTATTTTTCATGTAGTAGTTGTCTGTCATTCTCAAATGTGCTCTTATAGCTGTCAGGTATGTATAGTCATGCCTGGTCAATTCCCTTGTATGTTTCAGCTGTCAACAGCAGCAGGGAGTTGAAGTAGCTAACGAACTGACAAGGTGAGTCTGCATATAAGCTAATTTGGACACAGTTCACAGGGACCAATTATCTAGCTATCAGTTGAAAATCACTGGGCAAAAGGAAAAAAGCAGTGAAAATGTGTGCGCCAAGGACTGCGTGAATCAATTAACAACCACTTAGCAATGCAGTTCTCTTGATTTTATGGATTAAATTGACACTTTTCAGTACTTCCACATTTTTAAAATTTCCATGTCTCCATCTACTCCAGAAGAGTTAACTTCCACCTCTTTTGTGGTTCCTTTTCAGAGCATTTATCCCTGCAGTTCCATGACAGGTGTACAAACCTTTTTCTCCATTTACTTCTCAGACATTAATTTTGCTTATTTTTTTGCAGGAGGAACCACAGTAACTGTGGTTTTGTTTATATTTCTGTCAAAGAACCATAGTAACTGCAGCAATAAGTGTTTTGAAAAGGAGCTGCAAAAAAAAAAAAATGAGGGGGAATTAGTATCTCTCTTTTCTCAGTGACTCAGGAAGTGTTGAAGTGGTAGAAGGCACCAAGAAGTGTCATTTCAGTGCTTAAAATGAGAGCACACATACTTTTAGGGAAAATAACACTTTTTCTCCTTTACCTGTGCTTTTAAGTTTATAGCTAGGCAATTTGTTCTGGGCAACTGTGCACAAATTACCCTACATGCTTTTCTTGTCAGTTTCCATGTTTCTGCACTTCCCTGCTCCATTTGACAGATGAACCATACAAGTAAATTGACTAGGCAAGACTACACATACTGGACAGGCAGAAGAGTGTACTTGCTAGTATGGAAAAGCTTTTAATTTCAGATGCTGGCATAATAGAATTCTGTTTTTGGCAGGTGTTCTTCTGCAGTCATTTAGGCTTATGCAAAAAAATATTGCTGGTGACCAGTGTGTCAAACAATTCTGAGCTGTTCCTGGTATTATTTATGACAATATAAAACTCCCAAATTATCCTAATTGAGCATTACTAAATTGTGGTTTAATCAAAATTGAGATGTAGCATTATGCTGCTGTATTCAATTTGCCATGGGGTTCATTGCTTCCTGATATCTTCTATTGTTTTCACTTAATTTGCATGCTACAGTTTGCTGCTAGGAGTAGGAATGTGCAACGGCAAAGACTTGACTCAGGCTCTTTGATTGATCTTCTATTTTAGCTCCTTCAGTAAATAGTGTTTGAGCATCCCATTCCCCCTCCTTGATACCTCGCAAGTGCTATTCGATCTGCTAAACATTTTTCTTTTGCAATTTAAGTGGAATAGACCTTACATAAAGTCAGACCATTGGTCCATCTAGGTCAGTGCTGTCTACACTGACTGGCAGCAGCTCTCTGAGGTGCTGATCAGGAGTCTTCTAGCCTGAACTGGAGATGGCAAAGCTAGCCTCTGAAAGTTTTTGCATGCAAGGCAGGTTCTCAACCACTTCATATTACCCTTATGAGTTTAGAAACCTCTTACAAAAGCTAGATGCCTACCCGTTAACTTGTAGGAATCACATAAACCCTGTTTATGCATTCATACAAGGGTTGAGAGCAACCCCAAGAAGAATCCCAAGAATGAAGTATATCACCTAACAGCCCCATATTAGCTGTGCTGTAACAGATCTGTAGCAAATGGTTTAACACCATTTTTGTTGTTGCCAACACTTTTAAAATGGATTTTAAAATAGGCCCTGTAGAGGAGCTGAAGTAGAGACTACAGTCACATCGATTCTCATTATGAAGCCAAAACTATTCTTGTACAGATGGCTTAAAGTTTGCTGAACTTCAGAAATGCATTCTATACAAAAATATTTAGTTTCAAGCATTTCTCTTAATTAACAAGAGGATAAGTGATTACATTTTTGATCAGAAATTTTAAAGTGGGACATTCAGCCTTTAGCTGCTTCAGTTCTTTGTTACTGTTACTTTTCCTCAATATGGAGTGAGTTCAAAATACAATTGTCTTCACTATTCTCAGATTGAAAAATATATTTGGTTCCACAAAACAGATACATGTCTGTGAGACCCAAGTCAAACAGAATCTTTGCTATTTGTTGGAGATTGAACATTAATGAGCAATATTAACAACAGCAAGTCCAGACAACTGTTTGCAGATCTAAAAACCCCACCTGCTTCTATTTTCTCAACCCAGCAGGATTTCAATTTACAGACTCCTCTCTGTGGCATGTAAGAATTGTAAGGCAACTAGGCAGGGAAGTTTTTCTGGTTAGAAATGAATTGGTTCCTTCTTCCTCATTTTTGGCTGAAGTGTCACAAATGGCATGCATTAATATGTGCAGACAGTACATTAGTAACAATCCACAAAGCAGCAGGAAACTAGCTCAAATCCATTGAAACAGCTAAAGACAACTGTCCCTCCGTTGCTTCTCTAAATTTCAACAGGGTATACATTAAAGCTTTAGGTAGAATTTGCACAGACTATACTCAAAGTGGGAGCTTTTCTGTATTTAATATGAAAATTGCAACACCAAGAAGCCTGCCAATGCTACTCCAAGGAGAGAGCGAGTATCATCCTGAGTTTGAGAGATGTTTAAGGAATATAAGCTAATGTGAAATATTTTCTTTGGAACCAATAGTGGATTCCAGTTGTGAGGCTCTAAATGCATCAAAATGTGCCTGCATGTAGCATTTGTTACCTGAGTAATAAAAACAGTTATTCAAAATATGAAGAAATGGTTACCATATATATACCTTCTTTTGTTTGTTCTGTTTCTTATCAGATTTGTGGAGCTGGTACCTCAATTCTATTTTAGTAATCTGCCTACTAGTGAAAGCAAGGCTATTCTGCAGGAAGTAATCAATCATTTATCGCCCATTTCAACAGACAAGGAACAAAAAACAAACAGCAAAGATAAACATTATGAAAAATATCCTGAAATACCCACTGAACAGCAATGCATTATTCAGTAAGTTTGTAATCCTGAATGATGCTGCAGTATACATAACCTCTACAGATAACCCAAGAGTCTGTTTTCACAATATAAGATGTGGTAAGTGACTATTTCCCAAAAAACCCAAAATGAGAATAATTCTTTCCTATCATCTTTGGAAATGTGGAAACAATCTACAGGTATTTAGAAAAAGGATCTGGCATCCAGTAACAATTAGGTTTGATCTTTTATTGCACTTGTAATCATACTAATGTTTTTAAATGTCTTCTTGTAATAGCAGATAAACATATTGCAGTAGACTGTTTATATAAGCTGGCATATTTAACAGGAATATGAAGGGTGCAGAATTAATATAGAAAAGTTCCAGACGTCACTCAAAAGACAACTCTTGCAGAATGACTTCATACAATGGTTAGCCCAGGAAGTGGTTTAGATAGAAAGATATTCTTTGAGTTTATCCATGATGGCATTCATCCTGTCAGCAGGGATTACCATCACCGTTCGCAAAGGCTTCATGGGTGCATCTTCAAAAGACCATCTACCTCCCAAACATGTGTCACTCTCTTCATCTACTGAGTAATTGAACTTCAGAAGTGCTTTCTAAAACAAAATTAGTAGACTCTGGTTAAAAGCATTCTGCTTGTTTTATGCTGCTACATTTTAAAAAATGAACATAGCTTTTATTTTCTATAGAGTAAAACCAACTAAGCCATTTTGACAAAAATCAGTTTTAATTGAAGATCCCCAGCCCATTATAAAACTTCATGTACTATGTTTCATATACTGGATCTTCAGCCTTTATGCAGTGACAGGTCCTGCAGAAGTCCATTTCGCACACCCTGGAGGAATCTCTTGATACATGTCATGAATCAGTCAACTAAGTGAATACTAGCAGCTTTGTTACACTTGCCCTTGGACAATTTAGTTTAACCTCTGCATTTTTCAGATAATTTTATATTCTGTTCTAAGAATATACAGTGTGTCTAACTGATGCAAATAAATGCAAAGGATGAAAACTGTATGACTTTTTCATACAGTTTCTCAATTTGAAACTTTGTTCCAAACTAGATACTAGCTTCTGGAAAATATATCAGCAAGAACTGGTGCAAGGCCATGATAGGTAAAGGCTATTATAAATCCACACATAACCCTGTGCCAACTCCTGAAAACTATAGCTTGCAGAGCAAATTCGTTTCTGTATCTTAAAAAGTCTCTGCAACCAGAGAAACTGAACATTTTTTAAAATGTTGATTTAAATTTAAAAATGGTTTAAATTTGTTGTTTAAAGGAACAAATGATATTGTTCTTGTTTTATTTATAAGCCATCTTTATGTTGACATCATATCCCAAAATAAAAAGATAGCAACAAACTAGTACATAGTATAGCCAGCTGATTACTAATGTAGTTATTTTGTCAACGCTGCCTTAACCAAACTTGATCTGGGGTATGCCTGGAAAAAGAATATTATTGCTTAAACAAGAACATGCTGAAGTACTTGATAGTTCTAAAAGTGCTGTGGCACCAAGACCCAAGCCCTGCAAGTGCTTCCAAGTTGAAAGTGTGGCAAAAAACCTCCTCACACCTTATTCAGCTCCAGGGATATCCACTGCAACCTCTCTGTCCAAGGCAGGTGCTTTGCAATTAGAGCAAACTTTGACTGTGGTGATTGCAGCTGTTCCAGAAGTCAGTCCCACAGAATAAAAAAGTAAATCGGGGTGGGGGGGTGTCTTGGCCCTCCCTTCTCGCTGCACAACTTTTTGATGGCCAGTAAGGTTAATCTTGAGAAACATGTTATCATAAAATATGATGCTCGTAGGCCATAAAACAACAATCCTTGCTTTAAATAATGGCATTCATGTTTTGCCAATATCTAAGCTTCTTAAGAATTCCGATTTGCAGCTACTAGAGGTGTTGTGGTTATCACTGACTTGTAAATATATTTGAAGAATCACTACTTTTAAGAAGTATTTCACATTATATGGCTATATAAGTGACTAAATAAATTAGACCAACATGTTTTATGAAAACACAAGTTCAGGCATCAAAGGGAAAACAAAGCTTAGGAACTATCAATTCAAATTTGCTCCTCTGAGAAGTTTAGATTTCTTCTTCTAAAATAACACTCAAAATGTTTATCTGCTGCACATAAAAAGGAATCCACATTGGGCATTTTGGAAGGATCAAATAAGAAGCTAGCATGCACAGAGGAGACAGGAGATTGGTGAAATTCTTATCACATATTGCTCTAAACCAGCCTATGACTCCCATCATACCTGAGTACTGACAATTTTAATCAGGGCTTGTGAAAACTGTACTATTTGGATTGCTGCACTCTGTTTTATCCAGTGCTGTCTAAGTGTGCAGGCTTCATTTAAGTCACCACTGTAGTAATTATGCCAAACTATTTAGGCTAGCCACATTTAGCAGTTACTTTGCACTAGACAGTTCAAACCCATGATCTCTGGTGCAAATTAAAGTGCATAAAGGAAACTGCATCACCGGTAAGTATTTTCACCTCATAAAAGAATTCTTCTTCAGCATTTGAAAACATCAGTTCCTCTTTCTGGTGAGCACTGCTTCCTTTTTTTCTTGCTTTACTCTTATCAGTAAATGTCTTGCTAATTAGAAGATAGAAGTAGCATTTCCCACAAGGCTTGTTTGTTCTCTGAGCTTCTGTTAGTTCTTTCCTAGAAATAAGCACATGTTTATATCAAAGATTTCTTCATGCTCCACTCAGATCTGTGCAAAATGGCAGTAAAGGTCAAGTGCAAAGCACTTCTCTTGTGACCGGTCCTCAGACTAGAGATTCACACATTTTCCAAGAACTCTTCCAAAAATAACTTGTTTGGTACAACAGTGCTTTCTCAAATGTTAATGAAATCCTCAGATGCACACTGCTCCTCCAAACCTTAACACAAGAAGGGAATTTTTTTTAGGCTCAAGCATCACATGGAGTGTCCAACTGAGGCAGGTCTAGGACCATTTACACTCTGGTTTAAACCTCCTCAACTGACTGCTGAGATGAGACCACTGGGTTGGGAGGTTACAGCCTATTTCCTTAGTAATTCCCTCTGCAACTGTGGTTTTCCCACCTCTCAGCACACCTTATAAAGAGGAACAGAAAACCACATGTGCCTGGTAGGTTGCCCACTACTGCCTTGAGAAGAGGGATGAAATCCTGACTGGGTTTCCAGAACAGAATAACCCATCATGGGCAATGAACTAATATAGACAGTCATGTCATCTGAACCCAAGCTGCTTCCCCCAGGGGAACTTATTTTGTTGTTCTATTGTCTGTTCTGCAATTAGTTGCCATGTAGTCCAAACTCAGGAGATCAGTCTTGCTATGTGAGGATGGTCTAGCAAGCTGCATGGCTAGAACAACCACCACCCCACCTCACCCAGCTGCTTACACAATCTTGCTCTTGCCTCTGTCAGTAACAGCCCTTCCACTGGTGCACAAGAAACACTTTGGAACAACAGTCACTACCGTTTTAAAAACAAAACAGTTTGGAAACTATGCAATTTTGTCCATGATTTTCTCCTTTTTTCCTTGGTCTATCCCAGGTGTCCTCTTACCAGGTGTCTGATATGTGTATTTCCTTGTATGTTTCAGCTGCCAAAGGGAACAGCGAAATAAATTAGGTGACAGACATGAAAACTGACACATAGGACTGAACATACGCTTATTTCTAGACAAGAACCAACTGCTTAATTGTCAACTGTAAAATGCTGGAAAAAGGGGGAAAGGGCCAAAGTAGCTGCACCACAGGGAGGGGGAGAGGGACACAGTATTTTCCACTTAGCAATATAATCCTCTTGATTTTAAGTACTGAACTGACACTTTTCCATATCATCCATCAGTTCAACACTTCCCTGAATCTCCAGCTAGTCTAGAAAGAAGAGAAAGTGGCTCCCCACAACCTTTTTGCAGCTTCTTTTTGGAACACTTTTTGTTGTGTTCACTGTGGTTCTCTGACAGTTGTAAAAATACCTTGAGGAGGTGGCTGAATGGGATAAAATGAATGCAGTCTCATGGGATTGTGGGTGCAAGTACTGCTGGTGAAAGTAACCACTTGGGCTGGGCTTTCATTTGCTCCATCCTGTTCTGCCAGCAGTACAGGCTTTTTCAAAGAACTGCTAGGAATATCTGCACAATTTTGTGTAATGGGAAATATACACAAATTTACTTGCCAGAAAGTATGTGGAGGGGACATTTGCACCAATTTAAGGGCAGAAAATGGAAGGGAAATGTGTGCACCTGTAGCAATAGAGCAAAGTGTGAACCCATTAGCAACAAATGCTTCTCTTGCCATTGGAATATTAAAGAAAACAGCACAGTGTTCGAAATACGGAACTATTTTTTCTCTTCCTACTCACACTGACCATGGAAACAAATGAGAGTTTTCTCTCACTTTCTTACTCAACTGTATTAGAGAGAGGCATGAGTACATACACTATTTCTTTATATGTTCTCAATATTAGGCCACACTACTATTATCTGTGACTTACTGGCAGATTACAGTAAATCCATCACAAACAAGGTTGCTATCTTTGCAGTATCAACACAGAAAATTCATTTAAAGATTTCTGTGGTGGACTGTAAAAGAGATTAGCTGTTACAGATCTTTTATAAATGTGTGCCACTATTCTGTTTGCTTTTATTCTGTTTGCTTACACTACTGTGGCTTATATAGTATTTTGTATTGACCTTTCTGCTCTGGACAAATAAATTCAAATACAGACAAGTCATACAGAATAGCCTATTTCCTCCCACAGTAGGATAATGACCTTACTGGACATTAACTTGCTTCCTGGGCCTCACAATATTTGAAACTTCACCATGAAATACAATCAATCAAAATAATAACCATCCTAACAGAACTTGAAGATGTTTGCTGTGATGACAATTTCTTCATGTGATAGGAAGGAGAGGAATGAAGACTTCTTAGGGTTACATTAGGCTATTTTCTCTGTCCTAATGCTGCATATTAACACACTTTGACCAGACAAATGAGAACAGGTGCCACTCTGGAATTAACATGCTTTCTGTTCTAAAAGCGTAAGAATGACTGAACACCTCCAGAGAACTCTTCCATACTTCTGTCATGCTGAAAGTACACAATTTATAAAGCCATTATAGGCCTTATGTTCTACTTTGTAGACTCTGACACATGGGTATTTAATATTGCCTGAAGGACACAAAACTGAATTTGACTGCTTTCCTACTTTGGATTCTATATATGTTGTACCACCGTTTAAGATTTTACAGCTAGAAACAGACTCTTATTTACTGAAGGGAGCAATCCAAAGGGAACAGTTTCTGTTTACATTACTGTTATCCTATGATAATTGAGCACATCACTCAACATTTTCCTCATTATCAATTTTCATCCTTCCATTTGGTCTCTCCCCAGTTCCATAGATGTTCACTGGAGATATTAATTAATTAATTAAGACATTTTTATGCTGCCCCATTCGCCGAAGCCTCGGGGCGGCTTACAACCCCAAGGTATGGCAGAGGTATGTGCACATCTATGATTTCAGGCCATAGGTCTCTACCCCTATCTAAATGACTGGCTCCCTGTAGCACCTTCAATAGCAGAACAAAACTGTCACAAACAAACTCTAGCTTTTCTTTGTTAATTTAGGTGCTAACTTGCTAACCATAACAAGTTCAGCCTGGTCCCCTCCTAATGGACCCAGTATATTAGGACAACCATGAATGCATCCATCAACCATGCCTTCCTGCTACAGGATCATGCATTGATCTTGATCTCAGTAGAGGCAGCCTAGCTGTCACATGTTATACTCTGCTCAGATAGATTTCTCCAATTCTGAGGAGCAGGGAGAGTAGCAGAGATGGGGAAGCTAGCATACAAGTTAGCTAGTTTACAGCTACCTCCAAGACTGATGTCACAATGCACAATAGCTACCTCAACAGCACTCATCAGAGTGCTCCCATTGATGATATATCTGCCATGCTGCAACTTGGCTGGAACTGACAACTTTCATCAGACATTACCATCTGGACACAGTATTCTAGATGAGGTCTGACTAGTGAGGAGTAGAGATGAACAATTACTTCTTGTGATGTGGAAGTAATACTTCTGTGAATGCATCCCAAAACAGCAGTTGTCCTTTTTGCAGCTGCATCACATTGTTGGCTCATATTTCGCTTGTTGTCCACAATGACTCCAAGCAATTTTTCTTTCTCACTTCTGTTACGCCACATATTCCTCATCTTGTATCAATGCATTTGGTTTCCCTTTCCTAGGTGGAGGACTTGGCACTTGTCCTTACTGAATCTCATTCTTGCTTTCAGTCCAGCAATCAAGTTTATCAAGATCACCCTGGATCTTCATTCTGTCTTTTAGAATGTTCGCTATTCATCTGCAAATTTCATTCTCTTTCCTTGAACTTCCACATCTAAATCATTAATAATGATGTTGAAGAGCACTGGGCCCAGGACTGAACCCTGCAGCACCTCAGTTGTTACCTCCATACAGTTTGAGCAGGTGCCATTGATGAGCACTCTTTGTGTCTAATTTAGCAGCTGATTTTGGATCCACCTAATAGTTTTTCTATCTAGTCTACTTTTTGCTAATTTGCTTATCAGAATGTCATGGGGAACTATATCAAAAGTTTTGCTTAAGTCTGGGTAGATTATGTCCACAGTGTTCCCTCTGTCTGTTTCGGAGGTCACCCAGTCAAAAAATGAGATTAAATTTGAGAGGATTTATTTTTGACAAATCCAGTTTGGCTTCTATTAATCACTGAATTTTATTCAAGATGCTTGCAGACTGATTTTTTAAATAATTTGTTCCAGAATTTTTCCAAGGATTGATGTCAGACTAATTGGTCCATAGCTTCCAGGTTCATCTTTTTTCCCTTTTTTTTGAAGACAGGGACAATGTTAGCCCTTCTCTAGACATCTGGCACTTCTGTTTTCCAAGATTTATCAAATATTCTAGACAGTGGTTGTGAGAGTTCCTCTGCTAGCTTTTTTATGACTCTGGGATGAAATTGTTTGAGGCCCTGGAGATTTGAATGTGTTTTCCATCTAAATATTCCTTGACAAAACTATTTTGAGAGTGAGTAAAAAATTATCCACACTCCAGTTATATTAAAACTTCTGTTGGCCATACTGTCTTATCAGCACTTTCGTTCAAGGCCATCCCTGTTAGTATTAAATAGAGTATAGCTGATCCTCTCGTACCTTCCTCTACTTTCTGCTGAGGAAAGTTGTCAGCAACACATGTCAGGAATCTCTTGGAGGGGTCATGTTTGCCAGAATTTGTCTCCTAGCATATATTGGGAAACTGAAGTCCCCCATGATGACCGCATCATTCTTGGAAATGCTGGCAAGTTGCTTTTCGAAGGTTGCATCCTTGTCCTCTTTTTGACTGGGTGGACAGTAATATATGTCAACAACTATGTTTTTCTTATTTTTTGCTCCCTTTAAATTAAGCTAGATGCATTCAATGGGGTTTCTCTTCTTGCATTTCTGTGCAGATATATGTGTCTCATATGTATAATGGGACTCCACTTCCCTTTTTGCCCTTTCTATTTTTCTTGAATAGCTTGTAGAGTTCCAGTCATGTGAATTGTCCCACCAAGTTCCAGTTATTCCCATAAGATTGTTATTGCCCTCATACACTATGAACTCCAGTTTGGGTTGTTTCCCATACTCTGGGCATTGGTGTAGAGACAATGTTCATTCTTGTTGTGCCCAGGTTTTCTTCCTACTTTTTTTTGGGAGAAATATGTATTTTTCCATCCCGTGCAAGAGGGAATTTCCAACAACTATCACTCTTCCCCTTTCGTTGCAAACTTTGGAATCTTCTTCCTTTTTTGATTGGCCTTTTCTCTTTTTCAGAGTTACACATTGTGTTGTGTAGTTCTTTCACAGTGGGTTTCTTACTCCTCTCTTCCTCAAGTAACTTAAAGTGGTTTGAGAGTTCTACTGCTTCCACTGGTGACTTCTAGTTCTTCTGCATCTGTCACCCTGTTCCAGGGAGTTTCCTCATTTTCCCTTCCCTCAGGGTTCTTTTCTGCTGCCTCAGCTAGCTGATGCTCTTCTTGCTTCTGGATACTTATATGTTGCAGCTCCACTGCTTTGTCTAAAAACTCTTCATCTTCTTTTATTATCTTGAGGGTGGACACTCGCTGTACTAGTGCTCTCACCTTTTCTTCTAACAGGGCTACTAGCTTGGACTTGTTGCATGTGTAGGCCATGTTGCTCTCAGGAAAACCAGCACTGCACTGTTGTTGCAGATCACCGCCACTGTACAGTCTCCTTGTTCCACTGTTTGTGCACCCTTAGAGATTCTGTCTGGGGAGAGCTGTTGTGACAACTGGTGCTTTCTCTTGTCTTCACTAAAGGTTAGCAACACTGTCCTACTAGTAAATGAGTGCATGTTACAAAGAGGAAATACAAGTGTGTGGGTGGGGGGAGGGGGACTCAGAGGACAGAAAGAAGAAAAAATGGGGGGGACTGTTAGAGACTCCCCCTTATTTATTTATTTAGAAAATTTCCTTGACCTCCCCTGTCAAACTCCTGTTTGCTCGCTGGCTGCTCACTCCCTGGGAGCTTGGCTGATTGTATCCCAGAGGTTCTAGATCAGCTGGGGCTGCTTGCTCTGCTCTGCTAGGAGTCAGGAACCAGAATCAGGAGTCAGGAACCATGTTATCATCCATTCTACAGTAATGATACCAACAGGACTGTGCAGTTGGTACATAAACCCTTTGACTCCTTAATTTATGGTAGCTTTGACTCTACCATACCTTTGACTCCTCAATTTATGGTAGCTTTGACTCAACCTTTTTTATTTATACATCAGTATAGACATATATGAATTATTTATTTCCTATATTTATTGAACGCACTCAACCTATAAGGCATCATCCCTGTCAACACGAAACTGCTAGTTTTTGCAACACATGCTTTTCCACAATCATCATCTTCTATAATACATTGAAAACACATAGTATTTCCCAGCTGTTGCTACTGTAAAGTGTTCAGAAAAAGCCTACTTCGTTGATACCTTTTTTGCCATTGTGCATTTTTACGGGGTGCTGCTTTCACTAACAGATGAAATTAAAATATATCCTGAAAATATAACCTGAAAAAATAGGTTACTCAAATTATTTTCTGTGAAACAGAAAATTATAACATTCTTTATATTACAATTTATTAGGAGTCAAGAGTCAGTACATTTTTACTGACTCCAAAGCCCTGGATATCAAGAGCCAGTGTGGTGTAGTGGTTAAGAGCATGGGACTGGAACTCAGACGATCTGGTTTCTAGTCCCCACTCGGCCATGGAACCAACTGGGTGACTTTGGGCTCGTCACAAACTCTCAGCCCAACCTACCTCACAGGGTTGTTGTTGTGGAGATAAGATGGAGGAGGAGATGTAAGCTGCCTTGAACCCTTTGTAGGAAAAAGGCAGGATATAAATCGAAAAATAAATAAAGGAATGAATAAAATCAACCCTCAGAAGAATTGCTTCCAACTTCAGAGCCTCCTCCTTTAAGTTAGCTAGCTTGCTACTCATACATGCATGATATAGCGATTACAAAGAAAGACAGACTGGTTACCTTGTAACTAGTTCTTTGAGTGGTCATCTGTGCATTCACAGAACCCAGCCCCACATTAGTGTCAATAATTCTCTCTCCCCCATTGGTCAAGGGTTCCTCCCCACCCATCAGTGTCTATAATGTTCCCTTCTTAGTATCCTAAGTTACCTTTTGATACTGAGGCCACCAGGGCTTTTTTTGTCATAGAACGCACCAGAATGGCGTTCCGGCACCTTTTTTCCCAACGAAGTGATTTTGAATCGCCTGTCAGGCGTAGCAGATCAGCAGCAAACATCATTAACATAGTGCCTACGGGCTGCTTTTGTGTCCATGCTGATAGTGAGTGAGTGCCAGTGGCGACCATTATGTTTATGTATGTGTAGAGTGACTGGCTTTACACTAAAAATCTTATTTAGTGAAAGTGTGACCCCAAGATGTGAGTTCTGGCACTTTTTTTTTTTTTTTTTTTACAAAAAAAGCACTGGAGGCCACAATGAGTGGGTGATGGCTTCCACCAATAATTAAAAGGTAAAGGTTTCCCCCTGACATTAAAGTCCAGTCATGTCTGTCTCTAAGGGGCGGTGCTCATCTCCGTTTCCTAGCCAAGGAAGCCAGCATTTATCTGCAGACGGTATCCGTGGTCATGTGGCCAGCATAACTAAACACCGAAGTGCACGGAACGCTGTTACCCTCCCACCAAAGTGGTACCTTTTTATCTACTTGCATTTGCATGCTTTCGAACTTCAAGGCTGACAGGAGCTGGGATGGAGCAACGGGAACTCACCCCATTGTACAAATTCGAACCGGCGACCTTTCAATCAACCAGCCCATCAGTACAGCAGTTTAAACCACTGCGCCACCTGCATCCCTGCGCCAATAATTACTGAGCTATTAAAAACACAGAGCCCATATGTGTGAATGCAACAAACAACCACTCAATGAACTACAATTGTAGGTAAGCAACCTGTCTATACATCTCTTATGAGACTATTTATCCTCTCACCACCCTATCTAACCTTACAGTGCCCTTCAGCACACACTTTACTTTGTTCACAATCCATCAGCATCTTGTACTAATCTGTTTTGAGTCATGAAACTTAATGCACTCCATTTCATACCAACACTCACATATGAACAGGAGACAAAGTTAATTGCCCATTCACCTGATGAGTAAAATCCTCCTCCTCACAAGTTCCCACTGTTGTAGGGATAAAGTTGTACATACAGTTGCCATACTGCTGCCTTCTGTTAACTCAGGGTTTTGCTACTCACCTGTATCCACCTCTTTCATTCTCCTTAACAAACTTAGAGCCTGTAATGTTAACCACAGTGGCCTCATTTATATCAAGGTGATTTAAATCAAATTTCCAACATCCTAATTTATGTTTATGCACACTAAGCATGCACACTAATCAGTTACTTTAACTGAAGCATCTATTTCGACCCAAAAAAAAAAAACCTCCCTGAGAGTCTAATCCAACACTTTTTGGTTGTTTAACTCATGTGTCTCCCAAATGTCAAAATTCATTATTGATTTTATTTCTTTTATTTAAATTTCACCCACCAAAAATTCCAGGATGGGTAGCCACAATATTAAAAACAACCAACAATAAGATGCAAAACAGAGTCACTAATAAAGCTAACATACTCGGCAAAGAAAACAATCAACAGCACATAAATGCCCAGGTAAGCAAATGGCTGTTACTATGCTGCTGCAGTGTTAGCGAAGTTGGTGCTCAGCATATATTTTGGGAAAATATTCCAAGCTGGGGCATCACCATGAAGAACTTACTTTGTTGTCCCACTGTGCATACTCCCCCCAGTAGTGGTGCAACATGACAGGCAGAGATCCAGACATGGGCAGGATGGTATATATAAGGAATTGCAAACTTTCAGGTGCGTTTTTTGTATTTTTCTTCCCATTCTACACATTTCCATTTAAACAAAGTTTCAGAGGCCATCCAAGGATAAGTATTACTGTTCAAAAATGATTGTGGAAAAGCACTCACTGCAGTTGCTGGTGCATGGGCAGAGCGATCTGGGGAGGCACATTAATGAATCTTTCACTTAGCAGGAAGCCCACAGGCTTGGTGGTGTCACTTAGGAGTTTATCCAGCTGTTCAACCATATTCTGGTCACAGTTCTTCTCACACTGGCTTAAGACCAACTCTTTAATTTGTTCAGCACATTCTGTACCCTAGGAATCAAAGGATAGATTTTCTTTGCAATACAGAATAATTATTTACATACTACAACTTGAGAAGAAAGCTTCTGGGCATTGTTTTATAGGACTCTGGGAAATTTCTTGCTGTGACTTTAATTATTTATGAGGATTTCATTTAAAATATTTAATCAATCCTTAGATTAAGAGAATTATTTCTGACAGAACCACTAAAACAGTAACCAAGCAGCTGCATTGAACATGGAGTCACAAAAGCAGCGACATGAGTAAAGACTACCAGCAAAAATACATAATTCATTCATCATCAATCGTCTAATACAACAAATAAAAGTAACATTCCATTCCTGGGCAGCGTGTTCAAGTGGGTGGTGGCCAAGCAGCTCCAAGCACTCTTGGAGCAAATGGATTATCTGGACCATTTCAATCAGGCTTCAGGCCTGGCTTTGGAACAGAAAGTATCTTGGCCACCCTGTGCAATGGCCTTTGCCATGAGAGAGACAGGAGGAGTGAGACCCTGTTGATTCTCCTAGATTTCTCAGCAGCTTTTGATACCATCAACCATGCCATCCTTCTGAAGAGGTTGCCTGGGCTGGGAATTGGTAGTACCATTTTGCAGCACATATAAAAACGAAAGTACCTCGAATCCAAGGGCCATCAAAAGGCTAAAAAGGCTTGCAAGCCTAAACATATGAAAAGAGAGCACCACTTGCCTGCCCATTCCAAGCATCACAGCTCACCCACCCATCCAGCTGTTCCAGCCACCTTGGCCATGCTACCAGCCCAAGTCTCTCCATCCTGTCCTCCAGCTACGCCAGTTCAATCAGACCACAGTGGGGTCCATCCTGAACACAAAGGACTGACATCATTCTCCAAAAGAGAGATACACAACTCACCTGTTCAGTCTCCCAACTGTCCCAACCTCCCCTCCTAGATCGCTACACAGACCACACTGTGAAGTAATTACCAAACTGGTCCCTCAGACACCTCGTCCATTCAGTCATACTTCACCCAACCCATTGCCAATATCTACCCACCACTCCATATGCAGTTTTGAATCAACGGCACAATTGTATAGGGGGAACCCTCTACTGGGGGTGCATACCCCTTCCCAGGATGTTACTGCCCCATATATCCATGGGAATATGCTGTGGAACTCATGAATATGTGTGGCCACCAACTCTAGCTAGATTCATGGAACACTGGTCTCCAATGCAACCACTCTAGATTCCCAAACACAAGCTAGGCACTTCTCAGACCTCTCAATGAACCAGTCAGCAATATCCTTGAGGTGTTCAAAGATCACTTTCTTCATCATCCAGATCCACCTCACTGGACCCTGTGGATTACAACTCAGACTCAGACTCCCATGCAGAATCCGCAGAACTGTTTCTAAATTCCTGGACAACATCATCTCCTCCAAAGACTTAGGATCTCCAGGGGAAACCCTCAGACACTTCTTCAAGCAAGTCCTCTGGATGGCCACATCCTTAAATATCCAGGTTCAGCAAACTACAGAGCCTAACAAACACCTTATTTATGACATGATCCGGATGGAGGTCTCAGTTCTGGTAGTGATACTGTTTATATCAATACTGGCCAAGGCAATGAAAGAACCCTGGGAGCTTCCTAACCAGCCACCTCCCACCAACTGGAAGGGATGTACTGGGTATAGGAGAGAGACACTTCCAACATTTCATACCATCTGCACTCAATTCCATCATCATCAAGTCCACACAAAGAAGACTGCACAGAGAGAACTCTACACCAACCAATAGAGAGGGCCGCCACTTGGATGATGGCGCAATGGATATACACTGTGATGGGCCTGGGCCTCTGCCTCTCAAATTATGAAGCCATGATGGGGAGGTACCAGGTTTTCTTGTGGCAGAAGATGAAGGCTCGGGCAGCTTTTCTTTCAGATCAATAATGAGAGCTCACCAAAGTCTTCCTTGCTGAAGCCATCCAGCTCTCAAAGCAACAGATCATGGCAGCACACCATCACGTCAACTGTGATTCGAGAGCCTTGATTGGTGCAGTCACGATTCAACAACATGGATGGCTTTGGGTAGCTCACCTGCCTCAAGAGACACCATTCAATGGAGAAGGCCTCTTGCATGCCTGCATGGACAAAAGACTGGACACCCTCCAGAAGGCTAGAGCAATGATTTACCATATCGACCTTGGCCCATTTCAACCAAAGGTATGTAAGTAACCATGGGCCGATCTTCCCAGTACCAGCCCTTCCATTCCAGACAACAAGCTCCCTACCCTGGACGTCCTCAATATGGACAGCAACCACAAAACCACCAATGCCACTTGGATGGTGCCTGATTTCCACAAGCCAGGAAACTGCTTGATGCCAATATAAGACAGCACTGACAGGTAGCACAAACCAGTCCCTTAACCAGCACATCACCTCCATTTGTCACCATCTTCCTACTTGGGAATCCATCATATCTGACTGATGGGTACTTTCCACAGTACAGCATGTGGAAAAGCAAGCAGTACAGCATACAAAATCGAATTTGAGACCTTGTATCCTCTCAGCTCAGTCCACAACTCTCCTCCCTCTCCAACCCTAATGGAGTAAATTGGCAATTTACTAGCAAAGGATGCAATCTGATCAGTAGACTGATCCAAAGCTAAGCAGTTTCTATTCCAAAAAGGGATGGCGGTCAGCAGCCTATTTTGAATCTGGGGGAGTAAACCATTTCATCCTCCTCACAAAGTTCCGAATGGTCACCCTTTAAGGCATTATGCTGCTATTATGAAAAATGGACTGGTTCGTATACAGATTTGCATCATCCAAGAATGAACAACATGAAACAAGTTTAAGTTATAAGATGACAGATTTTGGTTGAATACCAGGAAAAAAAAACTTGCTTATTGTCAGAGCATCCAGATAATGGAACCAACTGCTGTGGAGGTGATGGACACTTTTGCTGGAGCTATTCAAGCAGAGATAGTATGACCATCTGTCAGGGATGCTTTAAGCTGGATTCCTACACTGAACAGGGGATTGGGCCCCCTATGACTTTACAGCTAAAAGCCTCCCCTTCAGTTAGGGTTGGTATTTTAAAGAGTGTGGATTTTTCAACGTTACGGAAACTTTATATTATATATAGCAGTCTAACTGCACATGTAAAGTCACACATTGAACATGGGGGTTTATACTGGTCTATCTGCACATACAAGACTCAAATATTTCAGTGCCAAATTAAAGGAATTTTGGTTTGTTGTAAATAATTATTACTGACCTTCCTTTCTGTTAAGTTTAAGAGGCTTATGAAGCCAAAAACCTCATCAGCATCTTCATCATCATCATCATCATCACCTCCTTCTAAAAATTCTGCTTGCTATTAAAAGAAACAAAGGAGAAAACATAGCCAAATGCATGACTATTATGAAAAGTTCGGAATCACACATGCCATTAACATTCTAAGATGGTACTGAAGAGGTAAGCTTTCAAAACCAGTTTATACACATAGACTTTGGGGGCCAAACATAAGTCAATTGGAAGTAACATCTCTATCACTGAGAAGGCCCTGCTTTCCAACCACTGTGTTGTTACCGGCAGGCACTTGAGCAGGATTCTTGAAGCAGATGCTACTGTATAGATAGGAGCATAAAATGAATTACTATTCTTAAGGTAATCTGATCCCAAACTGTTTAAGGATTAAAAGGAAACATCAACACTTTAAATTATGTCTGCAAATGTAGTGGTAAGCACTGCAACTGGTGCAGAAATCAAGAGATTATAAAAGGCAGTAAGTACAATCATATCCAGCCCTACTGAAAACACTGGGACTTTCATATAAACTCACATAGAATCTGGCTTCATGTCCTTCTTGTAGCATATCTATGAAGGAACAGACTTCTAATTTAACACAATCTTCATATACAACCTTCCCATGTATTCCACAATTCAAAAGTCAGCCAATCTGATAAAGAGTGTGTTTAAACACCGCTATATTTACATGAAATGGACACAGTTGAACAGTTCAATTGACTCTGTGAGCAATCACTTTAAACTAGTTAACTTCACCTTCCACATTAGTAACATGTCATTAGATCTATCTCAGAATTGTGACCCATTTACTTCATGGTTTCATCAGACAGATATACTAGGAATCTTTAGCCATCATTAATGATATTCTACAATTTTGCTGGAGCTCCCAGGCTGGTCATTCAAACTACTCTGTAAGAATTCCTTCCTTCAATATAACCATACAGTAGTACTGGCATACAAACGGATGAGTGGGTCATCATATCAGGATCAGTGGACTTAGAAGCAGGAATGGGGGGAATCAACTGAGTGGCACAGCCCCCACCCAAGCACCATCCCCCAGCTGATTCTTCCCCCTCCTGCTTTGCACACCTCATAGGCTTCCCTCAGGTGTATATGCAGAGAGAGAGAATCAGCTGACTAGCACCACTTTCTGCAACACTGTCCAGCTGATTGTCCCCTCCAGCCTCTGGTGATAGCACAAAACAACAGCTATCAGTGTCACTTTCTTGCTAGCTGCTTGGCAAAAGCTGCAATGGACTACTCTTACTAAGTAGCTCTATGGTTCTGGCCTTGGTACTGTGATGACTTGTGTTCTCTGGGTATGAATGATACAACAAGCCATCACAGTACAGAGAAACCATAGTACAGATCTTTTTGTGGTTCCTACAGATCAAATGTACAATGTTGAAATACCACAACATGGTTCGAACAACACAACAGACTAACACTGATTAAAAACCACAGTGGTTTGTCATGTTGTGTGAATCCACCCATTGTGTTAACCTATCACAAACCATCTCAAGGGCAGAGTATAAATATTTTCAGTAAAGAAAATTAATACAGTCATACAGCTTTTTACTTTTTTTCTCTTAGTCTTGTGATGCATTCAAGCATATTAGTTTCCTTCAAAAGCATCTTGATGGTTTCCTTCAGAAATGAAACTGACTACCCTAGTAGATGTTTTGATCCACTGCTTAGGAAAAGAACAGGTAGCTACCTGAAGAGATGCATTTGTGCCCCCTCACTTTGTTTATCCTGAATTATCATGCTCCCAATGCAGAACCAGGTTAATGCTACAATAGCAATAAGAGGGAAGTCCATTTTGTTTCTCCACAGAGATGATTGTTTCTCTACTGAAATTCCTCTACATAAATTCATATAGTCTTTACTACTGAATTATGAATGCTTCAGTCCCAACGGCTATAGTAAGACAAAAGATCATTGTATTGCTATATCTTGCTAATTCACCATGAATATAGGTTACAAACTGCCTATTCTACCAGGAAAATCAGTGAACTAAGAGCATCAGTTGATACCTTACCTTGATAACACTCCCAATGTGATTTTGTTGTATCAATATATCCGTCAAATCAGCTGTATTAATAGGAGCCTTTCGAAACAGCTGGAAATGGGGTACAGAAAGAAGAATGTTGCAACTTTATTAAGAACATATCCTTTATTAAACCAGAGATCATTTTGTAGGATGTGTTTTGTCAGCAATGGCATTACAACTGACAGACAACTAGATATAATAGCATTTATTTCATGAGAACATAGCATGAGGTTAGTATTCAAGAAGTTCTAGCACAACTTACTTTGGTTCCCACCTCTCTACACTTAACCCTCTTTTCTATAATGTGCATTCATCTTCTTTGCCTGTTCATGAAATATGAATGCTCCTATGACACTCACATACAATTCCATACTCCTATGGAGTTATTACAGTGCTGCTCTACAGTTAGGCAAAAATAAATAAAAATATGGATGTGTTCATTTAGAATTCAAAAAAATTAAATGCTGCAATTTCAGAGAATCAAGTAACGTTAACATTAAAGATACCTTTTAACCCTGTACTAGGGATTTCCCGTGTCTTTTTCTTTGTATAAACTGACAGGGAGGTCTTTGAATTGGACACTCTCCCTTCCCAGTGTTTTCCTACTAAAATTGCCCCCCTCCCCCACCCGAAGACAAGTGCATGCAGTGGAATGTGTGGAGAGGATTAACCCCACCTCAGTTGTCCATCAGATGCCCTGTGGCAGTTTTAAAAACCAAAGCTGGGATACAGACATCTCAAACTATCAAAGTATGAAAATACTCAAGAATGCAACAGAACTCCATGTGTAAACCAGAATGCTCCAAGTTAAAACAACCCCCTTCCATTTATTCACAATATTAAAGGTCTTTCATATTTAATGTTCAAAAGCAGGAAGCCAATGCCATAAAAGCAGACATATGTACCTGTTCTAGTAATTTTTTAATTCCATTTTTATCATTCTCAGATATTGAGTGTGCTTCAAATTCAACATTTACTTCCTGTAAATAAAACACAAAACAGAATCACACACTCAACCTTTCCAAGAAACGTTTACCTCAAAAGAAGTCGGGAGTGGTGGTGGGAGAATCTAACGACAGAATTACTAAAGATGTATCTATTTACTAAAGATGTTTAACGTGCACAGATACAATTTGTAGCGTGTATAGCTAATCTGTTTCGCCTGAACTTAAAAGTAAGAAAAAGTGATCACCATGTACTCACTTTTGTCAGAGCAAGGGAGGCTACTGTGAAACCACAGAAAAGTGGCTCCATATCGAGAAAGTCTCTGTGGTTTTCAGTTTGGCGGTATAGCTAACCTTAAGAAACAGCAAAAAACGCAGTCTGCACATGCTTAGATGTTCCCTTCTTTATTACTGCTTCATAAGGCCAGGAAGTAACGGCTAGACGAGAAAAAATCTAATGGTATTCACTAAAAGACTTAGACAGGTGAAAGAAAAGAATCGGGACGTGGGATGGATGCAAGAGTCTGCTCAGCGACCACTCCCAGGAGGGACTGGGCTCCGCCCGTTGGGACCTTCGAGCAGTGGGAGGAGTTGCAGGCGCCACGGAACAATCCCCCTTGAGGAAGGAGACCGCACCGGGCCCGGCAGTAGCGCTGGGGCAGCAGAAGTTGCTCTAAACCATGGCTACTTGGGAGAGGAGGAAGTCAAAGAGAAGCCCACCCACCTCATTGAGTTCTTCATCCTCCTCCTCCTCCTCCTCCTCGCTGTCCAGCTCCGAGTCAGAGTCCTCTGTATCGCCGCCTTCCTCCTCCCGGCAATCAGGCGGCCCCACCGTTCTACTCCGCTTAGCTGGAGCAGCCATGCTGCCACGATCCCTGCTCTGCGCATGCGCCAGCGAAGCCGGAAGCCGAGGCCGTTCCGGCGGCGGGGCGGGAGAGCGGTGGGAGCGTCGTGTTCTTCCCGCTCACTGAACCGTCTCCCCACGGAGGTGAGCGTAGCTCCGGGTCGTCTGCAGTCGCCGCCGCTTCCAGAGTAGCGGAAAGCCGCTAGATGTGGCGTAAACGAGTTTAGCCCTCCCCCCCTACGTTGGTCTGTCCCGATCGCGCCCGTCAGGCTTGCCGCCCGGTTATGGGCTCCGCGAAAATCGGGGAGGCGGGGTATGGGAGGCCTTAGCGCGGGAGCCTAGGCAGGGATCCGCTTCGGCCCTTGTTTCGATTGTCAGGGTTGAGCACTGGAATACCCGTCTGTTTACTAAGGAACAACCGAAACTCGCGCTTCTAAAATGTACTGAGTATCATTTGCTCTTCCTTGGTTAATGTAGCCACAAAGTCCACCCAGCCACCTGCAATCAGGTGAGAGGTCTGCGTGGTAGTGTATCGATTGTGTGGAGGGGAAGGAACGGCTCTTCCATACCACCGTTCTCCAGTCTGATCCTTTCCTGATATTTGAGGCTTCAGTTCCCGTAAGTCCTAGTTAGTTAGGAATGGTGAACTTTCCGGGAAGACTGTTCTGTACAGAAATGATTTTTGAAGAAAAGACCGTCATGCACCATTCTGCACATTTCACCCTTCTAACTTCGCAAACCAGCCGGAAACACACTGCCTGTCACACCCCTACCTCCTGTACTTTCCATCTGTGTTTTTCATGTGTCCTTATGAGTGCAGGGGAAATGGTGTACTTCCATTTAATTACAATGTGTGAACACTCTGTGTATGTCAGTTTCAATGCATGTATGTGACTTTCACATGTTTTAAAGCAGCAGTCCCCAACCTTTTTGGCATCAGAGACCGGTTTTGTGGAAGGCAATCTTTCCATGGATGGGGGAGGGGGGAGGTTTTGGGATAATTCAAGCAAATTTCATTTATTGTGCACATTATTTTTTATTATTACATTTTAATATATAATGAAATAATTATACAACTCACCGCCTCAGCTCCACCTCAGATCATCAGGCATTAGTTTCTCATAAATGAGCACGCAGCCTAAATCCCTCACATGCACAGTTTGCAGTAGAGTTCACGCTGTCATAGGAAATATTTTCCAGTATTTTCCAAAATGGATAGGCCTGCCCTGCTGCCTCACTGCAATTCGTCTGCTCCCATTGGTCTAAGGTTCAATCATTCCACCTTTTTTTATTGGAGTGCCTGCCCTGTGCCCAAGCCACAGTCTTCACATGCTATTGGATACTGTTGGTTGAGGGGCAGCTCACATCGTCATCTCACTGGAGAAACAAGGCATACTCCTATTGGGTGGCCCAGTTCCTGACAGGCTGTAGACCAGTACCAGTCTGCAGCCCGGGGGTTTGGGACCCCTACTTTACAGGGGTTCATTGCTAAGCCCAGAAGCAAGTTAACATTTAGAATTGCTAAAAGACATAGCAATTCTATTGTTTCCAAGCTGGACTTCCAGTTCTGATATTCTTGACAAGTACTCACAAGAAACAATGCAAAAATGTTTGCTTTCAGTAAAATGATATGACAGCATTGTGACCCCTCTTTAATACATAAAATTAAAAAGGAAGAGATAGAAATAAAACTAAAGTTGATAGCACTGCTTCACCCATGTAGGGGCAGATTTTTAGGAATTTCCTTGCAAATATCAGAAGGGGAGAAATGATATTAATTTTGTGTTTACTGTGTGATTTACTTTCTCAGCATCATTCAGTTCTCCCAAAAGTCAAAACAAAGTTAGACGTTAATGCAGTACCATAGTTTTATTACATTAAATTAAATAATTTACAACTTCCTTGTAATGTCCAGTATTATACTATGTCACAAATGGGAAGGAAGCTTAAGCTGAAAGATTGTGACTTAAAGCAACCCCAAAATGTAGCCTGCTATTAATATCCCCATGTTGGATATAGGAGAATGGCAAGCTTGAGATATAACAGCCTGTGAAATTTTTGTTTTTATCAATCTTACATTGTGAAGCCAGGGCTGACAGCCTCATCCTGTAAGTTAAGGTGTATCCATTGAAACTGAGTTCTGTATTGGATTGTAAGAATTTATGACTTGTAGTTCTTGAAATAGCATTGTTATTGTTGTTGTTGTTAGTCGCGAAGTCGTGTCCGACCCATCGCGACCCCATGGACAACATTTCTCCAGGCCCTCCTGTCATCCACCATCTCCCGGAGTCCACCCAAGCTCACACCAACTGCTTCAGTGATTCCATCTAGCCACCTCATCCTCTGCCGTCCCCTTCTTCTTTTGCCATCTATTGTTCCCAGCATTAGACTCTTCTCCAGGGAGTCCTTCCTTCTCATTAGGTGGCCACAGTATTTGAGTTTCATCTTCAGGATCTGGCCTTCTAAAGAGCAGTCAGGATTGATCTCCTCTAGGACTGACCGGTTTGATCGCCTTGCGGTCCAAGGGACTCGCAGGAGTCTCATCCAGCACCACAATACAAAGCCCTCAATCCTTTTGTGCTCAGCCTTCCTTATGGTCCAACTTTCACAGCCATACATTGCAACTGGGAAAACCATAGCCTTGACTATATGCACTTTTGTTGGCAGGGTGATGTCTCTGCTGTTTAGTATGCTGTCTAGATTTGCCATACCTTTCCTCCCCAGGAGCAAGCATCTTTTAATTTCTTGGCTGCAGTCCCCATCTGCGGTGGTCTTGGAGCCCAGGAAAATAAAATCTGTCACTATCTCCATTTCTTCCCCATCTATTTGCCAGGAAGTGAGAGGACCGGATGCCATGATCTTAGTTTTCTTAATGTTGAGTTTCAGGCCAACTTTTGCACTCTCCTCCTTCAGCCGCATCAAGAGGCTCTTTAGTTCCTCTTCACTTTCTGCCATTAGAGTGGTATCATCTGCATATCTGAGGTTGTTGATATTTCTCCCAGCAATCTTAATTCCAACCTGTGATTCATCTAGCCCTGCCTTTCTCATGATGTGCTCTGCATATAAGTTAAATAGGCAGGGCGACAGTATACAGCCTTGCCGAATTCCTTTCTCAATTTTGAACCAATCAGTGGTTCCGTGTCCAGTTCTCACTGTTGCTTCTTGACCCGCATATAGGTTTCTCAAGAGACAAGTAAGATGGTCTGGTACTCCCATCTCTTTAAGAACTTGCCACAATTTGTTGTGATCCACACAATCAAAGGCTTTAGCATAGTCAATGAAGCAGAAGTAGATGTTTTTCTGGAACTCCCTAGCTTTCTCCATGATCCAGCGTATGTTGGCAATTTGATCTCTAGTTCCTCCCCCTCTTTGAAATCCTACCTGTACTTCTGGTAGTTCTCGGTCCACATACTGCTGGAGCCTAGCTTGAAGGATTTTGAGCATCACTTTGCTAGCATGTGAAATGAGTGCAATGGTGTGGTAGTTTGAACATTCTTTGGCATTGCCCTTCTTTGGGATCGGAATGTAAACTGACCTTTTCCAATCCTGTGGCCACTGTTGAGTTTTCCAAATTTGCTGGCATATTGAGTGTAGCACTTTTACTGCATCGTCTTTTAGGATTTTGAATAGCTCAACTGGAATATTGTTGCCTCCACTAGCTTTGTTGTTGCTCAGACTTCCTAAGGCCCATTTGACTTCACATTCCAGGATGTCTGGCTCGAGGTCAGTGACTACCCCATCGTGGTTATCTGGGACGTTAAGCTCTTTCTTGTATAGTTCTTCTGTGTAATCTTGTCACCTCTTCTTAATCTCTTCTGCCTCTGTTAGATCCCTGCCATTTTGGTCCTTTATCATGCCCATCTTTGCATGAAATGTTCCCTTCATATCTCCAACTTTCTTGAAGAGTTCTCTGGTCCTCCCTATTCTATTGTTTTCTTCTATTTCTTTGCACTGTTCATTTAAGAAGGCATTCTTATCTCTTCTAGCTGTTCTCTGGAATTCTGCATTCAATTGTTTGTATCTTTCCCTTTCTCCCTTGCCTTTCACTTCCCTTCTTTCCTCAGCTATTTGTAAAGCTTCCTCAGACAGCCATTTTGCTTTCTTGCGTTTCTTTTTCTTTGGGATGGTTTTAGTTGCTGCCTCTTGTACAATGTTGCGAACCTCCGTCCATAGGTCTTCAGGCACTCTGTCTATCAGATCTAATTCCTTAAATCTATTTGTCACCTCTACTGTGTATTCATCAGGGATATGATTTAGGTCATACCTGAGTGGCCTAGTGCTTTTCCCTACTTTCTTCAACTTAAGCCTAAATTTTGCAACCAGAAGCTCATGATCTGAGCCACAGTCAGCTGCTGGTCTAGTTTTTACTGACTGTATAGAACTTCTCCATCTTTGGCTGCAGAGCACATAGTCAATCTGATTTCTGTGTTGACCATCTGATGATATCCATGTGTAGAGTCGTCTCTTGGGTTGTTGGAAAAGAATGTTTGCCATGACCATCGTATTCTCTTGACAAAATTCTACCAGCCTGTGCACTGTTTCATTTTGTACTCCAAGGCCAAACTTGCCTGTTATTCTGGTTATCTTTTGGCTTCCTTCTTTAGCATTCCAATCCCCCATGATGATAAGGACATCATTTTTTGGAGTTAATTCTAGAAGGTGTTGTTGTAGGCCTTCACAGAACTGGTCGGCTTCAGCCTCTTCAGCACCAGTGGTTGGGGCATAGACTTGGACTACTGTGATGTTGAATGGTTTGCCTTGGATTCAAACTGAGATCATTCTGTCATTTTGGCGATTGTATCCCAGTACTGCTTTTCCTACTCTTTTATTGACTATGAAGGCTACTCCATTTCTTCTGAGGAATTCTTGCCCGCAGTAGTATACCTGATGGTCATCTGAATTAAATTCACCCATTCCTGTCTGTTTCAGTTCACTGATTCCTAAGATGTCGATATTCAGTCTTGTCATCTCTTGTTTGACCACATCCAGCTTGCCTTGATCCATGGATCTTACATTCCAGGTTCCTGTGGAGTATAGATCTTTGCAGCATCGGACTCTCCTTTCACCACCAGATGCATCAGCAACTGAGTGTCCTTTCGGCTTTTGACCCAGTCGCTTCATTCTTTCTGGCGCTACTAGTAGTAGCCCTCCGCTCTTCCCCAGTAGCATATTGGACACCTGCCGACCTGAGGGGCTCATCTTCCGGCATCATATCTTTTTGCCGTTTGGTACTGTCCATGGGGTTTTCATGGCACAGATACTGGAATGGGTTGCCATTTCCTTCTCCAATGGATCACGTTTTGTCAGAGCTCTCTGCTATGACCTGTCCATCTTGGGTGGCCCTGCACGGCATAGCTCATAGCTTCATTGAGCTACGCAAGCCCCTTCGCCATGACAAGGCAGTGATCCATGAAGGAGTAATAGTATTAGATGGTATATTTATTTATGCATTTTTAACATTTATAGACTACTCCATAGTATGTTGTTGTTATTTTATCATTAATTATTTCATTTCTGTACCACTCTATAGCTGAACTTGTTTGTGTGGAAAACAACAATACAATCAAATACTAAATACAGATACAAAAAAGGAAATTTTTCAGTACAAAATTTAAAAC